CAGTACCAGCTTAGATACAAATACAATCAATATGACTGATTTATTATACTATTATACTCCCTGATGAAGCCCCAAGGGCGAAAATTTGGAGATTTCATTTCTTTTCAATAGAATTTGCAGCGTCAACGACCTTGGTATGGTGGTGGTGACTGATTGTGATATGAATTGGCTGCTGCAGTGGAGCCGCCTCCGTGTTCTAAACAAATGACTGACTTACTGCACAAATAACATGGTCTCACTCAAATGATATGCAGCAGCATAAACATGTACGCATGCACACAAACAACACACCTGGAGCCATTGGCACGCAAAATGTGTTCTCGTATGGTGACAGTGCAGTAGTACCAGACGAATAGGAAGTGTAGAACGGCATCCAAAGTTCTGCAATTACACAAGCATGGGCACACGCATACAGGTGGACATACAGGCAAAGACTTTTCTTGGAACAGAATGACAATACCCCTCCCCCGTGTGAAATAGAATTGTTAAATTATCAGATTTTTCGACAGTGAGAGCGATTCTAACAACATGACCATCAGTGCAGGCCAAGACGAGGGTGGTGATCAGATGGATTGCATTTTCAAACCAGAATCGCAGACAGTTTCTACCTATTCGACACATGAACCCATGAATATTGGTGCTCTCTTCATTGCATTGCTCAATCAGACCAGTTCTATACATTGCAGCCCTCAATCTCCGGACGGCTAGCTGTTTCGACCTTGTTGCTATAGGTCTCACCAGTGAAGCTCAGGGTATCTGGCCAAACTCATCGTCATGAAGTCTACATGTGAACAACAATATTGAGCACATTGCAGCCCTAAATACACGAAAGCAAGCCTGCCTCTGCCGGGTTTTGAATGCAAGACACCTACCGTGATGGAAACAAAAAGCATGAAATAGCTAGAAAGCAGGTTATGATGGTGACTCTGAGCTTGAAAACTTCATACTGCTCCTTGTACGCAAACCTAGAGACAACACATTGAACGGAGAAGAAGACACTACAACACTCAACATTCTGTCATAGAAGAGTGCAATCATGTACATCTCAGTATCATATGGCGTTTCATCAGTTGACACAACACGAGAAAAAACCACCAGGGCTATGGATATAATATTCGAGTACTGCAATCGCAGCAGGGAAGTATACTATTAAGATTCTACAAGTGTCCAAGAGACATGGTTGCTGCACTACACTACAGAGACAGCCTATTCTGCCACCGTTCTTCCACATACACTTTGGCTGCAACTGTGTAAGCCAGGATCCTGAAAGCTCTCACAAGTCACAGCGGGATAAGAGAAGTGAGGGCGGCGCATTCATCTCTACCCAGTCTACCAGTGACAGTAGACTACCTACTTGTACTGTTTTTAGTGCAGGAAGTTGCCAGTTCAAAGCTGTTCCACTATGAACAACTCTCCAAATTTCAGAAGTATGAGTGCCCATTTTCCTGTTTAAACAATTTATGGATTATGTACTCTATCGCATTCTACCAGCCTATGATTCGGTTGGTGGAGATGGTAGAGGCTGGTAGAGCTACCAGTCTTACATGTGGTAGGTGAAATGCTGAACATCCCTACCCAAACTGATAGAGCTACCTCTTCCAACAGAGTAATGACAAAATACACGCTCAGCTAGGCGCTCTGAAATGGGCACCACTTACTTTTCCTTCTCGTTACGCATTTGAACGTTCAGATCACCCAGGACGATCTGCAATATGATACTGAAGCACACGAGCACACACACGCACACACGCACGCGCACGCACACACACACACACACACACACCTCAGACCTCAGACCTGCCCATCGCGGAAGCGATGATAGCGAACAGCTATGTTAGACATAGCAACTTGTGCTGGGATAACACCATTCAACAGCTTGCAAGGCTGATGAATTGACCGCCACTAATGTTAGCCTGGTATCCACCACACACGCACGCACGCACGCACGCACGCACGCACACACACACACACACTTGTACTTGCTCACTGCCAAAACTGGTCACGTGGGTCTCCCCGGGAGAGGGGAGAGAGACTCAAAAGGAATCTTGGAAAGATGACTCAATTGGCCATTGAACCACCCAGCGGCCGACACCCCCTGAAATCCCCAAACTAGGGTGGACTTGAAATGATCCCACTTACGGGCTCACCACACCTCAGTAAGTGGGTGAGGACAAGGTGCAGAAAAAGGATTGACGGCATCAGGGTATCCGTCCCGGGATCCAACTGCAGGTACCCCTGCCCCCCCCAGTGAAAGTAATACTTGGTACTAGTGTGGGTGGCTAAATCAGAGTGGAACTGATATAAGCTTCACTAGCACCATTGATTACACAAGAGTTAATCTAGCCAGAAGCAGTCCATGGTTAACAGGTATGTATACTTCAAATAGAAAGTATATGAACCCTGAAACCAACAAAGGTGGTAGGTACAACAATACACCTTCAAGCAGCCGAGCCCGTTGGCAACAGGCCCAACACTATCTGGCATAAGTGTACCCACCAATCGAACTAGCTGGCACACACACACACACACACACACACACACACACACACACTACTACTACCACTACTACTACTTATGCACACACACACACACACACACACACACACACCGCATAAACCACGCGGATCGAGGCAGGCTAGTCAAGAAGAGGAAAAGAAGAGTACCATGACGTAATAATTATTATAGTGATGGCATGAGGTTGATAGAAAATCAAATATCCCATGGTGCGTGTTATTGCTTAGTTGGCCATCGATAAACGGAGAGGAAATTTGTAGTGATGTAACGAACCATGAATTTTACAAACGAACAATCTAGCGAATACAATTCAAGGGAACGAATGATTATTCTACTATTCCACAAGAAAAAATCATTAATGACAATTATCAAGAACTATTGCGAATGCGAAGTGTACATGTAGCAACACACACAACACAAGCGCTCAGACTCAAGTCTGTGTAGAGTCTACCATGGTCTTCCGCCCGTAGTCTAGTCATTAGAGAGGTTCCGCACAACGTAAAGTTGAGCAACTTTACGTTAGTGGACGGGAAAAACCCGTGAATTCGCGAGTTTGCACTCCACTTAGGGGTCGTCGCAAAAGTTTTTTGTCGTCCCTGAAACGAACATGATTCATTTGGGGGGGAGGGGGTGCGAGCCAAAATCGCAAGTCGACCGACACTGTACATATGACATGTACATGCATGCGATTTTCGTCGTCCAGCATAGCAAGCTGTGTTCGTTTCAGAGGGAGGGGAGGGGGTCCAAGTACGAAATGAACGATGTTCGTTTCAGGGACGACAGAAAACTTTTGCGACGACCCCTTACGGAAAGTTGTCTACGGAGAGTACGTAGATAGGGCTCTGATAACGTAGCTGGTCCGTAAGTGGATTGGGGTACAAATTTATGACTCTCTCCCCAGGTCGATCTGGTCGTACACTGCCGCGTTCAGAGTTGCCAAGGGCAGCTACGTGATTCGAAAACTCCGTATGGCGGAACCCAGATGCGCATGAAGTTTACATAAGACTTTCCGTAGATCGACTACGTTTTTTACTAACGTAATTACGTTATGCGGAACCTCTCTATTGTCTGCAACACAGCACACAGTTTATGCATTCAAGTCGAGAGATCTAGAGTGTCGCGCGCAGTATGCAGCGCACGGACTTCGCCCACCCACGAACATTCGAATTTTAGAACCTTCGACCTAGATTTTATCCGATCGATTATTCGTTGAGGTCCAAGAGCTCGAGGAAATTCGAACAATCGATTATTCGTTACATCACTAGAAATTTGTACTGTGACATACAGAAACAAACAAAAAAGGATACGGATAAATAGTGGACGTCTTTTAAAATACTCTTACAAACACACCTCCCACCGCTTTCGGAGTTGCATCTGCGGATTGATCCTTGAACGGGTTCCTACGGATGCGGAAAACTCGGCCTCTAACCAAGTCCCAAGCGAACCGTGACATTTTTATTTCATTTTTACAAACACACCGATGAGGTACACATGTAGATGGCAGACAGATAGGTACAACAAGCAGGACGGAGGTGAACAAGAGATCACACTTATAGAACAACACTCAGCATTCGCATGAACACAAGAATTAACTCGGCCTTACTGATTTGGCTTCGGTAGCGTTGCACGGATCTCAAGGAGGTCCTTTTCCATCTGATCCAGCTGCGTAAGGTGCTCTGCTGATTCTGCAAAAGACGTGCTACAAACACACAAACGAACACATGGGACAGCATTACACTGTACGTCACATCCCGATGGTGTAGCATGCTCGTACACAATGAGGACACCAGCTGGTCCAGTATTGAATCAACTCAGCAACTCCGGGTTTGTTGCTCAATGCAATTATCAGGCGGCTTGATATGCACAGGTACTCGCCGCAAGGACTAATTCAATCGCAGGCACATGTATAATAGCAAAATCAATGGCCAAAAACCAGCTGTGAAACACACGTGTTATGTCCGAGCACAGTCCTACTGTTGTGGCGCGCAAAGACGATGCAATATCAAGCATCCTAGAATCACGAAATTTCGGACGGAACCACATGTGTCACATATCAATGGAGCGATCAGCATAATCACGTGAGAGTAAAAAAAAGACCGAAGCATTTGGGCTCAAATGGGATTTATGGAGATGGGAAAGATGCTGAAAAGGCTGCTTCCCCACAGCTGACGCATGGAAAGTTCTTGAAAGCAACAGATTTGGTATGAACAGTTGTGCGAGGCAAAGGCATGTGCAACACTGCACATTGGACAGACTAGAGACAACTCGTACCACTAACCCAGAGACACGTGCTCTCGAGTTCTTCAAGTCTTTCAATTGCTTGCCAATTCTAGTCGGATGCTTGGCATAATCATCAAGCATCAACTTGAGCTTCCGGTGGCTTTCCTGCATGGTAATCATTACATCACACGACATATTCCACAGTCAGTCTGAGGAGTTGTTCTCAGATTACCCCATACCATCATCTTAGTACAAAAATTATATTATAATAATAATTCACGGTTTGCGTTAGCTTTCGTATCCGTAGGGACACCACCACCCTCTGTGGATCAAGGCGCAGATGCACCTCCTAAAGCGGTGGGAGGTGAGTAGATCAAACCCACCACAAAGTGGCCAAAGACCGAAAATCCCATTCGTTGCATCCATGCTCCCCTCGTGCCAGGCCACGAGTTCCCAATTAACTGTGGGTGGCAGCACGTACAATAATGCCCAGTGGGAATACGGTGTGCAACAGTGCTACGAGATAGTCCCATGCACTATTTCCTTCCGTCCTATCAGTGTGCACTGATGTACGGCTTCATTCAAGAATGACTATGTCTACTGAACATGTATTGCCTTTCTCGGTACCAATAATACATGCCCTAAATCACATAAGAACTCAGATGGTGAGCCAAGGAAAAACATTAATTGTAACATGGAAATTGTGGAATTTCTCAGTACTCCTTGTCAGTTTTGTGCTAGATTGTGCACGTCTGACTGTTCAAAATCTGGTTTATTTGGTGGACTCGATCGCATAACTTGTGCCCACAATTTCCATGTTACAACTAAATCACATACTACTACTTTTCAGGTTGCTGGTGTGTAGTGCTCCCGGAAAGGAAACTGCGCATGCGCTGTACATTGTTCGATCACCAAAAAACATGTCCAAACACAACCAACACCACCACATTCACACACTATACCAGTGCATGCATATGTGAATTGAGTTCATAGAAGGTGAACACCAGGGAGTTGTAACATCTAGGGAGGAGACACGAGGCCATAGCACTGACCTCGGATTCGGGAGTTCTATGTGATCAGTCATCTATGCAACTTATGGTCGCGGCTTTGAACAGCTGACCTGAAACGCGAGCCAGTCCCACCAAGCCGTATGCGGACATACATAAACCCACCCAGGGTGACCGAAACGAGCCTGGGGTGAAGTGAAACCCACATCATTTCACATTCCAGTCACCCAGTCTCCCTGGTGAATACTAGTTAGTGCAACCATGTACAGTAGGTATCGGTTATAGCGTGGGTGTTTGAAAAACGACTTTCTATTCTTATTTCCGATATTTCTTACACACGATAAATATAGTGTGACGTATCATATGCATGTGCGCATACCCAGGAAGATCATCATACATGCAACGTAGTGCTGCTGTGTACCGGTATGCGGTTTCTCATAGTCATACTTCCAAAGTAATCCCATACTGGGCCATAGGTTCACCATGTGGCTGAGCAACATGAGATACATGACCACAACAGATGCACTTGCAGCATTATGATGCAATTCGAGTCGGTTCAGAACTGTATCGGGCAGATGCTATTACTACAGGCGATACACTTTGTACTAATCTGGCATGTTTTGCTACACAAAGTCCATTCTTAGGACCGATATATTCCATTACACGATAACATTGCTTGTAAGAATAAATATACACATGAAACCCAGGTTATGATTATGAAAATAGGAGAGTTCATTCTTGTAGGCAGTATATTCTTTTACACGGCCACACTATCTCTTAATTTGCTGGCCGAAAATCCTATATATAGGATTTGAAAATGCGTGCCTTTATGCCGTTGTTATTGGTCATCACGACCAATAATAACGGCATAATGGTTTTCATGGAAGTTGTAAATATGTTTGAGGCATGAATGTTTACATTTAAGATTCATAGGGCGATAATATTTCTGATGCATACCTATTTTCCGCAATAATTGGAAATTTGAGCATAATTGTTCAGCTGCTGTCATGGAAAGGACTGAAGCAGTGAATGTGCAGAAGAACATTACAGGTGTGGCACGGGGTGGCTTCATGACGACATATCGCACATGCCGTCATGAAACTACCAGTTTTAAGGATAAAACAAGGTCCAATAAAATCTCAAATCCTATATATAGGATTCGAAAAATAGGGCACAGGCCTTAGTAATACTGGGCAAGGAGATGAGCCTGAGATGTTAGTGTTTGAAAAAATTATCTTATTCAACTCTCGATATCTACTAAGACCTAGCAAGGAAGAATTGGTCACATACTTTTTGCTATTCTCATGCCACACCCATTTTGAGTTGAAAAATATGACCAAAATCCTATATATAGGATTTAGCAAATTAAGAGATAACCGATACGCACTATACATGTATTCACATGTAGTCCCTTATTATGTGCGCAGTTCTGGTAAAATGAGAATGCTTGTCATAGTGGATTCGCCTACTTTGAGTACTTGAGCGCAACTAGCCCCTTTTTAGTTTTCTGAACCAGGCTCATGAGCGAATCCTGATACACAATCTGATCACATCTACAGTTGTGGCCAAAAAATCTCATCCGGGAGCCAAAAGCAGCGCCAAGGCTCATGCGGCCCTTGGATGGGTTTTTGGACCGTGCCCGATGTAATTGAAATGAAAACGCGGATCTACTGACTGTTGACTCGCAGGTCAGATTTTCTTTAGCCATGACTGTACTAGATATAGACGTGCTCTGCCTAGCTACGGATTATAGCAAGAATCCATAACCTCTGGTGGTTACTGGTATGTGGTTGTGGACTCTTGATTATAGTCTACCAGTATCAATGTATGTATGCCTCTCGGGGAGTGTAAGATGAAATTCAAATTCAAAATAAAAATGATACTGGTATTACCAATGATCGGCTGCGCATTCTTACTAGAGTTAAAGACATGCTATACTATAGCCTTCTCATCATACTGAATAATTATTATCCTTGGCCAGTAAAAGGAATCATAATAATTTCGGGCAGTGTCACAGTATCACAAGAACAATAATTGATCGTGTGCTACGCTGACCTTGATCCGGCGATACTCCTCCACTAATGTCGACCAATCATTCAGCCATTGCTGGGATGCTCGATCTAGCTTAACACTTCTTTCCGACGCCATTCTGATGGCACGGTTCGAAATCAATTTTCCAGAGAAAACAGCAATGTTCTATGAATAGATCTAGAAAGCTCCTACATGCACTAGAAAGCACAATGACTTGACTTGTAGTTACGGTATGTTTTGCCACCAATTTGAACTGCAGCGATTGACGAAGCACGCAACTACTAAGTTGAAAGACTAGATGTTTCAACTACATGTACATGTACTTTCTAAAGGTCTATACTATTCCAAAAGGTCTGACAAGAATTTGAAGATGATTGATGCTCGTGTGCTGTCAAGTAACGTTATAACGTTAACGTTAGTTGACAAACTTACTTCTGTCATTTTGGAAAACAACTTTTCAAACAGTCACGTACAAAATTTTATTTATTTTTTAAAAATGGTGCACGTCGTTGTACGGACATCCGGATGTACGACGTTCTGTACTAGGCATACTACATGTACTAGGCTATGCCCGTAGGTGTGTACACATACACACCCGGTGGGTAGGTCTACTACGCGTATACGGGTGTTCATTTGTGTACTATAATAGTATAAAATTTAATGAGCATTTGACCAAGTATTTTACTACAGTACTTGCCAATCGATCGCGTTTCCAGCTTCTTTACTTGGATAGAACTAACATGTACGTAGCTAGATCTTTGTCGGAAAAAGTTTTCGTACGAAATGCATTCAGGGCCCATTTTCTTGCTAATCTTAGTGCAAATGGCAATACATGTAGGGTCTTGCACATAATACCAAGAGTCCATTATGGACTCTTGATAATACGGCATTCTACGAGATTCTCAGTCTCACTCTCACTAGATATGTACACACAACTCCATCCACCTGCTGGGCAGAAGCGTGCCTGGATATTGGAGGTTTGGGAGGGTAGAGAGTACATGTACATGTATTTCCAATTTATTCCCGTAGCTATGCAAAATAATAATAATAATGACAGTTCGCATTTCACTCATTGCATGAGGTCAACGCATCTGTTAACAATTTCGAGCCAAGCAGCTCTATCAGAAGCAGATTGCACAGCATCCAGAAGCGACAGATTAATGCATTGTAAGTCTTTCCTAGCTATGCAAAAGACGTTATATTATATTATTTAAATTTTGAATAGGGCAATCCCCACAGGCCTAAGGCCTTTTTACAGGGTACCCGATGTGATCACGTACAGATTTGCGGAATAGTGAAAGCGAGGAGCAAGAGCGAATGTCAGCTGGAAGAGAATTCCAGCGGTCAGAAGCCAGAAAGCTCAAAGCGAATAAGCCATAACGATTGCGTGCTGTAGGCAGAGCAAGGGAATCTATGGACTGGGAACGTGTACGGGCAGCTGTGTGTGTTGCGGCAGAACGAAGGCAGAAGCAATCAGAGAGCAGAGTGCTACACATGCCACGTTGGGCCCGAAAGACAAGAATATATACAATTTAAGCTGATAGCGCAGTGCAATAGGAGCAAGGCCATATCTGGTGTGTAAGACTGAAACATCAAAATGCCAAGGGAAACCAAAAACAATCCTAACAGCGCGGTTAGGATTGTTACTTCAGTAACGTCTGGCGCTAGCCAGGGTCCACACAGCTTTAATTTGGTATTTGTTTGTTTGTGTGTTTGTTTGTTTGTTTATGTCACGCCTGGCGCTATATCTGACGGCAAAAAATCATAGGGATGTTATAAATTTTTCTCTTATTTTTTCAGGCATATCCTGGGATTCGAACCCGCACTATCGCCCTACAAAGGCTACGCATATTCCCCCATACACTTCGCATTCATACTCATTCTTCCAAGTAATATTTATTTTTAGTTGCTTCCCGTTATGATCTTGCGTTTGAAAGCCCTATTTGAATATTGCGGGCAGCTGTATGTGGCCAGCTGTGTTTGATGGTACGGTACGGGAGACGGTGTCGTATTACCCTCGATCGTACCTCTCCCGTACCCACAATACGGTACAGGCGAGGTATCCCGTACACATCCTTTTTTTTTGCATGTACATACATTTATTGATTTATTTTTTGAAAAACGTAAAAATGCCCCCGTACCTATCCCTTCCGTACCGTACCATCAAAGACGGCTGGCCACAATGCATATTCAAATAGGGCTTTCAAATGCAAGAACATAATGTGAAGCAACTTGGAAGAATTAGGCTGTGTTTACATGAGAAATTTCAACCCGGGTCGAGTTCACCCCGGGTTGAAAGTCTGTACGATAGACAAAAGAGGTGAGCGTTTACATGAAGACAGTTGACCCGGGTCAAATACTGATATGCCGCCAAAAGTCCACTTCTAGAGTCCTGTATGGTCACGTGAATCCGTTCGCGCGAAATTTGCATCTGCAGTGCTGTTCAAACCTGGCGCGAGATACGCACAGAAGTACGTTTGTACGATTTTCTTGACCCGGGTTGATTTCAACCCTCCCCTTGGGGGGAGGGTTGAAATCAACCCGGGGTGAAATTTCAACCCGGGTCAAGCGCAGTGCGTCATGTAAACGCGCCATTCACTTTGTGCACATGGGGGGTTGAAATCTGACCCGGGTCGAACTCAACCCGGGTTGAAACGCTTCATGTAAACACAGCCTAAGTATGTATGCGAAGTGTATCGGGGGATGCATGCAGGGCGCGATAGTGCGGGTTCGAATCCCAGGTTATGTCTTAAAAAAAAGGAATTTTTAAAGAATTTATAACATCCCAATGCTTTTTTTTGTCTAGGTCATCAAGGCAAAAAAGCATAGCGTAGGGCCCTGAGCTTCCAAGCTCTCTCGTTTCCAGCGATGGCCGACTAAAGGTCATCTCAACACGTTGTGCCGGAAGCAAGACAGACATTTGCAATGCACAGTCAAATGCAGTCCACTACATGTACAATGAATGTGCTGTACAAAAAGCAACATCGGTTTATTACAAGAGCGGGACTGGGGAGATGGTTTGAGACTGAGTCATACAGCAAATCTCCTAAAATAATTGTTGCTAAAGCAGTAAAAGTTGCTAGCAAGCCAAGCGTAGTGGAGGTGAGCAGATGCTTTCAAGCAACTTGATGCTGGCCTATCTCAGACATTTCACAGGGGGTCACGGTGAAAGAGAACATGACAAACAAAACAAGACTGGAATCAACAGTAGTCACACAGCCGTGAGCGCATGTGAGCGCGCTCGGGTGTGTATGTGTCGATAAGAGACAGAGGAGCTCCTAAATATGTACATGTCAGACGAAGAGATTAATCCGAAGAGATAGCATCGAAGACTGATAAACTAGACACTACAAAAACACAGCGACAGCACAATACATGCGGAACAAATGAAGCAGGAGAAATTAAATTCACACCAAGCACCAAGTTCGGATACAGCACATGCTTCTCCATGAACAACACAGCCTGCCTCTGTGTACCCATCCTATAGTAAACGGCTGGACACTACATACTGCCAGCAGATTCAAACTCCTCAAGGTCAGCCAGTTAGATGGTGATCAGCTGGTCGTTGTTATCATCTACTCATGGGAGGTCGTGACATCATACCCTGCGGCGGGGGCATTCCAGGGCCTGGAGGACCTGAACACAAACAACGGAAGCAGAACTGAAAGTTAAATCAGGGCAAGTAGTACCAAAGCAACGAAGGCATGGAGAGCACCGATAATACAGATGTTTCTATTAAAGGTGCGCAAGCCCCCCTGCAGCCACTTCATTAGACATTACACTAAAAACCCTACACACAGTGTGACACCATACTCAAAGCAAGTGGTCTCTTCACTGCAAAATACTAATTTCTAAATCAAATTTTTGGCCAGGAGCCATCATCAGAATACAGATGTTCACCACTTTTAAATCAAGTTGATGAATCAAACTGCATGCTCCTAAGCTACAGGTCCACATTGCCTAGAAATTCTCAGTTTATAGCGAGCACCCCTCACCTGACATGCCCATGGGTGGTGGCATTCCTGGCCGCATCATGCCCATTGGTGGAGGAGGCATCATTGGCATGCCAGGACGCATCATTGGCATCCCGCCTGGCATAGCTCCAGGCATACCACCTGCACCGCCACTCGGCATATTACCCACTGGAGGTGGTATAGCCACACCTGACAAGCAGATAGCACAAATAAAGACAGCATGCATGTATTGTGAATTAGTGAAAGGAGAGGCGTATACAGCAAAACAGGTCAAGGGGACCACTAAGACAAGGCGACCACCTGTCTCAGAGGATCACAAAAACCAGAACGAAATGATGATATTCTTAGTCAAATGAATTTGGATAAGGGGGTGCACACAGGGACCTCGTTTCGAGGGTCACTTGGGAGAATTTAAGCCTAAAATCAATTTTTCACCAGTTGTAGTGTTCGGGGTGCTGAGTCGAATGGTCCGAAAGAATGGTCTTGGTCCGAAGAAGCTGAGACGCTCCGTTCCTCCTTTATTCCCAATCGAACTCGCGCACTTCCACCGAAACTGGGTGACTGCGCCCTACTAGATGGGGATTTGTATGCAAAACGTCACTAAAAGCGCCATTTCGTTCTTATAAAAGCACGGATGACCGCGATTGGCCCATATGTTTTAGTCTTTCGGACGCTGAGTTGACTGGTTTGGTCCGAGAAAGCAGTGATGCAGCGTTCGGCCCGTATTCCCAATCGAACATAGTCGAATAAGTGGTCACGTGCTCATGCGTGCACAAAGTCAACTGGTCACCGTGCCTGCAGGCTACAACTTTCACACCAAGGTTCAACTCGAGTTCAACTCGAGTGACAGGAACGCGCCCAAATAGGCTGTAAGTTGACTGCACTGAATAAACCTAGACCGCCGCACTGCACTCATCCACAATATCCAGCCAAATAGAAGTGTCCAGTGCGTTGACCAGACCGTCTTGCAAATCTTTGAACCTGAGAGCAATGAAGAAATGCTACAAGCCAGGCCAGGGTGCACCCAGGGAGAGTGCTCCATCCGATCAGTTGCAGTGATGACAATCATGAGCCATACATGGCGTATACATACAAAAGTGACACTGCCATGCCAAAAAAGGTGTTCCGCCAGGAGGAGCGAAACACACCATCATGTGCACGGTACGTGCAATAACATAATTAACGTCCTTGAAGGGAGATACAGTACTAGCCACCCAACCTGACCCCTGACATCTAAAGCTAGGCTCTACTTAAAATATAGTGTCACACAGTACGAACCAAGAGGAACACAATGGCATCATGGTTCACTAACCTCGCTGATCTATAAGAGTCTGTGCTTGCTCCTCTACCCACTTCTGGTAATAGTAGCGAACATTTTCCTTGTGCTTGCGACCGTTGTTGTGTGTCTTGCGCACAGATGGCTGCAGAGCAAGCACATACAGAGCAAGATGGACACAGGCCTAGTACGGGACATATACAGGATACCTCAAGCGTGATAGAGACGGCACTACATGAAATTCTGTATGGGATGTGTATTATTACATGGGAAATGTAAGGGAGACCCAAGCCAGGCATAGAGTCAATTCATATATACGTGATACCAGCCGAAACATTACACGGTATGCACTCTCTACATGTAGTCAACACCTCACGGAGTAAGCAACGGGGCAGCTGCTGGCACGTGACCTGGGACCCTTGCACTAATTCACGTGGCATATGCGAACAATGCCGGGCCGCACGCACGCACACACACATATACATTTACACACGTGTACACACACACACACATATATAAACAAACATACATACGCGCACATGTAATAAAGGGCACTGGATCCCAGTTTCACTTGGTGTACATCTAATGAACCTCGGGAATAAAACAAAGCCGTGTTCACTGTACAGCCCCGGGGCGGTTGTATTCATATTCCTGAGGTCAGATTCTATGACTTGCCAGCACCAGCACCAGCACCAAAGCCAGCACCTCCATGCCTATCAATGAATGTACAGGTAACGGCTCAGTGTATGGACACTACTACAATGATTACTATACATGTATGTGCATAGAAGAAGCCACCGGTTGCCCATGCTTGACAGGGAACCTATTAGTCATGGAGACAGAAGCATTGCAGACATGAAAGACAACTTGCAGATGAGGTGCTAACATGTCCTGTGATATATGCATGGGTGGTTGCTTTTCATGCTATCAAGATTCCATAAACAGGAGTACGCAACTGTGTTTATGCGTCCGTGCGTGGCGCTGCCTTCATAACGCAACTTGCTTCCATCACGCTCTGAAAGCATGCATTCAAACCCAGAATCTCTCGTACTAGCACATCCGTTGTTGCTCCATTCTTTCGTGGTCCCACGCGGTCTCTCAATTTCGGGGCTGGTGGACTCCAGTTTCATACGAAAGTTCATTTCAAGCCAGAGGGAAAGGGTGGTGTTTGATTTTCCGCAGTACACGGACTGCAGCTGAATGATGTAATGAAGGCAGCGCGCCGTGCATCTGGTCCATAGCAAAGAGATCACAGTTGGATATTCTTGTTTACAGACTCTTGATGCTGTCTAATGATTGGTTTATGCGTGGAGCTTTGACGATGAAGTTTGAGTCACAGAGGGACGGCTTTTAATCCTTCTTTGTATGCGCACCGTAGAAGAAACCAATGCTTCCAAAGGAGCAATATATACAACAGGGCCTAAGAGTGGAGATGGACCTGGCCTGAAAATTCGGATAATTTATTTTTAACCCTTATCCGACCGTCAAAGTGGACAAATTATCAGTCCCAGCGAGACGCGGCGACCTGTTTTAATGGTAACTTTAGTTTCCCTTTGGTGATAATGGCAATCTTAGGCTTTTTGGAAAGCTTGAGCCATGAGGAGTTCTCTAGAAACAGTTTCTAGCCTTCATTTGTAAGAGGAACAAAAATCCATCTCCAATTCCATTTTTTGAAGAGAAGTACGGCTCTTCGACATGTGGACAATTTTTAGTCTTAAATTTGTACTTTCATGCTAACAAATTTTGAATATACCATCAGGGAAGCCTCCAGGCAAAGTTTTAGGAGGGCAACATAATCATTGCCAAAGTTACACCATTTGGAAACTTGTTTCGTACTCGGTGTGAAAACAGACCTCATTCAGAGACCTATAACTTCTTTTTGGAACCAGCGAAGATGCTCCGGTCTTTTGCAAATGAATGGTGGGTTTTTCTTGCTTCTTTTGAGACCAAAATTGTGCAGATTCGATCACAAATAAGTGAGTTACAGCTTGTCAAATTCATCGACGGATAGTCAATTGGTGTAGCCAAGGGACCCTAAACGAGTGTTGTGAAGATGTATACGGCACTCATAGATCGGAGATCAAGAGTTGCACTTTTGGGGTTATGTACTCTTGATATAACGGATAGCTACAGTGGATTCTTCGCATCTTGAGAAAAGGGCCTGGGGTCATATTGTTCAAGAAGAAAGACTTGGATGGAGAGCCAAGCATTTATTTATAGTAAAGAAAAGGATCAAGGAACTACAAGTTACGCTATAATGTCCACTAACACCACCAGTTACTAAACAATCAGCTCACGTGATAACATTGCTCTAGCACGTCTTGGTAGTTGGAAGGCTGTTGGAGTGCGCATCCAAGACATGCAAGTGCAAATAGCCAGTTAGTTGTAAAACATCAGTACCGTCGGTCAGTGTCGTGCAAAGTTATCGCAAGAGCTGATTTTTTAGTAACTGGTGGTGTTTGTGGACATTATTGCGTGACCAATCCTTTCAATGTTCTTACATTTCCTTTTCCACCTGGACTCCTCCTTGGCTTCCCTTTTTCTCTCTAGCTCTTCTCTTGTACCTTCTTGCTATTATTCACTTAATGTGGGGCTTTGAATAAATCATGGATTAGGACATTCTAGAATAACTTGTAGTTCCTTGGTCCTTTTCTTTACTATAAAGAATGACTTAATGTGCCAATAATAGTGGAGTAATAGTTGCGGCAATGGCGAGTAGCGATTCTCGTATCTTACAGAATCGTGCGTGAGGAACGTATCACAGTAGTCGCAATAGTACCTACAAAAAGACAAACAACAAATTGACAAAAAAAAACAGCAGTGAACGTGAAAGGGAGCAAAAACGATTTACACAAGCCGCAGGGACAAGTTCTTACTTTCCCATGGTTGGTGAAAGACACAGCGTACGTAGCTCAGCTACTATTCCATATACCGAGTTAGTATAATCTTCAATTATGGGCTTACAACATAATGCGAACAAACCTAGGCAAAAGTCGTATTTCAAACTGTGAGATAAGAGCTACAATTGTAAAGTAGAGATGTAATGATACAGGATTATGAATCCAAAAGATCCTGCTAAAAAATTATTTGCTGAACGTTCATTCGTCGCGAGCGAAAAATCAGGCATGACGTCGACGACTCCATGCATGATCCAGCTAGCTCCTGGATATCCGGATATATCCCTACAAAAAAAAAACTTTGCGCAAAAATGCTGAAGAGATGCAGGGCGCGTTTGGTTGGTACGAACTAGAACAGGATTCACCAGAACAGCGCGTTTGGTTGGGACTGCACCTGTTCTGGGTCGGCCAGAACATGTTCTGCTTGCTCCGGCCTCGAGGCCCGAGCAGACCAAGCAGTTTCACTTTTTCACAGTGAAACCTGGCGGGAACATCGATTTTGGTCCCAAATGATCACGTGCATACGCTTTTGGGTTGGACTCGTCGTACCGTACAAAGTGACCATGGTGACCCATACACATTTTGAAGAATGCACCAAGTTTGGCACATTTTTCCACAAAAATGTGCGCTGTTTCTGGAGTAGCGTTTGGTTGGCATGAGGCTGCTCCATGTGCACCAGCTGTTCGATCCTGTTCTAGATCGTACCAACCAAACGCACCCGCAGACTCGTCTACAGTCAGTTTCGCGCGCGCCCGGGGAGTTTGCCGTCTTATCCAGGGAGTCGTAAAATACCGACTCCCTGGTCTTATCGCTCGAGCGCTGCCTGACTGTGAACTCGAAGAAAAATTCCGCGCGAAAGCATGAAAAATGACAACTCACTCAGGTCGCGACGCGCGTGTGTGCAATGTCGGTACAGTCGTGTACGTCTGGTTCACAACAAACGAGTTCTTCCTCGTATCGATTATGGAGTCAGAGAGGACATGTCGAAAGTGTAGTAAATGCCGAGGCTGACGAGCGGCATGGGTCCAAATATGTTTTGTGACCAAATAGTTTCTTTGAGCTGCGATGCAATTTACTCTCACCATGTGACGAAAACGACATCGACACAGACTCATTCCCAAGGCCATGACTTGGCGAAGCTATCCGTATGACTTCGACAACATTTTGAGAAAAGCAGACGCCTGTGGAAGCTGATAGAAGACGGCCGCGGCGTTGACTTCTAAATTCAAATAAATTGGCGATCTTGAAATAGAATGAAGTTGAAGACACCTGCTGTACGAGGTGAATAGCAATTTCTGGACATGAAAATAAAATAGAGGCCCACTGGCTGTGTGTTTTACATTTTTCATATCTATTTGTATCTATTGTATGGCCTAATCCTTCATCTTTCCAAATATGTGACAATTGCTCATGCTGTGATCCCAGAGACTTTATAGCAGGATTTTTTCGACAGGCCAATTTTTTGGCCTAAATTTCAGTGTATGGAATTCTGGACATGAAAGTAAAATAGCGTCAATAGGCATCCTATACTGCACCATTTTTGTTATTTTTTCTATTGGTGGACTGCAGTTGGCCTCTTCACACTTCCAGCCAACAGGTCCAAGACTATACAGCGTCTGAAGTGGAGTGCACATGGGGAAGCCAACGATTCGTCCATTACTTCTTATTTTACTCAAAATTCAAAATTCTCAGGCGACATAGTACCACAAAACTCGTTGAAATGCCTCCCACGAAAAGGCTATCAACAAGGCACCGACACGAGGAGAAACTACAACAGCCCAGCTGTCAACTACAACAAGAAAAAACTTCATCAACCTGACTGACTTGACTCTACACGCGACGAAAAATTATTTTACTCGAAATGTCCAGAAATGTCCAATGTCCAGAAATAGCAATTCACCTCGTACTTATGGTTGATAAATATGGTGGTAAAGACACACCCGGCAATATGGCGGTAAACACACGCCTGCCCACACACGCTCTCTAGGCTGCAAAGTTCTAGCACAGAGCTCTGCCATGCGCTACTTTGACTTGATCAGATGTACCAGCCTGCTATGCCGGATACCGCCAACCATGCATCGACCAGGCGCGAACTGATGGTGGTGGTGGTGAGAAGGAGAGCTCTGTGCTAGAACTGTGCAGCCTAGAGAGCGTGTGTGGGCAGGTGTGTGTTTACCGCCATATTGCCGGGTGTGTCTTTGCCACCATATTTATCAACCATAAGTACAGCTGCAATGGTGTCTTCAACTTCATTCTCCCGAGTCAAGCTCCGTATGAAGACACCCAAGAAGAAGATTGCCTGATGAGTCCAGCGGGGACGAAACGTACGTCGCAATCGAGCTATGTCGTTGCTGTGTCATCTTCTATGTGCCATGCGCTACTTGATGTAGATCTACCAGCCTGCTATGCCGGATACCGCCAACCATGCATCGACCAGGCGCCAGGCGCGAACTGATGGTGGTGGTGGTGAGAAGGAGAGCTCTGTGCTAGAACTTTGCAGCCTAGAGAGCGTGTGTGGGCAGGCGTGTGTTTACCGCCATATTGCCAGGTGTGTCTTTACCACCATATTTATCGATCTTGAAATACTAAAATAATTCTCAAAAAGAAATCGATCGCCGGATATACCGGATCGATGTACCGGTGTATTCAACACGTAGCTACAGCGCAATGACTTCCGTATTCACACACACCGTTTCAGTGTTGTGGGTGTGTTCACATGGCGTGAGCCAGTCAAGTGTCAGTCAGCTTGGGAAGAAGCGGGAGCTCCAACAACAACAACCGTGAACAACCAGGGTCGGAGGAAGGAGTTTTGGAGTGGTCCGGCCAACCTTTGAGGGGGGCCGGGGGACGTCCCCCGGGAGAAATATTTAAAATTTACGTGAAATAGAGCGAATTTGGGCACCTCTTAACTCCAGAAAATGCAGAAAATTATAGTAAAAGAACACAAACGCAACTTTTTTTTATCCATATCATTAAAGCCATACAGTGCCGGTCATGGAGTCCTGAGCTACTTCGAAGCACATCACACGTCGGCAGTACAGTCGAGCCATGTACCTCTGGATTTTTTTACACCGGTTTTGCACGAATCACATGGACCATCCAGCTGGGAAAGTGGTCCGGCCATGGCCGGACCAGCCTGACCGGTTCCGCCGGCCCTGACAACAAGTCTGCTTGATCACCAAGAAACAATAAAAAAAAGGTTTTTAATAGTTGAAGATGGGTTGGGATTTGAACTCACAACTATTACAGTCTGTATTTATTTATTTTTCACTGTGTACAATGAAATGGATTACAAACATGCACGCGAAACGAAAGCAGAACGCGTTAACGGTAGCCAAATATAATAATTTAGTGCGAAAATAAGAAAAATAAATAATAACACCCGAAAGCGCTAAATACAAAATCAAGAAAAAGGGAAATTATAAACCATGTAGCGCTAATGTGCACCAAATAATAATCTGATCTTTGACACCAGCGCAGCGGTGATGGTGCATGACGCCTTGTACTGACCAGAGAGTGCAGTGGGATCCAGGAGTCCAAGGCCACCATCTCTGCAGGGGAAGCTTAGCAACTTCCGTTCAACGGTGCCCACCGAGCGACCACAGAGCGAGGGGATGAGGCGGGAGGCAATTGCTTCCTCCAGCGTGCCTAAAGCTGAAGCGGCCCTCTCCATCACACGGCACAGAAATGACCAACGGTGCTTCAGGCCATGCGTAAAGGCAGAGAAGGCAGCTTGCGGCTGGGAGTCGGCGATCTCAGCAAGGGTTAGGACCTCCTTCCTCCAGGACTCTGCTTTTTGGCTGAGGTAGCCATCCACAAAGCCAGAGGTGCCAATAGCTGCTCCAAGAAAGCGGTGACCGTCGTCGGTGATGGTGACACCAGTACTCTCGAAGATTCTGCTGGCTTCTTCGAGGTGCGGTGGCTTGACGACCAGCACAGACTTTGATGGATTCGGCTTGTATCCGTACAACGGACCCCGCTGGCAGAGAAGGTCCCACCATGCTCGCAGGCGGATGATCCTCCCAGCAGCTGACGAGTCGTCCGCATACCAGAGCTGGGTGGCCTTCGCTGCTGACAGGGAACGGATCAGTGGAAGAATGGCAACGGCGTACATGGGCATGGCTAAAGGATCACCCTGGGTTGTTCCTTCAGCCGACATGATAAAACTACCTCCAACAAACAGCTTGGCTGGGCAGCGATACGTGTTGATCACTACTGTGGCTAGGGATGGGCAGAGGTGGCGCAGGTTGTGTAGACAGACTTCCCGGTTAAGCTGATTGAAAGCGTTTGTGGCATCCGCCATCAACACTGCTTCGGTGTCGTCTTGGTCAAACATCTGCTGCATTGCATGGATTGCGGCCTCAATGCCGCATTCCTGTCCAGCACACAATTGGAGACTTCCTGCCGCTTCCTGGATGTCGCTTCTGATGAGGGCAAGGATGGCTTTGCCAATGATTCGTCTCACCACTTCGCCTATGCCGATTGGGCGAACTCCTGGGTCCTTGTCAAGCGGGATAAGCTTGGATGCTACGTACGCCTCCAAGGTGACCATGGTGACTGGGTCAACATGCTCTGTTGCAAGCCGTCGAGCAGAGGCAGCCAGTGCATCACATAGCAAGTCTGATGCTTCCGAGAATGCCGTACACATCCATCTCCACGCGTCTGCATCAATGCCAGATGGACCTGCTGCTCCATGAGTGTTAAGGGCAGCTCTCCGAACCGTTTCTCGGTCTAACCCAGAGAATCTTGTTGGATGCGGTGTAGGTGGAGCCTGTATCGGCTATAGCGTACCCTTTTGATTTCCGTGATTTTATCACTATAACCGATGCATCACTATATGCGATACGACCGATTTTTTTCGATCGACACATGAAAGGCAAGGAAATACTTCCAGCATGGCGTTTTGACCAGGGAGTCGTAAAATAGGGGTATTTTACGACTCCCTGGTTTTGACAAATGAGCATGCTGCATAGTTGACAGTGCCCGCATTTCCATAAAAAAATTCTGTTATGTAGATGTACATGTATCACTACAAAAATAAGCAACGTGAAGAAAGTAAAAAAATAGGGCCTTTGATATTATTGCAACATGTATTTTAAAGTTATCACTATAGCCGATAATAATGTAGTGTGTTATGCATGTTTTGATTCTTTGTTGCCATCATAATATCCGATATATCACTACATCCGATAATATTGGTTATAGTGATATTTGTACTGGATAAAATACGTTTTGCTTTTGATATTTCGGACCAATATCACTGTAGCCGATATATTCTTATATCCGGTCACTATAGCCGATACAGACTGTACTTCATCAGCGGCTGAGTTCATGGTCAGCAGACAGCATCCATAACCACAAAGCCAAAAAGGAAAAGATAAATCGTGGGTTTTGATGAAAAAATCGATACTGGCTTCCAGGGCAAATTGTAAACCATGGGAAAAGGCCGGAAACCTGGCCGAAATTCTAACTCCTTAAACGCTGGTTGATAAATATGGTGGTAAAGACACACCTGGCAATATGGCGGTAAACACACACCTGCCCACACACGCTCTCTAGGCTGCAAAGTTCTGGCACAGAGCTCTCCTTCTCACCACCACCACCATCAGTTCGCGCCTGGCGCCTGGTCGATGCATGGCTGGTGGTATCCGGCATAGCAGGCTGGTACATCAAGTAGCGCATGGCACATAGATGATGACACAGCAGCGACATAGCTCGATTGCGACGTACGTTTCGTCCCCGTTGGACTCATCAGGCAATCTTCTTCTTGGATGTCTTCATACGGTGCTTGACTCGGGAGAATGTAGTTGAAGACACCACTGCAGCTGTACTTATGGTTGATAAATATGGTGGTAAAGACACACCTGGCAATATGGCGGTAAACACACACCTGCCCACACACGCTCTCTAGGCTGCAAAGTTCTGGCACAGAGCTCTCCTTCTCACCACCACCACCGATGGTGGTGACCACCATCAGTTCGCGCCTGGCGCCTGGTCGATGCATGGCTGGTGGTATCCGGCATAGCAGGCTGGTACATCAAGTAGCGTATGGCACATAGATGATGACACAGCAGCGACATAGCTCGATTGCGACGTACGTTTCGTCCCCGTTGGACTCATCAGGCAATCTTCTTCTTGGATGTCTTCATACGGAGCTTGACTCGGGAGAATGTAGTTGAAGACACCACTGCAGCTGTACTTATGGTTGATAAATATGGTGGTAAAGACACTCGTAAGTTACTATGGAGATTCGGATTATAATCCTAGGATTATTTCGATTTTGCCGCAGTCTGACCAGGCCCTAAGTTATTTTCATACTTTTTAAGACCAACACCTGATTGCTAATCTTTTTGAAACAGATTATAGACGACGTAGATTCTACGATTCGCGTGCGCTTACTGAGCTATGCCGTATGCGCGCTAGCGATCCTCGGATCACGGAGTCGCCATGGCATAGGCATCACTGCACCTATTATAGAATCTACGTACCAGTCCAGCACCAAACGTCAAACGACCGAGGGTTATGGACTCTTGGTTTCACCATAGCAGAACCTCTCTATGGTTTGCTGGTGCCCCGCTCGCGCTGGGTCGTTTGACGTTTGGTGCTGGACTGGTACGTATATGCCAATAATATGGTGCAGTGGTGCGGCTCTCCTTCGGCTTCGGCCTTCTTCCTGATCCTGTACTCATGGTACTGGGCCTGCCCTCTTCGGATGCTCACGGTTCTTGGTTCCAGTTGGGTGATTGATTTGATTTGATTGATTTTATTTTACTTCGCAAGTTCAAACGGGTTCCTGGCCCAGTTATATGAAAGCGAAGGATAGAATCTGCCAAAATCCTAATGAGCAACAGCATAGGCAATATTATCATAGAAGTGGAGTACTATGCGAGCGAGAATACTGAGAAGAAAGGAACATGTCAAACCCTGACGAAACACAACCTATTTCAGGCATACATAAGGAAGGCAGGCTAGCTTAAAATCTTGCAATCTGGATACGGTGCGCACCTCTCTAGGCAAACTGTTCCACAGCAATGCTCCTGCGGTGGCGAATCTCGTTTGGCCACACCGACTGCGAGCTGGCTGGCTGAGCAGACCATTGGCATGCTGATGGCGCGTACTTCTGCCGCTGCATGCTGCAGTGCTGGTTTGAGAAGCTGGGCTAGAGCAAGGCTAGTGGAGTCATTTAGACAACGCCAGATGAAGATCAGGAGCTTTTGTTTAAAAAGTTCAGTGACGCGGTAAACCGAGTTGGCAGCCAGGAGGGGCTGCATTGCGGAACATGGCGGGCTGCCATCAATGCATCGGATCGCCCGGTTTTGCATGGCTTGCAGACGCTGAAGTTGGGTCACGCGGAGGGCTGCAGAGAAGCAGCAGGCACCATATATCGGTGCTTGTCGGATTGTTGGTTTGACAGCATGAAACAAGGTGGAGGATGTACATTGTACGTCCTCCCATTTTTTTTTACAATGCATGAGTGGTATACCGGTACATGTACATGTAACGACGTCGGCGATGATTTGTTAGGAAAGAGTTTGCTCCCCATACTGGAGCTCGCGCTTTTCCGCTGACTTGAAACTAGGTGGTTTGGAGGTGACAGCTTTGTGAATGACCCAGAGTCTTTGACGTTTGTTCTGACCAGTCCAGGAGCAACACTAACTCACGCTGCTACCCGATGTTCACGAGGTGTTTGTCGCGCTGGAAACGGAGCGTCTCTGCAAGTTTGTATCCCTGGTGAAGTACCTGGAGCACTATCTTCTTCAGGCACAATCTTCCTCAACCTAATTAGGCTCAACTGATGAGGGTTGAATTCCCCGAAACACTGTGTATTGAGCAGGGAGTACATTGTAGTGCTTTCTTGCAGGGTTGCCGAGTCGAAGGTTCGGGGGACTTCTCGTGTGCTCTGAACATGAATAGCGGTCGTGAGTCAGTCAAGTGTTACCGGTATGTCAAGTCTGCGGGAAAGCCCAGGCTGCTCGCAACAACCAGCTCAGCAGACTCCGGATGCCGAACCGATCACTCGCTGAAAAGACCCGTCCGTGAACCCCGCAAACACAATGACATTTTGCGGTCGCGCATTATGACAAAGCAACAGAGCAAAATGACAGACGAGACTGGATGTATGGTAGATCTACACATGGGAGCAAGATTCCGAGACTCGATCGTAGAGTAGCACTATCAGCACGAGCGTACTGCTCCTTCCCCCTATCACTGATATGACGCTATTCGGCGATTATACAGACAGTGCTGTAGCTGCTCTTCCCATGCCACCACTCGCTGACAGCACAACCAGCAAACGACGTCGCACATGCTCCACCTCGTAGCTCTCTCTCACTCTCTCCTCATAGAGTCATACTCAGTCATAGCATCTTCTCTTTTCTCACCTCAGTCTCAACCAGGGAGTAGTAAAAAATAAGTATTTTACTACTCCCTGGTCTCAACCGGGGAAGTACAGTGCTGGCGCGCCGCCAAGGGAGTCGGATTTCAGTTGCCAGCACTGTACAATGTCATGTATTTGACGCCTTCCCTTCACTAGTATTAGTTTATAAGTAACTTTAGTTAGTAGCCCTATTTCCGCGTCAAGATTGTGACATGTTTGGTCAACGGAGGGTTATCATGGTTATGGACTCTTGGTGTGGTGTATGTGGTGATGTGAGTGTGACATGTGGTGATCAGGGAGTTGTATGGTCTTTACTCTTTAGTCTCTTACTGGTGGTGATGCGGTGATCGACCTCATGCTCAACCACACCAACGACCAGGCAACGACGTGGTAGATCTACAACACGACAGTATTACCTATGCGATACGGATTCTAGATCTACAACATAATTATTATTCTGCCATATTTATTTGCACATTCCTCTTGAACACGTGCCCCCTCTTTTCGCTCAACCAAACTGTCCAAAGAAGGATTGTGGTACAGCTGTGGTACAGCTGCTGATGTCCGTGCGCGTAGCGACAGTGCAGTGAGCTGCTCTCCTTTTGCCCGATTTGGGGTCAATGCGTACATTCGGTCCATATTTCTCCTTCATGCACGTAAAAGTCGTTGGTAATCAAATCACTCATGCATAGTGCCAGTTTCTGAACATTTTAGAAGATCAAGAATGTTTCCTGGCCTTGATGCCGTTGACAGGCTTACTTGTTGACATCAGCTTCAGCTCAGTTCAGGATCTTTGACTTTGTCACACTCAGCTCACCGTAACTCACCCCGAGTTTGCCGTAGCTGTAACCAATATTTTTTTCGGAGTTCCAAGTGACAGTTATTTTTGAAGTTCGGCCTATGATTTGAGAATTAGGACCAGCTGCCAACCGGCATTTCAGCCCGAGGCTGGCAAGGACAAGTCAGTAAGGGTGCAGCGACTACAGGAGCGGAAAATCGAGACTTGACTTGATCACTCAGTAGTCCATTTGTAATGCTGTTGCCCTTGGATGGGTACTGTGAGTTCGACTAGAAATATCATCACGCATGGCTCCTAGTCCAAGACGTCCCTGGACAGCAGCACAACTGAACAAATTTTGAAAGTAGACGGTGAAACTTGCGGCACGAATTTGACAAGTACTGTTTCTGCAGCTTGCGAAAGCCGGTCGTGAGCCCGTCCTGGCTACTACTTATAGGATTAGGAGACCCGTCTCTTTTATCCCCAGATTTCCTGGCTGCAACTATGGGTTCAGAAAGTGTGCTGACTTGGATCAAGAAAGTCCTCTCAAGTGAGACGCTAGCAGTAGCTGACCTGTCGGAGGCCTGGAATGATGGAGTTCTTTTCTGTGAAGTAGTGAACTGCTTGGCACCAGATGCAGGGTAAGTGCGTGTGTGGGATGTGTCTGTGTGTCTGCATGTCTGTGTGTGAGACATGGATTTGCCCTGTCAAGAATATACAACCCTCAACAGACTCAGTGTGCAGTGTCCACTGACTTTGATACCCAGCCGAACAGGGGTCCATTGTATGTACAGCTTATCCCCCTCTAGCAAGAATCCATCAGGATTTCCCTACCCGTCTGTGCAAAACCATACAGGGCTGCCGAAATGTGATTTTCTCACTTCATTTTGGATCCAATGTGGAGATTTAGGCCAAGTCAGTAAACACTAGACCTGTACCTCAGAATTTGGAGCACAGCAAGGAGACCTGGCCGGAAGGTGTATGTTGCATCAATATACATGCATGTACAGTGCTGCTCATTGAAATCCGATCGTGTGAGTCAAGTACGGGTGCCGTGCAGCTTTAGACCTGTGAACACCGGGATGTGAAGTGATGCAGGGCGCAAACTGGACTCACTCGATCGGATTTCATTGATCAACACTTCATGTACTGTAGTGTCAGACACCCTGATACTTTTTCTTCTTCTTCCCGAATTCTTACACACATGCCTGTGAGGTGATGTCCTCGACTCGCTCCAGGTGTTCGAAATTCAGCTTAGAATGTTCACTTTTGCTGGAATGGTTTCTTTGTTTATCAAGCTTGCACTTGGCCAGTCATTCTGCATAGGCTTGCTGTGCCGGTGACAATATCAATAGGGCAAGGTATGCCTTCCGTATGCAGGTTACACCCAATACAGAATGAAATCCATCTGGACATTTTGCTCCGTCTGGCAAAAGATGACCCATTCTGAAAACAACTTTCGGTACATGGGTCACTCCTTCGGTACATGGGTCACTCCGCAACCTGTAATATAGACCTTATGCTTGTTGTACAGATGTACGAAGTTCTGTACTAAGGGGCCATCCGTAAATACCGATATTTATTTAGAAACGAAAACTAGTCGTTTCTCTTCAACCCCCCTCCCTCAGAAACGAACACATACAAACGATGCATAGTATCGATATTTTTTCTTTTCTTTTCTGCACGTGCCCACACATACAAACTGTGCATCGATATTTTTCGAGAAACAAACAGGTGCTAAACCCCCCCCCCCCCCCCCCTAAACGACTAGTTTTCGTTTCTAAATAAATATCTATATTTACGGATGGCCCCTAAGGTCGTAGGTGTGTACAGACCCGGTTGGGTGTTCATCGTGTGCTATACATGCGCATTTGACCAATTTTTGCCTCATAATTAATGGTAAACAATCGCTTTCCAGCTTCTTCACTTTGGTTAGAGCTAATAACTATTTAGATCTTGTCAGAAAAAAGGTTTTCGTAAGAAATGCCTTCAGGGCCCATTTCTTAGTGGAAATAGCAGTAAACACAATAGGGTCCTGCACATTCAACACCCAACCGGGTCTGCGGGATTCTACGAGATTCTACGGGATTTCGTGCATCTGTACAACGTGCATAAGGCTTATTAAAATTCATACGAAGTTAGTGTGTACACGGTTTGCATCATTCCATACTTGGCATTCATCCTTAATTGGCAGAAGTGTGTACAAGGAAATTATGTCATTGCATTGCTGCTTGATTAGTTTGTAGTGGCCCTCCATAAGGGCCAGTTCACAATACAACTTTCTGCGACGCGACACACCATTTGCGACAGTTGCGACAAAAAACTGCCTGTCGCGAGCTGTTGCAAGTTGTCGCAAGGCACCTGTCGCAGAAGTTGAAGAAAGTTCAACTTTTGCGACATGCGACACGTGACATACACAAATGGAGTACAGTTTCTACCCTGGGTGCACGTGCAGTGCACGTGCAGTGCACGTGCATAGTACTACTTGTGCATAAGGATGTCGCAAACATGAGAAAGACTGTGAACCGTGTGTCGCTGTCGCAGCTCGTCGCAAGTCGCATGTCGCGTCGCAAGAAGTTGTATTGTGAATCGGCCTTAATTATCAAACTTTTACAGTATAAACACAAAACGGAAAAAAAATTCGTTTATGGGTGGGTGGCCATGGGTCGATCGAGGAGAGTTTCGTTTTGAAAATATTGATAGCTGAAACATCGATCCATTCTAGCCACAAGGTCACTATATTTTTCGTTCAGGGTGGGTGGGTGGGGGAGGAGGGTTGTAACTAAATATTTGTAACTGGGGCTTAATGATAAGGGTGAAACGATTACATTTTTTGACTACCGGATGACCTAAGGGGCCATCCGGCATTATCGATTATTTTCACGGAACAAAAAGCTTAGTTACAACCCCCTCCCCCTAGGCCCTTGTGATGTAGTTACAACCCCCTCCCCCTAGGCCCTTGTGATGTAGTTACAACCCCCTCCCCCTAGGCCCTTGTGATGTAGTTACAACCCCCTCCCCCTAGGCCCTTGTGATGTAGTTACAACCCCCTCCCCCTAGGCCCTTGTGATGTAGTTACAACCCCCTCCCCCTAGGCCCTTGTGATGTAGTTACAACCCCCTCCCCCTAGGCCCTTGTGATGTAGTTACAACCCCCTCCCCCTAGGCCTTGTGATGTAGTTACAACCCCCTCCCCCTAGGCCCTTGTGATGTAGTTACAACCCCCTCCCCCTAGGCCCTTGTGATGTAGTTACAACCCCCTCCCCCTAGGCCCTTGTGATGTAGTTACAACCCCCTCCCCCTAGGCCCTTGTGATGTAGTTACAACCCCCTCCCCCTAGGCCCTTGTGATGTAGTTACAACCCCCTCCCCCTAGGCCCTTGTGATGTAGTTACAACCCCCTCCCCCTAGGCCCTTGTGATGTAGTTACAACCCCCTCCCCCTAGGCCCTTGTGATGTAGTTACAACCCCCTCCCCCTAGGCCCTTGTGATGTAGTTACAACCCCCTCCCCCTAGGCCCTTGTGATGTAGTTACAACCCCCTCCCCCTAGGCCCTTGTGATGTAGTTACAACCCCCTCCCCCTAGGCCCTTGTGATGGGTATGTTTGTACTACAGCATCTAGGAACTAATAATGCAGAAACCCTTCAACCTTTTCTCCTATATTCTTTCCTCTACAGGCTATGTACTCCAACGGATGACAGGAAATCCAACATCTTGTTGGTAGGTTCCTTTTGCCATTTCTCTGCTGGGCCACAATTTTATCTGGATTACATAGCCATGAGTGTAAAACTTGACGACCCCTCGGCCCAGGGTAGACTTTTTTTATGGCATCTGTCCTCCGGGGCCATTTGGCTCATTGTGTGACACTGATGCGGTCATGCGTAGCCAGAGATCAAGAGTGCAAAGACCTTTTACATCGCAGCTATCGTTGTCATAGCAGAACATGGGACGGTAGATTGATGCATCCTAAACCTGATGAGCTGATACCGTGTCTCCGTGGCAATCACGGAAAGGTCTGTGCGCTTGATCATACTTCCCCACTGTGCACTTCACAACGGTCTATTAACTGCGAATAGCTAAAATCTAGTTTCTTTGCATTCCGCCAAATATTCGAGCCTGGCCCTCATTGAACCGTGCCGTTGTAGAAGTATGAGTATGAATTCAGACTCACGAACTTGCAGTGGCGTCCCAAGTTTACTACTACCAAGAGCACATAAACAAGAGTGTGCAACCTTTCTTGGCTTGGTTCTTGACGGAATATTTTGTTGACGTCAACTTTAGTGCAGATCATGAGTCGTACCGTACGAGGTATGTACTGCGAGTCTGTGGCCGCGTTAACTCGGCAAGGTTTCACTAAACTTGCGCGGGGAGTACGGTAAAAGCGTACTAGCAGCGGAAAGAAAGTTAAACATTATCATTTTGTTAGCGGCATAAAAACACAAACTTGCGATGTAGGTCGGCTCCCAGTGCGTTCTTTGTACAAGTGTCATAGGTTCTGAAAAAGGTGACAGCAAGATTTGTTTGCTGTGACCAGTTACGGAGTTGCACACTCTTGTTTATGCACCCTTGCTACTACGAATTGCCCTTTCTGTGATAGGTATTGTATGGTCATTGGGTATAACGTGCCCTTTATAACCGGTTTGATATGTCTGCTGTCTTCCATATCATTGTCCCGCAGGCATTTGAAAAGGCTGAAGAAGTTTTAGGCTTCGCTCCATGTGCTGAAACTGCCGAAGATATCATTGCCACTGATCCAGTACCTGAAGAGAGTGTTTTGTCATTTTTATACGCGCTGGCAGATGAACTTTCACCAACTCTAGGTATGAGCCGACTGTGTGTTGTATTTAATCCTCCCGTTCTAATTTAGCCTGTGCCCCCCTCCCCCCGTACTGGATACTTGTGGCTCTCCGTCAACACATCGCCCATATGCTTCGAAGTATTTCTTCATAACTAATATTTGAGTTTACCTAAATCTCAGCGCACTACATACATGTCCTTACTTCGAAGTATTTTACATCATGTAGTATCACATTGTGAGTTGCTTAGGGCATTGTGAGTTGACTGGTTTTACCACAAGTATTGTATTCTTGTTTACTAGTACATTGTATCTAATCTTTCTCTTGCACTTGGAGTTGTGCTTGTTACTGTATTTTGTGTGTTTTGCTAATGGGTAGGTCGTGGTCGTAGGTTTCACTTGTGTGTGTGTGTGTGTGTGTGTGCGTGTGCACATGCTTTTTGCACTTGCCTTACACCTCTGTGTATTCCAGATGAGTTTGAGTTGGGAGACCCGTCGAGCGCAAGCAGTTCTAAGAGAGCAGCTGCTCGTGAACGCCGCACCTATTCATCAGCCAGTCGTAGGTCTCCTTCACCCTATCGCTGCAAAGGAGTCTCTGAATCGGTACTTCTAGAACAACAGAGAGCAAGTTTACCCGAGGCACCGTGCACTCTTAATAGTGGACAGGGACTGTGTGCGACTTTACGAGACGATGCGTTTGCTGAGGACGATACCCTGGCAGCTAATATCCAGGAAAAGCATGACCAGCAATGCGAGGATCGTGACGAGCAACCTACCAAGCCAGATAGCGGGATTGGCGAAACTGAAGGGAGCCCTGTTCTAATGGCCAGGGGTGATGAGTCCAGTTCTGATGTTGCTGTTGCCAGCTCTGTAGATGAGAAGGAAGCTAGGACTGCTGTAAGTGAGAAAGATGATGACCAGGACGCAAGTAGCAGGAAAGCTGAGACTACTGCCAGTGACCAGACAGTAGAGAGTGTCACAGGAAAGGAGACTGATAAGCCAGCGCACGGTGTTGTTGACAGCTCTGTAGATGAGAAGGAAGCTAGGACTGCTGTAAGTGAGAAAGATGATGACCAGGACGCAAGTAGCAGGAAAGCTGAGACTACTGCCAGTGACCAGACAGTAGAGAGTGTCACAGGAAAGGAGACTGATAAGCCAGCGCACGGTGTTGTTGACAGCTCTGTAGATGAGAAGGAAGCTAGGACTGCTGTAAGTGAGAAAGATGATGACCAGGACGCAAGTAGCAGGAAAGCTGAGACTACTGCCAGTGACCAGACAGTAGAGAGTGTCACAGGAAAGGAGACTGATAAGCCAGCGCACGGTGTTGTTGACAGCTCTGTAGATGAGAAGGAAGCTAGGACTGCTGTAAGTGAGAAAGATGGTGACCAGGACGCAAGTAGCAGGAAAGCTGAGACTACTGCCAGTGACCAGACAGTAGAGAGTGTCACAGGAAAGGAGACTGATAAGCCAGCGCACTGTGTTGTTGACACTGAGAATATTGACGGTGCATCCGATCAAGTGCATGCACAGAGTCGTGAAGACGGTGAACCAGCAGCAGATCTGGTGTCTAGTACATGTAGCAAGAAAGCGCAGACTGCTACCGAGGATAAGCCACCAGAGTCCAGCACTGAACATACGCCGAGTGCTAGTACATTGGATGTGCACGTCAAGTCGGGCACTCCTAATAAACCTGCTAGGAAAAGCAGCACTAGTCCTTTGCGCTCCACTTTTGATGCTGGTCATCCACTTAACATTGCTGCTGCAATGATTACAAAACCGAGCACCATTGCCAGTGGACAGCCGGCTGACACGAGTAGCAGCTGCAACACCGGTGTGAAAAGCGAACGGTCTGCACCGGGATCAGCTGATACTAGTGACACTGGTGGTGAACTCACGGACACTGCAACCCCACAAGAAGCTGGGGCCAAGAAGAAGCTTCCTCCTTCGGTAAGGCTTAGTGATGTGTTGTTGTCTTCATCTACCATCTATCTGCGCATTGTTGGCTACTAACATGAAGTACCTCTCGTTGCCATGGCGAACTCTTGGCTTCTATCTAGCATCTAGCTGAACGCTTGCTGCTAAGTTACGTCTGTTTAATTTTGTATTGCATTGTATTGTATGTCATTTTCTCACTGGTGTTTGTTTACATGTAGTCGTATGACACTGGTGAGAACATAAGAACTGATACAAAATACATATTCACTGTGGCCATTAGCACTACTTTGGCATTAATTTTATTCAAAGACCCATTCTCAGCTTGTCAGGTGGAATTCTTTACTGCATGTACATGTACTGGTATGTCAGTAGCTACACTCCATGTCGAATTTTACTAAGTCTTACTGATGCTGTCAATTTGAATTCGTTCACGTGAACATCCTCGCAGGCCTCTATGCGGAAGAAGAATAGAGCTCCCAATCCTGTTGTACCGAAGCCTGAAGACCTGGATGCTGCCATAAGGCCACACGAGGTGAGAACAATGGCGTTTCTATTGACTTTATTTTAGGCACTTTCAGATTTCCTTTGTAGCAGTTTTCTATTTTGATTAGGAAAACTTTGATAATGATTGATGATAGGAACTAATGGCGGTAAGACCTTACATAGTTAACGTGCAGCATGCAGGACTATGTGACGGTCTTGTCCTATTGTAGTACATCTTCAGATGAGTGTGCGTTGCAGCCTGCCTTGGCACTGATTCAAGTGAGCAAGGCAGTATGCTGCTCTGACTGAGACTGTGATGGCACCCCAGACTGCTGCTGTGTTTGATCTTTTACTGTACATTGCATGTGAGTAATCAACGGGGTGACCAGTAAAGAGTAGTGCAGTCATCCCTGACGTGCCCGCGTTCGTGCGCGCACACACACATACATACACACATGCACATTTGCACCATACAAAGGAAGGTGTGGAGTGTCAAAGAACATTTCCTTGTGATATTCTTTTATTGGGTTACGTCACTAAGTAAAGCGAGTATAAACAAGGCTGCTGGATTATCAAATCCTGCCCTCCAACCCAGTCCACCTGTTAGCATACATGTTTGTGTCGTACCATCAAAACGTAGGGATTTTCTGTGTCAATCCAAGCACTTGTGGAATGCGTGTCTTTAACATACACTTGGGAATATCCCTTGCACTGGTACTGTAAACCGCCCAATATTCGCGTCACTAAATTTTCGCGATTTCTTAGAATCAGCAAGTTTGCGATGGCAAAAGTTCGCGAAGCAACGGGGTCACCTACATACACCCACTGTTGAAGCTTGATTTCACGCTGGTTAATATTCGCGTTACGCTCTTCTCGCGAAAATAGCGAACATTAATCCGTCGCGAATATTAGGCAGTTTACAGTATAGGATATTCCCAAGTGTATGTTACATGTGTTGTGTATGTTACAATGCTCCCTGACAGCATGCGATGTACAACTGCTGGATTAGAAAATCGAATTATGTACATGTACAGTTTGAGTGATTTGTTGCAGAAAATCGCTGCTGGAGGCAGAATTCAAGTGCCAGATTAAAGTGTAGAAAATGAACTGAAAAAATCCGTTTTGCCAGAAGGTGTGCTGGTTTGCAAGGGTGCTGGATAAACAAGTGCCGGATTAGAGAGGGACGACTATACAGGTGGAATCCTGATAATTCGAACCTCAAAATGCCAGGGAAAAACTTCGAATTATCCGGACATTCGAATTATCCAAACATGCACCCACAACCCAATATGTATGTCAAAATGCTCTCATGGTCACGCAGAACTGCGCTATGGACCTTAATAGACACAGATTTCACGGGTACTGAACTGACTGTCACAGCCTGCTCATGCAAACTGAACTGACCAGTACAGTGTACAGTGAACTTCGAATTACACTTGGCTAACTTCGAATTATCAGCACAAATCCCACACATTTTCTATGTAAGTGGAATCCGTGGAACTTCTAATTAACCGGACATATCCAGTTCGAGGTTCGAATTATCAGAAATTGTTTATGTGGGAATCGTATTGCTAGAAATCGGTCCTGGAAAAACTTCTAATTAAGCGGTATGTTCGAATTAAGCCATATTCGAATTATAAGGATTCCACCTGTATCTTGTTACAGTCGTGGATAGTTGCTTCATAACTCGTTCCCATGTGATTTCTTCTTCTATTTTACATTTACACTGGCTCATTAGACACCCTGGGCCTTAGCAAAAACGTTATGTTGCAAAGGTATTGCCGTAAAGGGGAAGAATACCGTGATTCGGGTTCGACCTTTAGCAAGATACACGCTATTTTAGTACCGTAATCTTGCGCATTTAAGACCATGGTCTTATAATCGAAACGTCGCTGTTTTCGGTCCTTTCACAAGTGCATTTTCGTTCGATTATAAGACCATGGTCTTATATGCGAGAGACAAACATCGCATCGACATGTACATGTGCAAGTACGCATATTATTGGTTAATGCCAGTACAATGGAACCATGATGAACCTCGTGTGGTTTTGTGATTTTCATTCACTTATAAGTGCATGTTCTTATAAGCGAGAGTGCTCTTATATTCCATGAGAATAGCTTTTATTTCGCGCGGTACAACCATTTATGTCACCATATACGCGATACAAGGTGAAATGCGAACGGACTATGCAACAAAGACTTAGAGAGTACAAGTAAACTAGAGTCTTTAGAACTAGAAGGAGAATATGATGCAAGTGTCCAATCCGACCTACATGATGTGAGAATTACGGCTGATCCTTGGTTCAGTGGTGTATGTCTTCCTTGTAGTGTTCATGCGATGAAAGAAGCAGTATACGTTCACAAGCCAGGCCTTTGCATACAGAGATAAATTATATCACCTCACTCACACTCAACTGAAGAGCATCAGAAGGAAATGTTTTTGGACCCTCCAAACCCTCCTTCCCAAGGTGTACTTGATAATAATGTGTGTGTGTGGGGGGGGGGGGGGGGGGAGGTGGTACCAGTGTTGGCTGCGCAACTCATTCTTCTATTGTCAATGTGATTTTACGAACGTTTTTTCGATTTGGTTTTGTGCCGTGCTTGAATACAGTCTGTCCCTGAAGGTTGCTGCAATATGTGCGGTGAGAGAATCTTTGAAATCGAAAAGCTCGAGCTGGAGGGAGTCGCCATTCATCGCAAGTGCCTGCGTTGCCACATCTGCAAGAAGCCACTGCAGATGCAGACATATGAAGTGTTCAGCAATAGGTTTACGTGTTCGCACCATTACCGCATGATGGTAAGCCCGTCACAGCACTCATCAACTCACTGTTGTGTATGCCCATGTGCACAGTAGTCAATAACACAGTATTCCAACGAGAGTTACTGAACATGCTAGCAGTCACTCTGCTTTCTTGACTTGTCAAGGTATCATGAGTAATGTGGACTTGTGATTGGTATTGGCCATGATCATGGGGTATCCACCAGGTTTTCCGCGGCAGGGCTGTAGCTTGCAGGGTTTTACATTCTCTTTTGTAGGCATGATGGCGTCTCCCGCCAACCGGCATGTGACTACTTCGAAGTATGTATATGACGTGTGCGCTTCCAGTCATGTTTGGGTTGCCCATACATAGGCTTGGGATAGCGATGTGATACGATGAGTTGGTAGAATAGTACAACCGCTGTAGTTCAACTCCCCTGTACCGTGTAGCTGCTCCCGGCTGCGGCTTGCTAGATTGTAGGCAAAGTGATGACATACTAGTACTATCACAATGCACTCCATGTCTGGAGTGATGTAGATTTAGATCTCTCCCCTTCAGTTTCAGGTGGTTGCAACCCTGACTTTCTTTGAATCCTTTTTTGTGCCTTGATCTAAATTATCAGTTTCCTCTGAGACAAAAATGCGATAATACTCATAAAAAGGACACACTTCAGATGAGAAGGCTTGAAAGTATACTTGTGAAACCAAAAACTTTCAAGATGTTCGTAAAGAGCCTGAAATGTGTCCTTTTTATGAGTATTATCTAAATTATCGTTCATATTTTCATATTGTCAATGTTGCTGAGTGAGTGGACATCTGCTTTCCTCTATGTTTATTTGTTTTTGCAGAGATTGCGAATCCAAGCTAGCGTGGCGCAGGCTGACAGTGGAGCTGTCCAGTCTCTGGAAACTTCCCAGTCATTTTGCCAAGACATACAAAAGCTGAAGGATGAGATGAATATCCGGGGTGGTTCTAGGCGCAAGCGAACCGCTCCTCTTCCCCCGAAAGCCGGTGTGGTATTGGCTCAGCGCTCTACCTCATTGGTTACTGAAGCCGAGATCGCATTGGTGGCCGAAAAGAAAGAAAATTCAATGCAGCGGCGAAGTACTAAGAAGAAAAGAGCACCTTTGCCACCTAAGCAGCGCTCAACAACTGTGTTCTATGTTGCCCCCTCTGAAGATGAATCAATTTCAGAATCGGCTCCCACATCTCTTAGTATGGATCCTGCCCCAGCAGCAACTCCAGCAGCGCCGGTCAACCGAAGGATGAAGCCGAAAGCGCCTCCAGCGCCAGATGTTTGCAGGCGTCATCGTCAGCACATTGTTGATGAGTGTGAGCTGAGCATGTCCGAGTTGAATGCTAAGCTGGAGCAGTTGGATCGTGACCAGCGTGTTCTGGAAGAGGTTGCTGCTGAAGTTGAAGATAGACTGTCATCTAGTAAGTTTAATAGCTACTGGCCAATTTATTGGCAATGTTTTGGTTTGGATTTCCCGTGTTCTTTGGAATGTGTATGTCCACCCAAATTTCTGTTCTCCAGATCAATGAGACTGCAAGCAACCGTCTCCTATTTTCAGTCAAACTTGTTGATCGGGGACTTTTCCTTGCCTGCTACTGTAATCACTGTATTTTTGTTCACTGTGTGCCTCCGCTCTCTTTTGTTGTTGGTGATGGTGGCGGTGGTGTTGGTGTTTTTACTACACGCGTTGTGTAGCAAGTGGGATTTTCGGTCTTTGACCGCTTGGTGGTGTGTCTAATCTACTCACCTCCCGCTTTAGAAGCTGCATCTGTGCCTTGATCCTGGAGAGTGGTGGCGTTCCTACGGATGCGGAACGCTCAGTCTAACTGAGTCTAACGCGAACCTTGAAAATTCCGCGTAGCTTTCTAGGAAATCTGCAGTCAGATCTGTTTCTGTGGCTATGCCGTCTGTGTTCAAGCTCCTGTCGTTGTGCTTTGTGAACCATGTGATGCTCAGCGTCTTCCTTTGCCGAACAGCATGCTGGTCTTGTGAAGAAGCTCAACGTCCTCAAATCAAAGAAGAAGGCTTTGGTTGCAGACGAAAACTTCTATGTTTATCAGTAAGTTTAGTTAACTATTCTGATTCTGAGTGTTGCTTCACGCAGCTTCATTGTAGCGAAATTGGCTGGATGATAACGCTGGCCACCCTCAATCACACTGTGATCTCAGAACATTGATCAGGGAATATCATTTCGTTAATTGGGAGCATTATCAGGCACATATTCTGGCACAGATTTACTGGACGGAGTTGCTTGTGATCACTGCCCATGCTGGATCCTTGTTTTCGGTAGATTCTGCCTGTGAGCTGAGCTGGCTGCATTTCACGCTCTTATGACCCCTGTATTTGCGCGCACGCGTACTTAAAGGGGAAGTATACCCTAAAATCAAATTTTCACCAGTTGTAGTCTTCGGGGTGCTGAGTCGAATGGTCTTGGTCCGAGGAAGCTGCGACGCTCCCTTCCTACTTGAATCCCAATCGAACTCGCGCACTTCCACCGAAACTGGGTGACTGCGCCCTACGAGATGGGGATTTGTATGCAAAATGTCACTAAAAGCGCCATTTCGTTCTTATAAAAGCACGGATGACCGCGATTGGCCCATATGTTGTAGTCTTTTGGACGCTGAGTCGACTGGTTTTGGTCCGAAAAGGCTGCGATGCAGCGTTCCTCCTTTATTCCCAATCGAACATGGTTGAACAAGCGGTCACGTGCTCCTGGGTGCCCAAATCACCTGGTCACCGCGCCAGCAGGCGACAACTTTCACACCAAGGTTCAACTCGGGTTCAACTCGAGTGACAGGACTGCACCCAAAAAAGGTCAAACAGGCTAGTAAGTTGTACCCTGCAGGCATGGTGACCAGGTGACTGGCGTACGCAGGAGCACGTGACCGCTTGTTCAACCATGTTCGATTGGGAATAAAGGAGGAACGCTGCATCGCAGCCTTTTCGGACCAAAACCAGTCGACTCAGCGTCCAAAGGACTACAACATATGGGCCAATCGCGGTCATCCGTGCTTTTATAAGAACGAAATGGCGCTTTTAGTGACATTTTGCATACAAATCCCCATCTAGTAGGGCGCAGTCACCCAGTTTCGGTGGAAGTGCGCGAGTTCGATTGGGATTCAAGTAGGAAGGGAGCGTCGCAGCTTCCTCGGACCAAGACCATTCGACTCAGCACCCCGAAGACTACAACTGGTGAAAATTTGATTTTAGGGTATACTTCCCCTTTAACGTACCACCTCCAGGGGACATAAACGTATTGTACTTTATAGTCAAGGTATTGAACATGTATATCCAGGGTCAAATGACTCGAAAAGGATGCTGAGGGTACTCCGAAAAGTTCTTGATACCCATTATCCAGTGCAAGGAGAACGGTATGTTATGTCTTCTTAGTATTGTTGCATTCTTGTCTCCGAGGAAACTGTTCACATCATGTTATATCCAGGTACAATACTGAAGTTTCACTGTATGTGTAGATCAAGTGACTGCATTGACTCAAGCACTCAACACACACTGTTTGTGCTTACTACTGATATTTTATTCAAAATTGGAAATCGGTGCATGAGTGCTTGCTTGAGAATTGAACGTACTTTTTACCTTGGCCCTTGTGTCATCGTTTCTGTCCATCTCTTTCTCTCCAGGCGAATGGACTTGGAGCTTATCAATGAAAGAACTCATTTGGAAGGTCTTATTCAAGAGCTCATGTCGAAGGACGGTATGTGCTGCATGTAACGTTGGTATATGCGACAATGAAAAGTGTTTGGGCTTTTGTTTATCGTCAGTATAGGACTTATAAGTTATAATGCTAGTACACAAGATTACGGATATACAATATAGTCAATCGCTTGGTCTTGCATGTTATATGCTGTGTATTCGCTTCGCAGGTAAACGATTGGCATCAGGTGGAAATGAGAGGAATGTGGATCAAGCGTTACTTGCGGAATAACGAAATCCTAACAACACAACGCAAAACGCGCCCTGATCATAATACGCGATTGAGTCAACACAAGAAACCATAGGCAGGAAAACCTCGAGCTCCCATGTAGGGAGCAACACACTCTTCCCGTACTATCGCCGAAGTCGCACCAACCTCTTCTTCACAAGAAACCATGTTCCTATATTCTAATACACATGCACGAGATTACAGAGGTGTTACAGAGGTGGTCAGTCGCTTGGTCTTGCAAGTTGTGCACTCGTTTTCATTTGGGTTTCGGTTGTTGATGTCAAGTAGCTGTACCGTAGGAGTAGGAGTTGTACAATCGAATGTAGTTGCTAATTTCTATGTATGCGCATGTGTGGGTGTAATGGTGTACTGGTGTGTATGCATTGTATGCGTATCTGCACTAATGACTACAGAGGCTGACAAAACAGATGAAGATCGTGCTCACGAGGAAGCTCTTGTGAATGAGCTGGTTGCTGTTGTGGAGGAACGCAATCGTCTCCTGACTTGTTTAGAAGAGGATCCTGATGAAGACACCGAAGTTGCGGGTGAGAAGGGAGCCGCCAGTAAGATGGATAAGGCTAAAGCCAAGAAGGAGCTGAAAGAGAAGAAAGAGCGTGAAAAACGTTTGGAAAAGGAGCGAAAAGAGAAGGCAAAACAGGAACTGAAGGAACAAAAAGAACGTGAGAAGCTGGCAAAGAAGGGAGAAGCCCCACTTCCCAATGTTTGGAAGTCTAGTGCCAAGTAGTTCTCTTTACTGTCTGCCATAAACCTTTGTATGCTGCGTTTAGTCCTGGTTCTTCACCTGTTTTGGCTGATGCCAACTCACACAGATCACAATTTTGAATATATCTCGTCACTTTTACAGAGATCCAAAACGTTTTTATTCTATCTTAGGCCCTAGCTGTCTCTTAGGCCCTAGCTGTTTTGTGGTATCTGCTTGGGTTTTTTATTATTATTATTAAAAACTGGCACTTTTCATTTTTAAGCTGGTCTCCAAGGAAGAGACTTACTGGCATCACCCTTCGGTCTGTGTATCAGTTTATAGACTGCAGTCAACCTAGATCAATCCTCTGCCCCGCCGATTCTGGCACCTCCTTGAAAATATTCAGAATACTCAGTTTATTTTGGGCGACAAGAGAAATTCAGTTTAGTACTATAGTAGGACTTAGCCACGTGCCACCCTTCTTTACAGTATATTACTATACAGAGAGAAGTTCCCTGTTCTACTCTTCAGCTTGTACATTTTTTAAATTTGTGAATTGCTTTCGCATCTTCACCGCAGTGCTCCACATTAGCTTTTTGACATGCTATTGCTTTCCCCAATTCCCCCTCTATTCACATACATGTTGGTACTGTGCTGTGCTCACTGACGTCGGTAGCTTATGGTATTTCTGCTGATCACGTTTATTGCTTATTAGCACACTGTTCTTTTGGTCTCTAGCGGTGTCAATGGCCGTGTGTGCAGAGCATTGCCATGTTATGTATGTTAGTGTAATTCTTTTTCGAAATTTGTGGAGCTTCTCTCATTCTCTCATTAGATAATAATATTCTGCCGGTCCAGTTTTTGTTTGCGTGTTTGACTTTCGTTTGCACTCTCACTTTGAAGGAATGATGTTAGTGTCAGATACAGCCTAAACATGATTATGCCGTGCAGTTTTCTGTCCCCCGTGAATTCCGCGATTCCGCGGATTGCAGAATTTCCGCAGAATACAGTAGTATTTTCAAATTTGGACAATTTCAACTGTACGTGGTGTAGCCAAGGACTGTTAGTGTGTTGCGAGTTGGCTATACTGAAAATATGACAAGGCTACAGTGGAGTTTCAAAGCTCTAAGAATCCAGTAGTGTCCGCAGAATTCAGAAAATCCCGCGGAATATTGCAGAAAAGAGAGAAAAACTGCTTTTCCTGGACACTTCTGATGTATTTCACAGCCAAACCAACCCGCTTGTGACTTTCAAAATCAACTTGCACGGTACATTTCGGAGCTTTCAATTTTTGGACCAGGATTTCGCATAATTACGGTTAAGAATTTATAGGGACAACAAACTTCGGTGGTGTTGCGGAAATTCAATATGTATTTACTCTCATTTCCATTGCAGAATTGCCGCAGAATTCGGAAGGATTTGCAGAATTAGCGCAGAATTTACTGTTTTCAGCTGCAGAATTCTGCACGGAATTTCTGATATTCTGCCGCGGAATTCACGGGGGACAGAGTTTTGTCCCAGAGACTGAGTGCATGATCACTTGATCAAGAGTAGACTAAACACAAGAGTACATAAACCAGAGCGTGCAACTGTGCATATCAGATCTGAAACAGTGCACTCAGTCTCAGTGCAGTTCGTGCACTATGTCACCCTGATGAGGTCAGCCAAGCCGCGACTTGCGTACAGCTCAGATTTTCACAGCCCGGAAATCAGCCAAGTTTGCATGATTTTAGACGTCCTGTTTTGGATTTCGGTGTTTTTGAGTGACTGCGTACGCGTATACGCTGCGTACATCCGCTGGCAAGTAAATTCACCAGGCTATCCGTATCAAAACCGAAATCAGGACAAACTCAGTGACCTGCACCACCGCGACTGGTTACGCAACTTTTCACCACCGTACCTGTGGCTTACCATGCTGTCAGAAATGACGTACTGCACAGATTACGCTCCCACAGGATCCATCTGGAGTTGTACACTCTGGTTTATGTACTCTTGATGTACATGAATAGCACCAACATGTTTCAAGGCTACAGATTAAGGTACTTGTACTTTGAAGGTCCATAGTTTGAATTTGAACCACATACGAAATGAGCGAAGCTGTGCAGACCACTAAAGTTGGCAATGTACAAAGTAAATAATAAAAAAGATGAACATTCTGTTTCCCGTTTGAACTCCCTCAAACATTTAGAAGAGTAAGAATAAGAAATACATAGACGAAAAGAAGACAAAAAGATTATCACAATCGTGTTGGCCAAAGGGTGGCAAAGGGAATTGTGAAGAGACTGGTGCAAAATGTTGAGGAAGGTTAGATACTGCCAGCGCATCGAACTTCAAATTCAAGTACCCGTTTGACTTATGATTCAGAACAGGCGGCTAAGGTTTCTATGGTGGAGTATTCAGTTAGGTGTGACACCCGGCAGGGGTATTTCCGTGTAGGTGATCTTAGCAAAAGGTGACTTCATTGGTAAGAGCCAGTACTGGTTATTGTAGTAAAGATAAAAGACTTCTTCCAACACAACATACTCAAATATCTTCAGCAGGTGCTCGGCAAACGTCAACGTCTTGGCCATCGGAGTAAAGTTGGAATAGAACTTCATCAAGTCCGACGCCGTGTCCGTCTTGTTGGAGCCAGCACCGAATATTTCAGTCCTGGGCATGGAAGAAGGGGCGAGTGCAGTGGTGAGAAGCATGGTACATTCACAGTACATTACAAGAGAGGCAAGCACGCTACATTCACTGTATATCACAAGAGAGGCATTTCAACATCATTTCAATTATTTCATGCATGCACTTTGGTTCGCGGAGGTAACGTTAACTGTGAGTGTCCATTGCAACTTTTAGGCAAGGTAAAAAATAAACACTTTGTGCTCGCGTATGGATGTACAACGGACCATAACATGCATACAGTCACTTATAGGCGATTCACACGACAGGCAAGTCCACGTTTGTCAGGTGCCCGCAGGAAGTGAAACGTGAGTCTGCAGTTCACATGGCCACGGGTGGCGGCCAGAGCTCCCGCGAGTATCCGGTGAGTATACAGCGTTACTGTGGTGATTTGGAATGAGTAGCCAAAGACGAAGGTCAAACAACCAGGGTTCAAGACTACCGTACGATAGTACGACCTCACAGGCTCATAACTGTAAACATGCCCGCAGATGAGTGCATCCGCGGGCAAACGTCCCATGGACACTTTTGATTCCAGCGGACAAATTTTTGGTCGCCCGCAGGAATATCTCCATGGTGATTTTCCTGTAAACGTTGATTTGCCTGTCGTGTGAATCGCCTATTACGGGTGCAGAGGCCAGTTTTCGTGCACAGTATCACTACAAAAGTAGGATACACATTGGCCACACTGCAGGAGTACTATGAATGACAAGCAATAGCATGTCACAAGGCTTGGGCCCACTATCGAGTAGCAGCTTGGCCTACAATTGTAAGCGACGGCAAATGCTTGGAAGGCCCAGTGCAAATTCAGACAAGCAAAATACATGAACGATTAATTGATATCTTTCATGCATCGTTAACTGAACATTCCTTTTAGGACAACTTACGAGTTTCCTAGCAGCTGTGGCTCATTGGAGTACAATCGCATTCTGGTGTAGTTCAGCTTAACATCTTTGTTGAAGACGGCTCCAAATGTGTGCATGGCATCGAACAGGCGCAAGACATAACTGGCACAGTCATACGACCAGAACCACACCTTGGCACTCGGACCATCCGAGTCATCAACCTGCACGTACAGTGACACAGCGAAAACCCACAACAATGTGAACGGACAGCTCATTGATCTCTGGCGAGAGGACACGAGAACACGATTGCACTCCTGATGCTGTGCCGACGCACAAGATACGTATTCGCCTGTTATCACACATCCATGCATTATATTTGTGGAGCCTGCCCAAACGGGGGTATCAATGAAACAACTGTCACCACCATCAGCACAACTCACCTGGAACGTCTCATAGTAGATTCCAGTGTTATTGTCCTGGTGAATCCAGTCGGCTAGCTGGTTAAATTGATGTCCAGTGATGGTCGACACTAGTGTTATCGTGCCATTAGCTTTCCAGTGATTGTCAGTTATACCAACGTACAAGCAAGCTGCTCCCTGCACCGCAGATGATGGCAGAGATAGAACAAAGTAGGGTCCACAATCTGAGATCATCCAACCCAGAATAGGTTGCCACGTATGACATCATTGCACTACGATACGTGAAAGTATGACATCATTGCAGTACAATGTGTGAACCAAGTCACCGTAAGCAACCAATGATGAGTCAGTCATCCTTGAAAGCAGTCACAGCCTCACAGGCGAGGCATGGAATACTATGTATATTTAAGAAATACGTTGCGCGATCTGCAGGATGAGGGTACCTACGTCATGTAGATCACCAGAGAACACTGCATACAGTCACACTGCACACAGTCACACAGGTTAGTCAGTGCATGATTCACGGACATCCTAACCTGATTGCACCACACTGGCTCACGTGCACCAGCCACTTCATGAGGAAATGAACAGTTGAACAACTGGAAGAGCTCATACCACTCGGTTGTGAAGTTCTGGCCAGTTTGCAAGTTACGAAAACCAACCGCATCGTGGAAGATTTTCTATCGGGAGGTAAGAGATAGCAGAACACACATCATGCCGTGGTAAATCCTGTAAGAACCAGACCAAACACTGTCACTATCACAGTTAGGGCTGAAACGATTATACCAATTACAGGTCGTCCCCCGTTAATACGAGTCCGGTTAGTACATAAACCCCGTTAGTACATAAGAAATCTCAAGTCCCGGACGAAACGTGGTCACTTCCATACAAATTTTGTCGGTTAGTACATAATTCGTTAGTACATAAACCCCGTTAGTACATAACATTTCTCCGTACCCGCATGCCACCTACCTCAATAGTACATAATTTGTTGGTCTTTTGGCTTTCCAGTGGACGCACATCGTGTTCTAGTTTCGACTTGTGGACGCAATTAGCTCAGAAATCAGAGCGCACATCACAAACCGACAAAGCTCTTGTTTTTTCGAGTGACTGTACAGGCGCCGCTGGGCATGTATCATGTAAACTGTAGAATCTTCGCTGACTGTGACCGTTATAACATAATTTTTATGTTATATCGAGGGAATCAAGAATATCTCGCTCCCTAGTCATGGCAGCAAGAAACACTCAGAAAAGTTGAAAAAAGTGAAAAATTCTGGTATACAAGCAAGTTATGTACACTTTCGTTTAGTACATAAACCCCGTTAATACATAACATTTGTCAAGTCCCAGAGATTATGTATTAACGAGGGACGACCTGTACTTGGTAAAAGCACCGAACCCCCCACTTTTCGTGAAGTTTGAATCAGTTTCCACTGTGAGTATGTAGTTGCCAGGGGTATGATTCATGTTCTGATGTTCAATTGACTTCAAAACTGCCATGTTTCGGAGCTACCCTTTCACTAATGCAGATTCTTTGGTATTATGAAGATATAGCTTGTGTAAACAGAGTAATTTCTGACACTATTTGCTAACGATTATAACCGACTAATCGATCGTTAAGCTAAAGAGTAATCGATTGGTGAAAATCCATGATCGTTCGTTTCAGCCCTACTATAACTACATGTAGTATCAAGAGTACAGTATATCACCCTGCAGAGGGTGCCATCTATGGGTCTGTGACGGCAGAATTCCACATCATGCACATACACACACTTCCACATCGTCAGTGGGTGCCTCCCATCTTGATGTCTGGGATTTCTGTATCAGTAACACCACCACCCTGGAGCAGTGGAATGGTTCCAGGCCTCTGACCATCAACGATCGGAGTGTGCAACGTCGATAGGAGTGGTTTGGCCATGTCACGCGGATGGACATAGAGTGCACAGCTCGTGTTGTAAAAACATCGTTCGGCCCACGAAAGTGCCGGCGAGACACCCAGACTTACAGAGATACCGCTGTACAGGAATGATCCGAATCCTGGCCTGGGACAACCCAGTTGCCACCAGAAATGGAGAAGTATTCATCGAGGTCTACTCTACACTCTATTATGCCACCGCTGCTTAGTGTTCAGCGCCTTGCTTGCAGACAGAGTTTCTGCAAGCTCTCGGACATGCGCCACCACAATTGCCTGAGTGATAGGGTCAAGCCCACAGCCGAGCAGCCAGGTGTGGTGCAGTGTATGCAATATAGTCGGTGGCTGCGCAGCCGGGGTGGTAGAGCACAAAATGCACACCCCGCTCTCCACAGCACAGTGAGGAATATTCGCAACCTGTGGTGGTGGGCTGATGTATCGCTCATTGCCCCACATGTGCTTGCTGTTTCGCTAGGCTAGCCGACAAGCCGTGCCATAAATGTCACCATTGTTTGCGCCGTCCTACAGCAGCAACAAGGTCAACCTTCAAACTGTTCTGTCCTGAATGTGACCGTCGTTTTCCCTGTGGAAGCGGCCATTCCCGACAGATGCCAGCAACTCTCTTGACCAGTTCTCTACTGAGGAGAGCCATGTGGCCCTTGTGGCAATGTTGAAAGGAGCAGGAACAGGGCCAGGGTGTGTGTAGGTGGTGGGGGAGTAGCTGCACGGCCTGGTGAAGCAGGCTTCAGTATCCTGTATATCTTATAAAGAAGAGGCACCTGTGACGTGTGTGTGTGTGTGTGTGTGTGTCACGCTCAGGCCATACTACGGAGCAGCGCTGCCCTGAGCACGCGAAGCGTGCGAACAGTGTAGCTAGCGGCCGCAGAAGCACTGAGCACGCGAAGCGTGCGAATCGTGTAGCTAGCGGAAGCAGCCACAGAAGCACTGAGCACGCAAAGCGTGCGAATCGTGTAGCCACCACCACGTGCTGAGCACGTGTGCTGTTCATGCCACGTTCTAGCCTAGGCCATACTAAAGAAGAGACACCTGTGACGTGTGTGTGTGTGTAGGTAGCAGACACGATCAGTACGAGTAGCAGTAGCAGCCGCGCGCAGAAGCACTGAGCACGCGAAGCGTGCGAATCATGTAGCCACCTAGCCTAGGCCATAGGTAGCACTAGCAGCCGCACAAGCGCTGCGGACCACGTGAACCGTTCTCTGCAAATAGAAACATCTGCAACAAAAGGATACAAAAGATCTGCACTGACTGCACTCTGCATCTGATCTGCAGAGAAGAGCGCATCGCACTTTTGTTCGTAATTTTATGAATTTTTTGAGCCGCTTCATCCGCCACCAGGTGATGGACAACCCTGACCAGCCTCCCGAAGGCGTAACAGACGTCCCTCCTTCTCCTTCCAACGATGAAGAACCTCCCTCACCAGGACTTCAGCGGTCTGGCCACCACCACGTGCTGAGCACGTGTGCTGTTCATGTACTTGCTTCACCCGCATGCCACGTTCGGCCAGGCAACGCTGGCCGGGGGTGCTGCTAGTATATATAGTTAATATTAACTGGTTTGAGGGAAAGAGACAAACGGGAAAAGTCTGAAGAAAAAATTGACTGTCACCACCAGGACTCGAACCAGGGACCCTCGCTTGTAGCCAGCGATGCTCTAACCACTGAGCTATGGTGTAGTCGTCATTCCAGCAGAGGCCGTTCAACATTTTCTTCAGACTTCGTAAATCACACTTCCTGTGAATCCACACAGGCGGGTGGGACGCAGCCCTCACTGTAACCCACACACTTCACGTACAAACTAGCACGCGGGGAGCCCCAAGTCATAAAATATTAACTGGTTTGAGGGAAAGAGACAAACGGGAAAAGTCTGAAGAAAAAATTGACTGTCACCACCAGGACTCGAACCAGGGACCCTCGCTTGTAGCCGGCGATGCTCTAACCACTGAGCTATGGTGTAGTCGTCATCCCAGCAGAGGCCGTTCAACATTTTCTTCAGACTTCGTAACTCACACTTCCTGTGAATCCACACAGGCGGGTGGGACGCAGCCCTCATATATATATATATATATCCCGTACTATCGCACACACCGTATCGACTTTCTGCATGAGAACACAGATGCTTCTTTCCTTACTAATACTTGTTTGTACTCATGAAACATGCAGCTTACCAGTGTTCCAAGAAGATCACCATACTTGAATTCCCAGACAGGGGCTTTTAAAGCCAAAACCTCAATTTGATCTGTGTCTGCCATCACAGGAATCTTTCCAGTTGAGTCACCAGTTGGGCAAAAAGGGAATGCTGCCTTGCAGAAAGGCAGTGCTTTCGGTCTGGACGCATAGCGCCGGTATGGTTGCGGCCACTGCAGGGCCTCAGCGGAGCAGAGTCCTAGCAGGACAAGTACTAATACGCTGCCTGCTGAAAACTCCATTGCTTCTCTGATGAACAGAGTTCTATTACAGTTACTGATCTCAGTGGAGTGTACAGGCAATTTAAATTGTAATTCTGTAAACCAGACTAAGAAACAGGAGCTACTGCCTACACCTGAGCTCTTTTCATGGCAACAAAAATGATACTCTACCCTCCGGCTCGGACCGGGATTCACGACTCGAGTCACGTCCCTTGTCCACTTTTGACCTTCGTCTTGTCTCGGGCCTCTCGGCTTCTCAACTAACCCGCGCCGCCAAGCCAAAATGCCAAGAAAAAAAATTAAAATTTTTTGTTTGACTTGTTGTGAGTCATAGTCACGTGACATTATGCTCACATGATCATGCATTATGCGGCACATGCATGGTTGATGACTTTTGAAAACCGGGTGGAAAAGACTTGAGAGGAAGAAACCTTGCATTCGAAGAAGTAGAGGAGTGTCCGTCCCACTGTCCGAACAGAGGACACATTGTCCTGCACAGCTAGGGTTAAGACGTGCACGTTTGTTTTGTGCCCACGACGTAACACTAACAGGCGAAGATTGGTCAAAATTTAATAATTATTAAAAATATGGCCTTTGGTAAAAAGTCTCAAGCCGTACCGTGTCAAAGTGAATAGAAACTGCCGGGGTGTGCAGACTGGTAAAGATTGGTAGCCGTATGTGCCGATGTGGATTTCTTTCTCGTGGAGGGAGCTACGGCATCGAATTCTACTCCGACTAGTCAGTGGTATCAAAATCTCGTGGTGGTACAGTCATATATCTACATGCACACTGCTGTGCACTGGTACTGCATGCTGTACATGAATTACTGGCCTGACATCACAGGTTCATCCCAGTGCACTAGTACAGTGCTCAGCATATCTGACATGTGTATTGTGCTGATTTTCATTCCAAAAACAATTCCCTCGCGCTAATACATTCAACATATGTGTGCATGTGACACATCACAACAATCACAATGAATATCGCATTTACGAAGATGAATGGAGCTGGCAATGACTTCATCTTGATCGACAACAGGACCCGTTCTATATTGCTCAGCAAGGAACAGGTGCAACGGTTGTGCCACCGTCAGAGAGGGATCGGTGCAGACGGGCTGCTCCTCCTTGAGACAAATTTGACTGGCAAGGCAGACTGGAGTTGGAAGTTCTACAACAGTGATGGCGAGATGGCTGAGATGTGTGGCAATGGAGCGCGCTGTTTTGCTGCATTCATTCGAAAAGTAATACACTGTTCATCGCCAACAAGTATCGAAACATTGGCAGGAGTCATTCACGCTAGTTTTGATGGTGATGATGTCACCATTGCCCTCACAGAGCCAGAGAGGCTAGCGCTGCATCAACAAATCTCACTCCTTGCTTCTAATCTGACATACCATTTCTTGAACACTGGTGTCCCACACACAGTGGTGTTTGTGGACGATGCAGATCAAGCAATGGTGCATGAGATTGGTCGCCAAATTAGGAATCACGATGTCTTCTCTCCTGGTGGGACGAACGTTGACTTTGTACAGATTCTTCGACCTGGATTGATTCGTGTCCGGACATATGAGCGAGGAGTTGAGGGAGAAACTCTGGCATGTGGCACTGGAGTTGCTGCTGCTGCCATTGTCACCGCTTTAGTTCAGAAAGTTACACCTCCCATCAGTGTTCAAGTACAGGGTGGAGAGACACTATCGGTGGATTTCACGCAGACTGACGTAGCTAGTGTGCACAACGTTCTACTTACTGGACCAGCGACGTTTGTCTTTACAGGAGAAATCACAATCTGACATTGCAGGTTGCGTATGTAGAGTATAGCCATCCTGTGGGAGTGACACACTTGAGTAGTAATTGCATCTCCTTAGCTGATCATCTTGCTGGCCACGTGTGGAGTGCAGAATGGGTCTAGATAGTCTCGGCGATCTTGCCGCTGCCTTGGCCTCCAGCAGAGCCCCCGCCTCTGTCAACAGCATCAGAAGAGACTATAACATTGGAATCGATTTCAGCTCAAATACTTACTTCACCAGCAACAACAGTGTATCCTACTGTACTAAGAATGACCAGTCTAAGAAGAGTGACAGCCAGCTACAACAGGACGTACTTCAACAGTAAGGGACACAGTCGACAGAGACGTGAACAGAGTATGACAAGAGAGAGAAGGACAGTGTTGTCAGTGAAGATTCCAGCAGTGAATAGTGGGAGAGATATTGTGTGTGTTTTGAGGGGGGGGGGTCACTATAATAGTTCCCTTGTCACATAGTCATTGGTGCTCTTCAGTACACCTCGCCTTCCTGATGAGGTTTCTACTTAGTAGTAATTAACGTTGTAACTTTGTACGACAACTAGTTAGAAGTATTTTCAATTTGTCAATTGCTTTCTGCCACATTGTCAACACACATTCCTCTTTGTCCATCACAGCCGTATCTAACTCTTGATTTGTTCGTTTTTCTACGTGCATTAAGGCTAAACCTTTCTTCTCGAAGGCTGTTATGATTATTATGTTGATTCACTGCTCCTGTTTTCGTCAGATTTTCCAGGGAAACCATGGCAGAAGGGATGGTTTATTTATTTTTTGCACGTACGGTTGTGGAGTGGGTGTCAACAACCCCAACCATGCCTTCTTTCCTCTCTCTTTCTCATTTTTGAAGCCATTTTGGTGTTGAATGAGAGAAATCCTTGCAATGCATATGAACAGTCATGAACAGCGTCTTGCAACACAATGTTCAGCACGCAAGTAAGGGAATGGGACAACTATTACACGCTGGGGAAATTTTCTTCCCTGGTTTCCCCCGGGGACAGGTTGTAGCAGTGACTGAGGACTAAGACAGTAACAATTATGTACCTTTTCAATCACATCGGCTACAGAGTACATGGTTCGAGCAGTTTACTTCACCTTCATAGATCTACAGCTACATGATTGTATGTCAAGAAGGCCGTGAAGGGCAGTGCCATGCTACATGACATGCAAGCATACCTCGTTGACTGTACGGTGATACCATTCTGTCATGATGAACATCTACTTCGAAGTGATGTACAGTGTATGGTGCGCATGCTTTGAACTACCAAAAGCACCAGTGCCCAACTGTCTACTTCGAAGTATAACAGGCGAGGCGTATTCAGTTATTCATTACTCCCAGTGCCTCCTCCGTAAACTAGATCACCACAGGCAGAAAACGTGCCAAATTTCAGATCAAGTACATGCCCATAATTCTGAAGAGCATTTGTATGGTTCTGAGCAACTTCAATGGCTGATAGCGATAGATCTAGTGATATTACGGGTTAGAAGCAACGGCAAGAAGAAAAAATACGCGCGCAAGGTCTCAAACTCCGGAGTAAAGTCAGAACGTTCTGAAACGGTTATTCTGCTGCACAGGGTTGAATTCTGCAACTAGGAGCCAGCTCCATGGCAGACACAAGCATAACAGCAGTAGCAGGTGGGCAGGCAGGTGGTACTATGCAAAATGATCAATGATCGTCTCAAACTCGGTGTTGAACAAACGCAACTGATCGTCATGCTCAGGACCAAGTAGCCAGAGTTTCTCGAGTTGAAGGCGGCCACGCTCTTCCTGGGAAAAAATATGTACCATGATGTTTCCTGCACATAAAGCAAACAATCCCACAACACATCCATACTATTACAAAGTTCAGGAGCATTAGCAGTACAAGATCCCCACAGTGTGCAACTCCACACAAATCTCCGTTATCGCCCATCCCCGGAGAGACACATCGAGGCACATGAGAATGGGGTTGCATTTCTGTTGCGTTGTAAGCATAAAATACATGGTTATGCAAGTGTAATCGTGACATAAGAGGTGACTGTTGCTCCTCTGCTCGACGTGAAAAAGAGAAGAAGAAAGAAAAAGATCGATTGCCACTTGCGCAGTGCCAACAAGGACTGCCGCTGCTATTGCTCCTGCAACTCCTCTGACTGCAACATCAAATTGACGCACGCACAATACGTACAGTGTAACTCTGTTCCCGCTGCCATACCATCGTTATTCACTAATGTTCTACTACTAGTGTCCAGCTACACATGCTGGGGAACTCACCCATATCTAAGCAGTACCAATGCGCAGAGCCTGTTAGAAGCACTGTTTCGCCTTCCGCCACAAACGATTGTTTGAACTAAGGAGGAGAATACGCAGAACACAACAGTAGCACTGGTCTTCTGCTTCATGTACATGTAGCTACTCAGAGTATCAGTACGCATACCTTACATTTGAGCAGCCGTAAGTTGACGGTCCGAACACTTTGGGATCAATGCCTGCTGGGGTAAGTGAATACTGAATACATTTCCAATAGTCAAAGCTTACTAGTATGTCCTCGGTGAGCTTGTACTGTTCACCACGCGTCTACAAGGCCAGTGATTGTACACTGTCTGAGCAGAAATGCTCATCGGCAATTTATTTTGTCCCGTCCATCCGCAGAATTTCCGACTAAATTAAATTCTAGACTAAGGGCAGATCGCCTAACCTTTTAACGGCTTGCGGCATTCATGGACTAAATTATTGGCCGGGGCAAATTGCTTTCTTCAGAGTTGGACACATTACTCACTGATTAAACTATCTGCAGTGCTTACACAGTACTGGTGTCATCCCTATTTTCCCACAATGGAGTATTGATACCATACCTGTGCTTTAGTTTTGTGTTGCATGCACAACGTGGCACTACATTTAATATACCATTCATTCTGGAGTGTTAGCCGCACTTTAAAATGCATAAAAATTGCCCGCGGACTCTAGACTCGAATATCTCACTTGACTCGACCAGCGTTCCATCAGCCTCCATGGATACAATGCATGTATGATGTCATTTAGATCATGTACTGCGAATGATTCTTGCACTAGCATTCATATCAGTTCAAAGGGAGGGATACTAGAAAATTTAGGATAAAGCTTCAACCTTGCTTCTCATTATGTATTTCAGCTATGAACCACCGGTAATGTCTTCATAGGTACCGATACCTAATAAACAGAGTTTATCTGATATTTGTTGCAGGGGAATGTTGAGTTCAGATGGCCAAAAAAGTCAAGTCTGATTAGCGGACAATACTCCAATCCGCCGAACCAATCGAACATTGCTTCTGCCAGGCCCGGTATCCTTTTCATTGAGTCTCGATCGTAGACCCAAGTGCACACAAGCATCCTTAACGTGTCACGTATAACTCCCACTCAAGACATTGGATGTAGCTTGTAACGGCAGGATACCACTCATTGGGGAAAGGTGTGAGTACGGGTATTAGACTATTAGTATTACAGTGAAACCTCGTTAGGAAGAACACTGATAAGACAAATGTTTGCTTAAGAAGAACTAGTATTCGTACCTCCATTGGATAAATCACTGTGTATTCACTGGGTAAAACATACGAATAAGAAGAACTCCCGTTATTGCGAACAAATATCATCCGTCCCTTGGTGTTCGTCCTAAAGAGGTTTGACTGTATATGTATGCGATCTCGAGAGCATCCAATGCTCTGCCGAAACCCTATTTGTAATGGCCTGCATAATACCGCGGCTCAGTTATAGTACCACACATGCTCTCGATAACACAATTCAGAATACAGAACACAGGATGCCAGCAGAAACATACCTCTCTAGCAAGTGCTTCGCCGAGAGCTTTACAATGTCTTTCAGACTTGCCCACCATAGATACATTGTACTCCACACACTGCTTTGTAGCGGGCATACGCACGAAGCACACATCCACTGCATTAATGTCGTGCAGGTATGCTCTCAGATGATCGATGTCAACACTGACGCGAGGAAGACGATATCTCAACTCTTGCTCTTTAAATTCATGATCAAACTGCTGGACTTGACTCATGAAGCCCTGTTTGTGGAATATTCGCCTTTTATTCCGATATTTTTTGATTTTCGGCAGATCCGTGAACGGCACAACGTCATCTAGGGTAGTCAGATCCACAATGTTGCTGATGGTTTCCTTCTCCTCGTTATCACAACGTGGTGTTGTGCAAGTAAACTGTCTTGAGAGTACAGAATTTTCACGAGGAATTAGTGAACAGCCTCTCACCAACCCTACCCCAGCGAAGGCAGGTGAGAGTACAAGACGGTACATATTACTATAGTTAGCTATTGAAATGTATCCATCGCAAAAGAAATCAAACTTGAGGGTGAACTGAGCTGAAGCCTGTGAATTGGTGAAGGAAGCACAAAATTATTGATAATTTTGAAAACACTACTTGTTTGTAGATCTACGTACACCACCAGGTACACCACCAGGTACACCATTGTACACGTCTGCCTTCCAGTGTCCAAGTCATGCATATCCATATGCGCATGCAGACAGTCGATGCCGCCGGCGTCACTGCATCAAATCATGCAGCATGTAATGTAACCATGGTAACGTTGTAGATACCGGTACCGTACATTTCGTCAAGATTATTATTATCTGTACGGGAAAAATCGCGATTCCGCGGCCGCGTTTTCCCCGCGGTTTTTGCGATTTTTTAAAAGACCGCATTTTCCGCGATTGTCCCGCGTTTTAGAACTTTTTTGTTGCACTACACGACCACATATATGCGCATATCAATATTATTCACCGCATATCTACCGCAAATTCACCACAAATGCCATGTATAAAATTATTTACCCGCAAATAATTACACCGCAAATTCTGGGATTTTTTCCGCGATTTTCCCCGGGGACAGATTATGCCAGGGAGTACCGAGTAGTACTAGTAGTAGTACTCCCGGGATCCCTGGTACATGTACATGCTATTGCTATCCCAAACGTGCACAGATGATAAACGTGCACAGATGATAAAAAGCAGGGAGTCGAGTCGTCAAATTCAATTCAATCATTTGTTGTACTTGTGCACAATAGTTTGTATTCCTGGGTACTGGCAGCCTGTGGATCTTCGTGAACTCTTCTTGTAATCCATGTTCGCTACCTGAAAGGTATGAGAGCGTTGGATCGGTGGTAAAGTATCCACCCGTTGAGCTGTTTTCGGAAGAAGTTTAATGAAGTACTAGTACTTAGCGAAACACATGTATTTCGCATTTCTATCTGCGATAGTCCTGTACACTCGGACGTCTCTTATCCGGGCACCTTGGGACCGGGCACTGCCCGTATCTCAGATTTGCCCGTATCTCAGGATAACTCATCTACCATGTATCATATCACTTTTTGAAAAATTTATTTGGAACGTATTGCACATGTTCAGGATACAAAAGAAACCCATTGATAAAAATGTGTGCATTACATAGGTTGGCAGTGAAAAATAAGCACTTCCGAATACGGAAAAAATTCAAAACCCCCAAATTCGAAGCATTTGTGCTATAGGAACTCAAGCTAAAGGTGCCCGGTAGAGAGACGTGCCCGTATCTGAGGCGTCCGGATAAGAGGCATTTGAGTGTACGTACGTATGGTCTTGTATTTCACTTCAGAGCAAGGGTTGTTTTGGAGTACATGTAATTTCCCGTTGTACGGGGAAGATCTTCATTATAATTCCACTTATTGGAACAGGCCATCACGAAGGCAAAACACTATCAGTTTCATGGGCTTCTTTCAGTTTCTTACCATGGTCAGTTGTTCATTAAAGGTCACTACCGTCTTGTGAAGACTTGTGAAGGAAACACATGGGTCAAGTGATCACTTATTGGACTGAAGTCACGCACTGAGTCTGATCAGATTCGGAGGTCAAGTAAATCTGGTAGTGGTGGCTCCAGCAACCACAGTTACCGTATATCCGCACCTTTAAAGCCATGGCGGTATATTCGATTATAATGCCAGTCAGACTCGAACCGTGTACACATATTGCACATTGTGCAATCAATCCGGACCTTTGTGCGGATACGAGCTTCACACAACCCCCCGCTGAGTGTGACCTTAGTACACTAAGGTTATCACACCGTACAAACTTCGTTGCACTCTGCCGTATGATTTTCCTTTCCCTGGCTCTAAAATCAAGGTGGGGCGCTCTGGCGAGACGGGGCGCTCTGGCGGTACTTTACGGTACATGTATATCGGCAAAGACTTGAGGGAAATACCACATCACGCTACAAATGTGAGCAAGTTAGCACAGCCAGTGGGTCAAAAGCAGAGAATTAAAAAAAAACAGAATTTTCAACCCAGGTTGAAAGTTTGTACGGTGGAAAAAGGGGTGCGTGAAGAGGGTTGACCAGGCCATGCAGGGTCGATTACTGAATGCTGACAAAAGTACTTTTCTCTAGTTGTGTGTGGTCATGTGACTACTCTGGTGGGAAATTTGCATGGCTGTGCTATACTGTGATATCCTGGCGCGAAATACATGTACCCATGATTTGGGGACCAGAATGTTTGCAGGTTCCGGACATTCGCTTTGAACATCTTACGTGTTTCTTTGTATCTATCCTTCCACAGGTAATATAAAGATGGCAACAGGAAAGAATGGAGTTGCGTCCAGCGTTAGTGCTGGTGCCATTATAGAAAATGGTATGGTCGCTGCCACCAGCCTAGGAGTAGATCTGTCCAAGCCGCGATGGTCCCAAGAGACATATGCTGGCCGGGCCAGGCACTTCATCACTATCACAAACCCATTGAACGTTCTGGCAACAGGATCACAGTTGGAGGAAGCACGCACACTAGTCAAGCAGTATGAGTAAGTCAAACGTGTACCACTGCATAGTGCCAACAGTACATGCATACTCTCTAAGAGTGTGCCACTGCATCGTGTCAAGAGCAGAATCTTAATCCCCAAGAGTGTGTAAAACTGACTACCTGTGCAGCCTCTACCGTCATGGTAAACCTCTATCCAGTGCTGCAACGGCAGAGTTGCACATTGCATGGCACGGTTCAATACGTTACGCTGGCAAACCGTTCAAAGTGACCACCGGAGAGTTGTACGCAAAGCAGGGTTGAGTACAACCCTGTAGATGTCATCAAAAGCACAAAACAAGAGTGTGCGACTCCGCTTGGTTTGGCCCACAGCGGAATTTTTTTGTTGACGTCAACTTTACTGGGGATTACGAGTCATGCCATATGAGGTATGTTCTACGAGTCTGTGGTCGCTTTAACCTGGCAGTGTTTAACTAAACCTGCAACACGAGTACATGTACAATAAAATGCTACAGCAATCTTAGATAAAAACTTGTTGTTTTGGAAACTGCAGAAACACAATTTTTGGGATGGTAGTCAGTGCCCATTGCATGCTTTGCACGTGCTTTGTACGACATGCGTCGTGGATTCTGAAAAAGGCGGCGTCAACAAAAAAAATTCCGCCATGGACCGGACCAGCTGTGTAGTTGCACACTCCAGTTATCTACTCGTGTTATCGTGCATATATTAGAGTGCAAGTAATGTTTACGGGTTTGTCAGGTGATGTGAATTTCTGCCGTCGCAGACTCCATACCTACAGGTACCTGTATAGTGCTGTCCCGACAAAATCTCCAGTTGACGTCATTTTTATAATGCAATACTCCACGCGCGAGTTATTTACGACATTTGTACTGGTTATTCAATGCATCACACGTGTTGCTTTGCGCTAGTTAAGACAAGATCATACAGGGATTGGTCCACCACGGGTCCAGGATGCGTCTGATAATGCGTGCAAACCGCGCATTACATCATTAAAAATGCCGTCAACTGAAATAGGGCTTGAAAGTGCTACGTCACAGCATAGCAACAATTTCAAAAATTCAAAAACTGGATCAACTTGGATCCAGTTTTTGTATGGATCCAAGCACATTTCAAGCCGTCTTACTCACCGCAAGGTGATGTAGCCAGTGAAACTGACTGATTTGGCTACTGGGGGCGGGGTTACAACTGGTGGCGAAGTAAAAGTCACCCCTGCGTACGACATGAGTGGGTTGCTATGCACCCACATACTGAGGCAATAGCAAAGTCACACCTTAGTGGATCCAAAATAGAAATCTGATGTCAACTTACTACTCCCTGGCCGTTTTTGACGTCATCACTTTCAAGCCCTATTCTGCCAGGACAGCACTGTATGCGGGAGTTACACACTTTGATGGTTATGTACGAGGTGAATAGCAATTTCTGGACATGAAAATAAAATAGAGGCCCACTGGCTGTGTGTTTTACATTTTTCATATCTTTTTGTATCTATTGTATGGCCTAATCCTTCATCTTTCCAAATATGTGACAATTGCTCATGCTGTGATCCCAGAGATCTTATAGCAGGATGTTTTCGACAGGCCAATTTTTGGCCTAAATTTCAGTGTATGGAATTCTGGACATGAAAGTAAAATAGCGTCAACAGGCATCCTATACTGCATCATTTTTGTTATTTTTTCTATTGGTGGACTGCAGTTGGCCTCTTCACACTTCCAGCCAACAGGTCCAAGACTAGAGCGTCTGAAGTGGAGTGCACATGGGGAAGCCAACGATTCGTCCATTACTTCTTATTTTACTCAAAATTCAAAATTCTCATGCGACATAGTACCACAAAACTCGTTGAAATGCCTCCCAAGAAAAGGCTATCAGCAAGGCACCGACACGAGGAGAAACTACAACAGCTCAGCTGTCAACTACAACAAGAAAAAACTTCATCAACCTGACTGACTTGACTCTACACGCGACGAAAAATTATTTTACTCGAAATGTCCAGAAATGTACAATGTCCAGAAATAGCAATTGACCTCGTACTCTTGGGGTTTTTGTACTCTTGGGGTTATGTTCTATTGGGGGTTGTATTCCCTTGGCAATACACGTATACAATCATTTGTTTGGATAAAGCCAACTGGTGTTGCTCAAAACATGCGTGTACAGGCTGTTACATTATGTCCAGCCATTTTGGAGGCCGATTCATACTTCACTTTTGACATTATTGACTTTGGCATTTTATTTCAAGGATTCTCCACAGGCAAATGGTTGTCTATCAAAGGGAGTCTCCTAAGAGACTGAATAAGAGGTCAGCAGGGCCTGCTCTAGACATTCAACACAGCCCGGTCAGAGTGTACCTGGCGCATGCAGGCCAGCCGGGTCAAGCCGGGTCAGATCATCCGGCAGAAAAACAACCAAAACGCAGGAAACAGAAAGGCGAATTTATTACCGGAAATCGGAAATTTTAGAGAACAAGGCGAACTATCAAAGTCCGCAAACGTAGAAGGTAAACGACATTACGTGAAGAATGCAAAGCAGTTCCATTGGATTCTGATTTAACAATTTGAAAAAAAGGAATTCTGCTTTCTAATTAGTGCTAGTAGCAGGACGAACATGTTCACATAATATTAATAGAGCACTGGGGGGGCTGCAGCACCCAGGAGCCGAGCAGCATGTCGATAATTCGAAGCAGTGAGTTATTGCCTTTCAACCACGCATCGCGACCAAATCCACCGCCGCTCGTCTTCTTTTGAAAATACGTCTTGCACAAAGCGCATGACATGGATGGACTGGCATGGTCGTAGTCCGGCCAGGGTTGACCTTTCTTCCAAGAGTCTTGGAAAGCGTGAGTTCTTTTTCTCTTCGCTGCGGGCTCCATCGTCCAAATCACCAGTCGGCTGAAAACTTGCAACTGTGTCAAAAGCTATAGCCAAAGTTACGCTTTTGACTGCCTGCCCCATCGACTTTGAATGTCCTGACTTCCTGCTCGCCACTGGCCAGATCGCGCTCGAACCAGTTGACCCCAGTTGACCCTAGCCGAGTTTCTGTCGCTTGTAGACTGTAGTGTGTACGGTTGCGCTATATTGTAGATTTGCAACAGATGGGGTCTGCGAGTTGTAAAATACCGGTATTTTAGGAATCCAATCCAGTCAGTTTGAGACATTTTTCAGCCGGGTCAGACTGGACCCGGTGTTATCTGTTCAGCCAGGTCGTGCAGTTCCCCAGCCGGGCGCGTGACCCGGCTGACCCGGCTCTCCAGCAGGCCCTGGTCAGAGTTGTGGAGTGTCACGAGGGATGGGAGAAAGGAACACATGGCAGAGAAACATGTAACAAGTCTAAAGTCACTGCTTGCAGTTTGTAACATGAACAGAAGAATCGGGGACCCTAGTCAAGATGACTAGGTTAGCAATATACCCAATTTTTCCATGGTGATGCGTGATGCGCCATTGCCTCGCATTGGTGTTGCCGAAAGTTGACCTTGGCTCAGCTTCTGCGCTTGGTGGTCGCGACATAACAAACTCAACGTGTCGTGTTGCGCTTCCCTTTTGCCAAAAAATGAAGTATGAATCGGCCTTTGCGCAGCTTGCTGTCTTGCAGTCAGCCAAGATTGCTCCATTATAGCGATTGCTTGTACATTATGACTTCCAGCTGTGCACGTTTTGTTGTTTTTGTTGTTGTTTTTGTTGTTGTTGTTGTTGTTCGTGTTCGTGTTGTTGTTCGTGTTGTTCGTGTTGTTGTTGTTGTTGTTGTTGTTGTTGTTGTTGTTGTTGTTGTTGTTGTTGTTGTTGTTCGTGTTCGTGTTCGTGTTGTTGTTCTTGCCATTGTTGTTGTGATTGTCATGATTGTCGCTGTTGTTGCTGCTGCTCAGATCAGGACAGGTTCCTGCTGGCACGACAGCGAACAGGATGTGGGGAGCTAAGCACTTGTATGACTCAGCATATCATCCCGACACTGGCGAGAAGATGTTGATCTTTGGCCGTATGTCGGCTCAAGTACCTTGCAACATGGCCATCACCGGAGCTATGTTGACCTTCTACAAGTAAGTTCCTTTCAACCAATCCAAAACTGCTGTATTGCAGAGCATTGGTGGACTTCTTGGGGGGGGGGGGAGCACTGGACTACATGCATCGCTGGATGTTGCTACTTGCAGCCTCTGGTCTGTTGTTCAAGGCTCCTATTGAATTGTTGAATGCGAATCTGAAACACCTGCTGCTTTCAGCCTACAGTCCATTTCAAAACTATAGACGCGTAGTGTTTTGCAAAATTCGATGGGATTTATTTAAATATTTTTAGTTTTTTCTCCAGATTCCGTCTCTGCATCGCTTCACAATTCTGGCTATATACTTTGTTTTCGCTACAATTGAAGTTTATTTTTAGGCCAGGTTTTCCAGTTTTACATGTAATTTCTGTTTTGAAGGGTTTGACCAGTTTGTTTTAAGGGTTTGACCAGTTTGTTTCGGATTTTTGCTCCTGCTGAGACAGTGCTGCGCCCAGACCATCGCGGCCGCGCGGGTGCATTTTTGTACGGGTCCTGGTAGCCTCGTGGTATGGTTTCGATCCGTGATTTCCAGTACAAGTGTGGGGCATTCGAATCCCATCACGCCTCCTGCCTTTTTTCTCTTCTTTTCTGCATGTTTGGGATCTTGTTGGGTGAAATACAGTAGAGATGATAATTATATTTCCTCTTTTTGATTTGATTTGAGCCTCCCTGTTCCCTTCGCCTGACACAACGAGTGACAGTGGTTTCACTCACGCCAGTTGCAAGGTGAGTTCGACGACGAGGATTTTGGATACTCAAGCGTCAATCAAAATCCAGCTCTTGTTCGAAGAAACAATGAACACAACTAATCATATCTTTCTCGGCATCACTGAGATTCTTACGGGCCTTGGAAGCCATTACAGTCAGGCACTCAGAAAATGCAAGCAAGAAGAAGATTCATTTGAGACTTTCATTTCTTTTGAGACTTTCCTCACACCTTTTCATTTGCGACTTTGCGTGTTTTGCATCTTTTGTATTTCCCGCGGCGACGAAGAAAAACCTGAAAACACATCTGAAAACCAGAAAACACTCATGCAAAACTCACGGCTGTCGTGCGCTACAGTACATACGGCTCGTACGTATGAGTTCACGCGTCTATAGTTTTGAAATGGACTGTAGTTGTAGGTGATCACTGCTGATGCCGTGTTATTGTGTTGTTTGCTTTAGGACTATTCCAGCCACTGTGTTCTGGCAATGGGCCAACCAGACATTTAATGCTCTGGTGAACTACACGAATCGGAACGGAGAAAGTATGAGCACGCAGTAAGTGAAATGAAGTTGACCCGGTCTCTTGTATTTTCTCTCATTCATCACCACATGTACCCCCATTCTCTCTCTCTCTCTCCTCTCTCTCTCTCTCTCTCTCTCTCTCTCTCTCTCTCTCTCTCTCTCTCTCTCTCTCTCTCTCTCTCTCTCTCTCTCTCTCTCTCTCTCTCTCTCTCTCTCTCTCTCTCTCTCTCTCTCTCTCTCTCTCTCTCTCTCTCTCTCTCTCTCTCTCTCTCTCTCTCTCTCTCTCTCTCTCTCTCTCTCTCTCTCTCTCTCTCTCTCTCTCTCTCTCTCTCTCTCTCTCTCTCTCTCTCTCTCTCTCTCTCTCTCTCTCTCTCTCTATTGATGTTTTCGTACTTGTAAATTCTTGTCGGCAAGTTCTCATCTATATATACTATGTCCACCTTCGAATGGCCTTCTTGTGTTTCTTTTAGAAAACTTGCAACTGCATATTGTGCTGCAACGGGTACAGCAACAGCAACAGCATTGTTTTTCAACTACTTGTCCAAGGTAAGACTATGAATAGCTTTCTCCTTGTACACAACATGTACGCACTCCCTGGAACCGGGCAAACAGATGTGCAAAGATGGTTTATGTGTTAGACCAAGTAACAAATCCACCCCCTCAATGCTGTCATACTTCTGCTAACAGTTGTGCCGTTACAACTAACCCGGTGCATATGTGTGTGTGTGTGTGTGTGTGTGTGTGTGTGTGTGTGTGTATCTCTCTTTTCTATACGTCGCACACCAGATGTACTACTATCGCTGTCTTTCTCCTGCTATCTCTCTCTGCTTGCTGTTTTTGTTTTTGTTGCCACTGCCCCTCATCATACCCATGCTTGGGTGGAGGGCGGCGTGACCCGTTAGGGTAGCTGTCAATACAGTACAGTGTGTGTGTGTGTGTGTGTGTGTGTGTGTGTGTGTGTGTGTGTGTGTGTGTGTATCTGGCGCTTGTCTTGATCTGTTTCAATCAGAATCAGATCCGCTGTCGTTGCTATAAAGAGAAAATCTGTGGGTGCACATCCAGTGCATTTGCAGATTTGCGTGCTTCTCTTGCGACGGGCGTATACATGGTACATGGTGTGTGTGTGTGTGTGTGTGTGTGTGTGTGTGTGTGTGGGTGTGTGTGTGTGTGTGTGGTGTGCGGTGTGCGTGTGCACCTTTGTGTATGTTTTGCCCTACTGATTACATGTGTTGTTGTGTGTACCTCGTGTCTTTGGTAAATCCCACCTGACAGCGTGCACCGCCAATGGCTGTTCGGTTTGTCCCAGCTGTGGCAGTATGTGCGGCCAACAGTGTCAACATTCCTCTAATGAGAATCGAGTAAGTTGTTAGCAGTTGGATATTGGTAGTGGAGAGGTTTAGCACAACGAAATTCGTTGTTCATTTTCGTTATGCCGCTGTACGAAAAAGCCGACCGAAATTCGCTGAATTTTTGTTTAGCAGAACGTTAACGCTTTCGCCACGAACTTCGGTGTCGCTAGTGGATACCGTGGATGTCGCGGAAATCCCCGCGAAATCCAAAAAAATAGTAAACCTCGTCACTCCCCGACTTTCGTAAACTGGTGGCCTCATCACTCGTATGCTTCTTGAGCAGGAGATGAAACCGATCCACAAGCCCTTTCTTTTTCAGCCCAGCAAATCTCTCATCGCTCTGGGAAAGCAGCAGAGCTGCTTCTTCCTTCGTGCGTGATTTCCGCAAGAAACAATTCGGCATCGGCCTCACAAGGCGGAGCATCATGAGATCCATCTGCGTATCCCACGTAAGTCGTCGTCCCTCCTGATCACCAGAGGTAACAGCAGCTGCAGAGACTGCAGGATTTGAGTTCAGCTCAGACATTCTGGTCGTGAAAACAAGAACCTCAGAAAAAAATGTCGAAAGGAAAGGAAAGGAACAATTCTCATGTGATCGCGGTACGAAAAGTCGACAGACCAAACTTCGTTGGATTGATGTTTTCCGCGAGTGTGTGTCCCGAAGTTCGTGGCAAGTTTCGTTACTCGTTCCCGGGCTTCAAAATCTAACGAAAATTCAGACGAATTTCGTTGTGCTAAACCTCTCTATTACCAAGAGTATATAACCTCCCAAGAGTGTGCACCTCTGCATATGGGATCTCCGACGGCGAAAGCTCACATCACGTGTCTCAGGTACGTTTCGTACTACTTACAAACGAAGGATAGCGTGCGCGCAATCCGAGTATCTGCCATGATCATGCTGGGGATTTGCGTACGCGCAGTGAGTTTCTGTCAGAGAGTAATGTTGTATTACTCCGCTGCTCGCTAAAAACGAGCTGGAAATGTACAACTGTGACACTACACCATGTGATGTGAGTTTTCACCGTCGGCGTACCCCATAGAAGGGGTACCAGGAGTTGCACACTCTTGGGAGCATATACTCTTGGTACATGTATTACTGATATACAGAATACCACATGCACGTACATTTCTGTATTGTGGTCTCTGACATTAATCCAATGTGTATTTCACTGTGACAATCTTTTGCAATCTTGTCTTACTCAGAACATCTTCGGTGAGATTAGGTGTACGAGTATGTGTTCTGCTTCTCAGCCTATTTGTGCGCCCTGTCTTGTGAATGAGGTTGTGCATGGCAATGTCGCCTCTTAGCAGTGAACATCTCATTGTCCTAATTCTGCGTTTGTTTGTGTGTGCGTGTGTGTGTGTGTGTGTGTGTGTGTGTGCATGTGTGTGTGTGTGTGTGTGTGTGTGTGTGTGTGTGTGTGTGTGTGTGTGTGTGTCTCCAGTGAGCTTCAGGAAGGAATCGAAGTCGTAAATGCCGATGGACAAGTTGTTGGCAAGTCAAAGGTACGCACTCTACCCCATCTGTGGTGACACATGCTGTTGATTTGTAATTCCTAGGGGTGAAACAATTATACCGAATATTCGAATACTCGTTTGGATTTTTCGAATATAATCGTACTCGGAATAAATCAGAGTACTCGCTCATACATGGTACATACATTTACCACAGAAGTCTGCAGTTTCAGAGCAGCAGTCAGCAGATATTGATGTGCAGACTGTGTGGTGAACATTTGTGCACGAGTAGAGAGAGCCCAAATGATCCACCAACCAATACACCCGAGAAAAGAACTGCCAATCGGTTCAATCAAGGTTGTATCATGTGATTTTTGAGGCGGTTGGTGTGCGATTTTTAGGATATCAAGAATACTCGAATATTCGATCGGAGAAAATCAGAGTACTCGAACTCGGGATCTCAGTGCCAACTTTCACCCCTAGTAATTCCATATAATGTATATGACAAAATGAACAATCAGCATGACTGATGTGAAGCATCATGAATATTGCGATCACCGTATCAGCAATTGGGATTCGAAATCACTTTGCTCTTTATCCATCGGTGAGTTTCTGTTGCAATTAAAAACTCGCAGCCCGAGCCACATGTTTTTACTTTTTATTGCATCTGTTTTCATGTTTCACTTGTCATCACTGTAGGTGTGTACTGTGTAGGCTCTGTGTAACACTATCAGCGTTACAGTGGTTATCATTAGATGGTGTGTCACATATTCTCTCTCTCTCTCTCTTTGGTATGATGTCTTGGCAATCACAGGTTGCTGCCACCAAGGCTATTCCACAAGTCATTATGGCAAGAATCTCGATGGCAATGCCTCCAATGTGTGAGTTTGGACTTTTGCAGCAATTATGTCCTCCCAGTAGCACTAGTGTAGTAGTTAAACCCAATTGAAGTTGACTCATTTCGTGGTGCAATGCATGGTGTACACATACTCTCAGACGTATCCTAGACCAGTGGTAGATACATCGTTGCTCGGTCCTGTACAAACATATGCGAGCAAACATGTGCGATGAGTTGACACTTTTGTACAGACTTTGGAAATCATGCATGCTTGGAGCATTGCATCATGTAAACGATGTTAACTGTCGGATCAGCACTGTATGCTCGGGGTTTACGTACTGTTGATAGTACCGGTAATTGTAAGACTACCGTACAACACAGCAACTGACTGTAGCTTGGAGCACTGCAATCAACATGCCAGTACACCAGTTCCATGTACCTGTACCTGTAAAGCTGTAAATAGGGCTGCAATGGGTAGGGGTTTGGCTGGGTAACGAGTTCGGGTATTTCTATCCGGGTAGCACGGGTACCCTATCGGGTATTTTGACATAGTTTGTATGTGAGTGTGCAATTGCGCTACATAGAAAGTGTACAGTAAGCACATAGCCATGCTTTTTACATGCACCTTTGCGAAAACACCGTACTCCCACTACCCGATCGGTTTCTCAGGAGCAAACTGCTACCCGAATACCCGCTCTAATTACGGGTAGCACGGGTACCCTACTACTCGATGACACCCCTAGCTGCAAATCATTGACTCGTATCACTATCTGAAGAAACCCCCGTGCGTTAGGTATCTTGTACTGTTGTAGCCAGCCTTGTACTATGGTCCGGCCTGGAGTCTTGCTACTGTCGGTTTACGTGTCCTGTCTTCTTGTACACTTCTTCCAATACAGGAATTGAAATTTCAAGATATGTCCTGTTTTTGGTACGGTGTTGGTCTGTGTCCTTTCCTACAGTGACGGCACCGTTCCTTATGAGATATATGGAGCAGAAAGCCATGATCAAGGTACATCATAGGAGTGTGTACTCTTTTGTTGTTGTTGTTTGAACTCTTTTATTCTCACGTAACGTTGTTGTTGTAGTTGTTGAGTTGTTTGCAGACTTCGACACCCAAAAGAGATTTATAACTTTAGGCAAGATCTCTCCCAACACCCAAATGAATTTATCACCCTGATGATGAATCACCAGGGCCCTGAAATTTGGCTGAAGTGAAGAGTAAAAGGTGTTTGCAGCTGAGCGAACTCTTGGGTGTTGAGAGAGTTCTTAACCATGCGCAATGCGTATAATGGTAGAACCAGATGACTGTCTTATGAGCTTACCTTTGAGTTGTCCCTGATTCATGTTTCCAGTCCAACTGAGTCTCACACCAACCAAAATTTGTTTGCAATCATTGCGCCTAGCTTGACCTTGCACTTCTCTTATGAGTTTCTGACCCAGTGTCGTCTCAGTGGGGTGGGAGACTACTGTATGGTTGCAAGCTTGTGCGCTATCATCTCTGTACCACATGAATGAATGTCTTTTCTGATACAGTGTGTGCTACGTGTAGGTGTAGTTCATTTCTACCCGTCAGCAGTTTCGGAAACATGCTTGAGAAGCCAGCTATAACGTTAATATTGTTTTAATATGTGTCTTATGTGTGAAATCCTGACAGAAATCACCTTGGCTTCTTGCTCCGATTCAAATCCTTTATGTCGGATTCTGGTAAGTCATTCTTTCTTGGTTGTCTGGATTCTTGACGTTCCAGAGGCTCGTTTCTAATTGCCCATCTATGAACTAAAGCTGTGTACTGTTCCATATTAGCAGTACTCGGCTTTTGTTGTGTGCGATACAGTTGTCAGAACTCTACCTGGGGCTCCAGGTGGCTGGTTGGCTTGCAGTGTAAAGGTAGACACGTGGCTGGCTACTATTTTCTTACAGCTTTGCCATGGTTGAATCAACTACAGTGTACTGTACATATTCGTGCAACCAGTACTGACAAGTACGTCTACAATACCTATTGTTTTGTTCTAGATTTGACTGTATCGTCATGATTCATCAGTGCTTGCATGTATGTGTGCATGTATACATGGTCATTCTGTATCTGTGGTTGTATGTTTGGAATATTCCTTTTGCTAGCCTGACATTCACCACACCACTGTGCTGTGCCATCTTCCCACAACGGAGGTGAGTGATTCACGCTGAACCTGGCCTTTGCATGGCAGGAAATAATTGCTAGGGCCTAACCGGGAACATGCTCAGACCTTGGGGTAAGGTCGAATCATGATCATAGTTGCACATGCTTGCCAACAAACGCGTACTCGTACTTGTACTTCCTCACTGCCATGAACTGATCAAGTGGGTCTCCCCCTGAAGGAGGGAGAGAGATTCGAAAGGAATCTTGAAAAGATGACTATTGAACTGGTTATTGAAATGCCCAACAGCTGACATCACTCTGAGTCCCAAACTCTGTGTGGACTTTGAAATGATCCGACCTATGGGCTCACTCACCACACTTCAGTAAGTGGGTGAGGACAAGGTGCAGAAATAAAGTGTACGGAAAAATGAAAAGATCAATCAAGTACAGTGAAACCTCGTTAAGAAGAACACTGATAAGACAAACTTTCGCTTAAGAAGAACTAGAATTCCAAGCGCTATGGGATTCATCACTGTGTAATCACTGGGTAAGACATATGGATAAGAAGAACTCGGAGTCTCCCGTTATTGCGAACAAATACCGTCGGTCCCTTGGTGTTCGTCGTAAAGAGGTTTGACTGTAAGTACATGTAGAAACATGGCACGGACAAGCTGAGAGATGGCTCAGTATATCCTTGTACCAAAGCGAGTGCATGCCGTGCTACGACTACATGTTGCACGAAAATAATGTTGTGAGTGCAAGTCACCCATCTTTTGTACCAACAGTCCAGCCACCGACGTGCATACTTGTATGTATGTGTGTGTGTGTGTGTGTGTGTGTGTGTGTGTGCACGCGTGTGCGTGTGTGTGTGCACGCGTGTGAGTAAAAAAGACACAACACAAGCACTGCACAAGGCATGCAGTACATGTACATTGGCAGTAGTACCGAAAAACACTGTAAAATACGCAACATCATAAGTTTGCAAAACAGACCCAGTTGGTTGGCAGCTCTGCAAGATTGAGCTCCCTATTATTGTCACCCCTGGTTCTCCCATTTCAGCGCTATATGAACTGCCATAGCCCATGGTCTAAGCTGGTCAAGAAATGCCCTGACTGTAATGTTCTCATACAGACATTAGGGAGGTTCCGGAGTACGATTTTTCGTGCCAAAATCCGTGGAGGCTCTACGGATTTTTTATACGTCGTTTTCGAGCAGTGAAAAGTTCCGGGGTACGGAACTTATGTGTTTGCCGTCATTGCCTAGGTTACGATCGCAAACACGTCACGTTCCCGCGCTATGCCTTTTTATTTTGAAAATTTGTACCGAAATCAAAACTTCCCGCGAAAAATCGATGTTTCTCGTACCAAATTTGTACGCGAAAAATCTTTCTGCACCCGATGACGCAAAATCTCCATACGAAGCATGGTTCGTATGAAAGCCAGTCCACACGGATTCTCGTGCCGAAAAATCGTATGGAGCACGCCTGGAAAAAATCCGTAGCGCCCATACGGATTTTGGCACGGAAAATCGTACCCCGGAACCTCTCTATTTATTCAACTTGACCTTGGTGGGCTCCTTGCTTTTGGTGGGAATTTATTCTTGACTTGAGCCAGAAGGGGAATGCACTGGAACCTTGCTTTCTTGTCTTGTCTTGTTTTGTCTTGCACTACAGCTCTGTTCGACTAGAGCAAATCACCGGTGATGTGGATGCATATCGACGTGGCTTGGAGCTAGGAATGAATGGAAAGGACAAGCTCTTCTTCAACAAGGGACTGTGAAGAAGCAACGAAAAAGCCGTCTCTGCTTGGCTGTTCTCCATTTTCTCAGTGCAAGTTAGCATGATGTACCAGCCACAGTCGCTTCCTGTGTATGTGTGTGGACAGTTTGTGGTTGCAGTCAGACCTTGGCCACAATCGACCTCATAATCCTTATTTCGGAAGGCATGTGCTGCGTGTATCAAGAAATCGGACACGACTGTTCATTTGTTGACACAGACGCCATGTTGTAGACTATTGCTCAAACAGTTCCCAGCTCTGCATTGTCTTGTCAGTGTATACAATGGTGATTCTAGTACAAGTAATGGCATCATGCTGGACAATAGCCATGTGCTGTTAGAAGCAGCAGCAGAAGCAGCATAGGAACACACGTTATTAAATTTTGTAATTGATAAAACAACACATCCCAGTATAGGCGTGTACTCGTACACCACCAGTCCATAGACCTAGGAGCAAGCGAATGAGAATCATCATAGACAAACAGTCTTATTGAATATCGGGTGCTGCACCCGGCATACTATAATTTTTGTTGACAGCTGTTGTTCATCAATTCACTACATAAAACCTTCTTCATACGTTGTATGTATGGCGACTGATCGATGGGAGGTCTGCGTCTCTTGTTCTGCCAATTATTAGGATTATTGTGTTTTGGGTGTTGGCCTTCAACTCTGCTGTCCTTGTCGACATTGTTATAACTTATTGTAACCCTCGCGATCTCATCTGGTCTTGCTGGTAGTAAGTCGTAACTCCAATATTTTTCTTCTAATTTGAAAATCATAATATCCAAATTGAGATACTGTGGTGGCGAGCGTGAGGCTAGCACCGGGGGGCCGGTTTGGTAGCAGCCGATGATTTCACACATACTTGGAGCATGTTCCTTGGACTGGCAATGAGTGTCTTGCATCACGCTGCAGCTGTTACCGGACACAGGTCACGCGCCCACAATGAATGTGCAAGTGTTTACGATTCTTCTGCTGCTGCTGCTGCTATGGCGATGGCTGAACGAGGAAGTGTGGGTCTTGAACTCTCACACTTTGAACCCAGACAGGGCTTCCTCTGCTGCTCCTCTGCTATGGTGGCGACTGGGCATCAGGACTTGATTTCTGGAAACAGGCGCACAGCACGGGCCTTGGATGGGTGGCCGGTATTTACAGCCATGAACATCATGGTCAAGTTGGAGATGGCAACTCTTCCGAACCACTTGAAGCGTTTCCACAGTCGCCGAGCAAATCTAGCAGGCTACTGACATCATCAAATGTATAGTCGTCAAGAGCTCCAGCAACATCAGCATTGTCCATATTGCTGGCACTAAAGCACAGGTACACACACACACACACACACACACACACACACACACACACACACACACACACACACACACACACACACACATATGCACACCACGCATACAGGCATACATAAGATGAGGCGATGCAGTAATTTTGTTTGATTTTTTAGGCCAGGCTCGCTCTCGGGAAGGACAATGCACATAAAACCTATGCCTCATCCGGTCATGGAGCACATGCATAACACGTGGACGAGCCCCAAGTAGTGCTTCTGCTTATCAGAGATAGTACTTGTAAAGTACATGTGATTTCTTCTCACCTTTCTGGTCCCAGGTCATCATCGGGTGCCTGAATGTTTGTATTCACATGTTGAAAGGAATCTGCAGAAAAAGAGAAAGACCCACAATTTTACACTGCAATTCGACAGACCAAGTAACAGTGGCACTAAATCGGAACTACAGTGAAGGCCAAAGAAATCCACCCTCATGAATAAAATAGCGCCGGGCGCTACGCAGCCCTAGCACTACAATTGTACGCACACTGGTCTGTGAACTCTTAAAGCGGCACTACTTTATTCATGAGGTTGGATTTCTTTGGCCAGCACTGTGTCGTGTAAGCAGATGCAAGACGGCAGGGTTCCTGCCTACCGCATGCATGCCAAAAGAGATGAGTGGTCCCGTTTTCTAGTGGAGTACAATTACATCTACATATATCTGATTCTGTAAAACTTGTGGAATAAATCTTTCCTGTCTTCATCATTCTTGGCTTGTGTGTTCAGTCGCTCCACACGGAATTTGTCATTTAAACACTAGGTGGCTGAGTTGGTTAGGCTGTCTAGCCTGATCAAACTAGGGCATGCTACACACTATTTATTTTACTTCTTATTACATGTATAGGCTTTTCCGTGTTGGCATCGTCAAGCAAGCTTGGCTAGCCTTCGCATAAGCTGCTCCATGATGATGAGACGAAACAATGAATGCATGTACAGTCGTCCCTCTCTAATCCGGCACTTGTTTATCCAGCACCCTTGCAAACCAGCACACTTTCTGTCAAAACGGATTTTTCAGTTCATTTTCTACACTTTAATCCGGCACTTGAATTCTGCCTCCAGCAGCGATTTTCTGCAACAAATCACTCAAACTGTACATAATTCAATTTTCTAATCCAGCAGTTGGACATCGCATACTATCAGGGACCATTGTAACATACCCAACGCATGTAACATACACTTGGGAGTATCCTATGCCAGTGCATAGAATATTCCCGGCAAGTGTATGTTAAAGACATGCATTCCACAAAGTACTTGGATTGACACAGAAAATCCCTACGTTTTGACGTACGACACAAACATGTATGTTAACATGTGGGCCGGGTTTGAGGGCAGGATTTGATAATCCAGCACCCTTGTTTATCCAGCAGAAAATGCTGTTGCAAAAGGTGCCGGATTAGAGAGGGACAACTGTATATACGATCGAGGACAGAACCAAGGTTGAGGATACCGGTATGTTTGAAGAACTATGCACACTATGCACAAAAGAACTTTGGCCTCTGTATCTTTGGTATTCAGGCGCTTGTAACGCACAGCAAAGGAGTGAAACAGTCATCATTTGTATCAGCAGTGACTCAAGTGGGAAAAATTAGTACAATACCCCTAAAATACTATGCACTCATGTTTCTTTGTAGGTGCGTGAACCATGGCATACCTGGGAGCTTGAAATAGTCGTTGAGGTCTTCCGTGCCACCGCCATCTTGGGCTCTACATGATAGAATGAACAAATAGTTGAACCGACAGAATAAGCAATTACCAAAAAATGAACATGGCTCACTGCCAAAATGCCAAATTAGACCAAACGTCATGTTATCCATGTTACACACTTCAAATACCGGTGCATCAAAGAAAGTTGAAACACAGCGAAACTGACATTGCCCAAATCATTACAGTCATCAAGCAGCTAAATGGAGCCTGGATGGTTCACTGAAGCTAAGCCAACACACTATCAGGCTGCTGTCAATGTCGCTAGATAGTGTTGGCTGGATAGCTTCATCAACAAGAAGACCCCTTTTCCTAAGTAAGGATTTATACATGTATGGGCATGTGACAAATATTGCTATGTTCCATCAGAATGAAAAGCCAATTTCGATTGTTCTAAACACGGGGTGCGCCCTTTTCTTCAATGATATCCAAATGACCAGCCACTCACGTGAGCTCAAGTAACTGAAGCGGATCGAAACGCTCATCACCATTATCACCACCCTGCAAAACACGAAGTACAAAGCATAGATAACCGGAAGCGGGTTTCAAACAGAGCATAAATCGAGTAGAAAGAGGACAAGAGGAATGGGATAGGGGAAAAAAAGATGCAAACTGTGCTGAGTAAGTTATATTCAGTGACCCAAGATCCTTTGGAATACACCTCCAGATGGCGGAATCCAAAAAGCATTTATTAAACTACTAGATTCTGCCCAGAACATGGCCACTGAGCATAGGGGACGTGTCAAACAAATTCAGGTTAGGCTTAGCATAAGACAGAGAGTTTCCCTTTACAGAGTTGAAACTCAGCCATCCTAACTCAAAGGGCGGATCCATACATAGCCATGCGGAATGAAAGTTGTACTACATGTAGTCACACACGACATCTGCAAATCATCCCGGGAAAAACCATCTGAATGCAAGTAAGCAGACCCCAAGACCCAGCCACATGCTATACACCTTTTCATTTTACATGCCGTGTGCACCAAAAGGTTTCACAGTCAGCGGACCCCACATAGGGCTGCACACAGTTGGTAGTTTATATACTCAAGGGTCTATCCACAAAGGAGATGTATGTAGAGGACAAACCGGTTACACTGTTTCTGAGCCTGCTGACCAGAAACACACATATCTACTAGTATGGATGCGACCTAATGAGTGCACAATCATTCATTGCTATTCTATAAGTGTCTCCTCAGTGCCAGTCGTTGGTAATTTCAACAAACAAAACAAGAAATAAGTTTACCTCAGCAGTAGTATCTTCACCGAAATGCGCGTCACCCGTTAGGCTATCTCTGCTCTCTAGCACCTCCTCGAGTGCAGCTCGTTCAAGCTGTGCAGTGGGCACCACCACAAACACTGGCATGATATTACACCGCGAGTGGTGGAACTGATACTCCTACATGATCTTAGCGGGCAATAAACAAGACCAACAGTAGGACTTGTACTTAAGCAAGAGCATACTTGCCAACCCTTCCGGAATTTCCGGGAAAATCCAGGAAAACTCGCTCTCGTCCCGGCATACCGGAAAAGTTATAACATCTACCGGATTTTCGGTTTTTCAATGCTCGCGAGCATACAGTAGAGTCGCGCGCCCAAGAACGTTGTTTCCAAGGGGTTAGCCTGGGACGTTCTTATTTTTCAGCAATCTGGCTGCGTTCTTATAGCACGTTCTTAGAAACAATCCGTACTGGATGATATTATGTATCCCACAAGCCGCCAGAAAACCAACACCGCCGTTCTTAGCTTTAGGCTGTGGCGTTCTTAGAATTTCAGGCTGGACGTTCTTGGGCTCCACGTTCTTCAGCGCGCGACTCTACTGTAGCAGCTACAAGTGCTGTGCCCACAACGAAGCTCTATAGCGAGCAAGAACTCTTGAGCTAGCGGCTGAACAAGTACGTTTTTGTCGTACATGCTGTACTATTTGCGAATGTTTGTGCAGATCAAGGAAAAATGGGCAAAATCAAGGAAAAACTTCATCGGTGTCAAGGAAACTGTTTGCCACGGGTGGCAAGTGTGCAAGAGTGTGCAACTAATATCTTCTTGAGCTGCGACTCACATTATGTCATTTCGATCAGTCTAAAACCATTTCAAGATCTCAAAGTAATTGTTCGCACATGAACAAGGGCAAACAATTCAGAAAAAAACAGATCTGCAGCAATGCACGTGGATGACTATGCGCAGTGTCCAAGTACAACGGAAACTATCCAGTCCTGTATGTCCCACATTATACCACGGACTGGGGTTATGTTATACTGTGCCATGGTTGGAACATTTAGCATAGATTACCAGTATTCTGCCTCGCCAGTACTAAACTGTACTAAACTGTACTAAACTGTACATGACTGTAGTGCTGTTTACATGATCCGTGCTTACCATGGGATTGGTTGAGCCCAAATCTGTCACCACAGAATACCGCAGACAAAATCCTAAAATTATGCGCATTTTATATAAATCATGCATGCGGGCGAAAACCAGTTATTATGCGGTAATTATGCAGTATAATGCAGTCCTTTATGTGCACGGATAATCTGCCATTGGTCCAACTTTAGCGTACAGTTTCATGCAAGTATACAACTTTGTCATACAAACTCATGAGAGGGTACGGCTTTGTAGTACATTTGTACCATCATGTACTATTTTCTTGTACATTCCCATGGATAACGCGGGTTTTAAGCAAAATTTCTCGAAAATGCGGATGAAAGCCAATACCATAAAAAGCCCGTAATAAGGCCCTGGGCGGAAACGTTAGTGAAGGTCCAGAACATGGGTGTCAATTTGGGCCTGCCCCGCCCCTGGGCGCTAATGTGGGCCCGGCGTTATTTCGGATAAGTGAAATCAGACTGATTTTCATATCATAACGTAACTGTATGTACAGATCAGGTTTAGCACAGTGCACTGTACATTAAGGCCGTCAGTGTGTTCCAAATGTAATTGGTTGATTCTGAGGGATCCAGTGGATGTGGGATCTGGATCTTGATCCGGATTCGACGAAACGATCACAGCCTAAGTTATACTACAGTACCGTACATACACATGGAGCTGTGCATGCACTGCACTGTGTACTGGACCTGTGCTTTCGCCCATGGGTGTTTACACGGAGCTGGGCTAGAAAACGGGACAAGAGTGTTGACACTGGACACCTGGGCGTGTACACAGGTAGTGGGCGCTATACCAGGTGGGCGTGAATACGGGCTTTTACGGTAATGCGGAAAAATGCGCGTCTGCGGAATCGCGTTATCCTGTGGGGACAGCCAAAGGAATAACTAAGAGTACAGACAAGGTGCATAACTCCACACATGTCACCGGTGCCATAGAATCCCAGCTCCCACCACGATGACACCGTCACTGCTTTTTGCTATGCTGCTACCACTCTCCCCTATTCAGTATCATATTGATGCTAGCTATACAGACATTCATATCGCACACATAGACCGTGATAGACGTCACAGCTTTCCCCATCATAAAGTGTGGTGCAACACTCGACAGGTACACTGTCACACTGAGCGCGTACAGCAGCTGGGCTACGCACTCCTTACCTTCAGGTAAGCTAGACTTTCTCGAGCCACTCTTCTCATTTCTTCAAGAACAGCCATCTCCTTTTTCAGCTGAGCCAACGATTTCTCAGCTCTGGATAAAACGACTTCGGTGGTCATGTTTGCACGTGGAATGAAATCCAGTAGTACAAGTAGCAATCAAATGGAAGATAGTCGACTGCCAACTAGCCTTGACCTCTTGCCAATCACAGACTCAGTACACAAGACTTGATGAAGATACTACTGGCAGTACTGCTTTCTTCAAACACCGTTCGTTTGATCAACGTTTTATAGTAACGTTGTTTTGATTCATTTGAAAAAGGTTTGACCAAGACTCAGAGGGTTATGAACTCTTGGTTTGACTCGTAGATCTACTACTAGTACTCCTTGTTTGAAAATGAAACACTGCACTGTCGACTACAACACGATGCGCGAAAAGAACTTTTTTTGAAAAAAACGTGTCGCGTCTAGCTTTTATAAACAGTTTCTCAACAATTATTTTCACTGTCTTGCTGTGCATGTGATCATGATGATCGTGAGTTGAAATGAAGGACTTTTTGTAGGTGAACTGTATTTTGTTGAATTACATTGTAGTTGCTCCATCCGGCTACCAGAAGTAGAGCGAGGGGTAACCTTCAGCGCAGACGCCATGCTTCTCCTCCTCCTTCCCTTTGTACCACTAGTGGTGATCTGTTATTGCTTTAGGCGCTGCTTCTGTTGTTGTGGCAAAAATGACTACACTGGCCGTCATGTCATGGTAAGAGTTATTGAATTACATGTACCGGTACTATTTAGGCTATTTTAGTACATGATCTTTGTTTGGAATACACAAGTTTTGAATGCCCTCAGTCTACTTGAAGTAGAATAGTTGTTCGTGTTGTGCTTGGCAAAGGATCGGCTTTGTTTCTTGCTGCCATCGTTATTGTTAGATCACCGGAGGTTCCAGTGGAATTGGTCTGGCCCTTGCCAAACTATTTGTCCGCAGAGGCGCCAATGTCACTATCGTTGCTCGAAACAAGGTAACTTACTTTCATGTCACGTAATTTTGTGAATCATGCTCTACTCATTTGAGTCACCAAGTCCGGAAAAGGCTGCAGTCTATGACATACACAGTGATCCGTGCAAAGCAATTAATTGTACAAAGCCAAAAAAAGTTGCCACAAAAGTACACGGTTGCTGTCAAGATAAGAGATCACAGGTGGTGCAAGGGTTCATGGTACTGGGTGCTACAAATGGTGCTCATGAGTGCTGCAAATGGTGAAAGGGCGCAACAGGAACGCATACAGTAGAGTCGCGCGTCCAAGAACGTTGTTTCCAAGGGGTTAGGCGGGGGCGTTCTTATTTTGTTGGGCAATCTGGCTGCGTTCTTATAGCACGTTCTTAGAAACAATTCGTATAGTACTGAATCATATCTATCCCTGTAGCGTTCTTAGCATTTCAGGCTGGACGTTCTTGGGCTCAACGTTCTTCAGTGCGCGACTCTACTGACACTATAGGACATGTGAGGTACATAAGCAGAACTCAGTAGATGCAGCAGTGTACATGTAAGGCAGGGATATTACAATTAAGGTATTATACCAGGAGAAACTGATCTAAATTTCAACTACTAGTATAATGTACTGTGCTTTCAGTCTCTTCCATATTAATTATGATTTGTACGATGTAGTTAGGCGAGACCAGAATAAAATCCAGATTCCAAGGCAGGACCCATGTGAAATTGGTGCGGGCGGGCAAAGAAAAATTTCCACTATGTACGTATGCATTGCATGCTGAATTTAGGGGCCATCCGTAAATGCCGATATTTATTTAGAAACTCTTTAACCCCCTCCCTGAGAAACGAACACATACAAACGGTACCAAGAGTATATAACCCCCAAGAGTGTGCAACTCTGCATATGGAGTCTCCGATGGCGAAAACTCACATCACGTGTCTCAGGTATGTTTTGTACTACGTACAACTGAGGATAGCGTGCGCACAATCCAAAAATCTGCCACGATTATGCTGGCGAGTTGCATACCCGCAGTGAGTTTCTGCCAGGGAGTACTTTTATTATCACTCCGCTGCTCGCTAAAAATGGGCTGGAAACGTACAACTGGGACACTACACCACGTGATGTGAGTTTTCGCCGTCGGCGAACCCCATAGTCTAGAAAGGGTATCAGGATTTGCACACTCTTGGGGGGTTATATACTCTTGACCGTACATAGTATCGATATTTTTTTCGTTTTTTCTGGACATGCCCACACATACAAACTATGCATCTATATTTTTCGAGAAAAGAACAGGCGCTCAAACAATTCCCCCCCCTAAACGACAAATATCTATGTGTATTAGGATGGCAATAAGGGGCCATCCATAAATATAGATATTTATTTAGAAACGAAAACTAGTCGTTTAGGGGGGAGGGGGTTGAGCGCCTGTTCGTTTCTCAATAAATATCGATGCACAGTTTGTATGTGTGGGCACGTCCAGAAAAAAATATCGATACAATGTACCGGTTGTATGTGTTCGTTTCTCGGGGAGGGGGGGGGGGGGGGAGGGGTTGAAGAGAAATGACTAGTTTTCGTTTCTAAATAAATATCGGTATTTACGGATGACCCCTAAGCAGAACTACCGTATTATCTCTCTTATAAGCACAGGTCGGAGGGCTGTTGAGATTACAAACGCACAGTCTCCAACATAGTCACAGTGATAACACTGGAAGGCATACGGGCTGCTACCCGAGTTAAAAAATACAGTCATATAGAACATAAAAGTGCTCCACGTGCGGGACTTCCACTTCCTTATCATTCTTTTTTCTTCTCTCTGTTCTCTAATCATGAAATCTGAGTTAAATTCCAATTTGAGTGTGTTACCGGTATGCAACTTTCTTGACTTTTTCATGGTTGAAAACATATAAACACGGTCTCCAGTATTATCACGGTCTCCTCTATAAGCACGGGTGCGAGGTGGGTTGAATATAAGTACCGTGTTTATATTAGGGAGATAATACGGTATGATGTAATGTGAAGAACAGTAATAGGAACGATGAAAGTATAAAAATGCATCGAACTAGCTTTCGCACAACGCTCATCAGGAAGCATTGTTGTACTTATTACTGTTCTTCACATTACATTTCCATCATAGTCATTTCTTTGTCCATCGCCACTTTTTCTTGAATTTGTTCGTGACATCTCAATAAAACCTTCGTAACATGACGCTTCAGCTGATTCTGCTTATTGCCATCCTAAACCTTTTGTCACCTCGCCGCCTGTTCAAATCTACATGTATATTTACGGATGACCCCTTACAGTGTGACGTCGTGCCACACTCGACCTCCACTCGTACAGTCGTCGTCAAAAACGAAGTTAAGTCCATGTGCTGGTCGATCGAGCCAGCTGTTCCGATGTAGCGTGTCCCTTGTGAACTCGGATAGCAGAGCTGCACTGATGCCTGTATCAGTTTAAATGCAACGCATGATATTCTCATTGTATTGACAGCAGAGAAGAAGCTGTTCTTGGCATTACCTTGTAGACACCCTTTAATGGCCGAAAAATGATCATGGGAATATGTAGTGTATGTCAAGGTAGTCCTACGGGGTCCACGTTGAACCGTTCGCAAAACGAAACGGCAAAAAAAGTGCCAAAAGTTGTATCAAGAGTACATAACCCCCCAAGAGTGTGCAACTCGACTATGTGTGCTGTCCCGACAGAATTTCAAGTTGACGTCATTTTTATGATGCAATGCACGGATTATCAGACGAATCCGGAACGTGTGGTGAACCGAAGCCCATCTGATCCTGTACAAATTATTGCAAAGAAAAACGTGTGATGCGTTGACACTCGTACACATGTTGTAAATCACTGCATTGCATCATAGATAATGACGTCAACTTGAAATTCTGTCGGGACAGCAGGGTATGTGGGAGTTGCACACTCTTGGGGTGTTGTATCTATGTGAAGAAGAGGTTAGTGCGACTTCGGTGATACTTGGTCTACCAACGATATTTTGTACACGCTGAATCCATTTTGGAATAGGATGTTTGAACTATGAAAATGCTTGTGCTCTTCGGCGAGCAGTCCACTGCAAGGCATGATAAAATACAACTCTGATCCTTCTCTTTTCAACTGGAAACTGACCCATGATCTTCCTGTATTGAAATCTCCTTGTTTGTTGCTTCTCTTTTGTGGCAGGAGAAGCTGATTGCTGCAAAGAGTGAACTCAACGAATGTCAAACAAAGAGTGAGCAGGTCAGTGTACCCTCATTGGTATTCTATTACTCATGGGCCGTGTGACTGTGATAGAGTGCGATCACTGTGACGTAATTGAAACAGGTGATTGGTATGGGGATTCCCGGGAATCATTAAACAACTACGTGTGTACCGATCACTCGATGATCGATTCCGAACAATCAACTAATCTTTACGCTTTAGATCACTCGTTATTTTGCATCCGAAAAAGTACTGACGCCCATTTTTGTAGCGTTTCGATTGAATTCAACCTGGCTTTGTTTCTGAGCTACTTCTTCGCCTATGGATAATTTTAGGGATGACTTGGACATGGCTTTGGATATGGGGTAATTGTTGAGTGCAAACCTGGCACTGTTTGCTTGCAATTCTAATGGAGTAATTGATTGTTAACTGAAAGTGTAATCGGTGGGTGAAAATCCACAATCGTGTCAGCCCTAATACATGGAGAGTCCTTGTTAATGGGAGATGCAGTCTGTTTGAACGCAGGACGATTTTGCTTGTTGCTTTTGTTTGTCATCTTGTTGAGACTGTGGCCCTGTGGTTGGTTTGACCCGCTGCATTTTTGCTAATGTACTAGTGCATTTCCTGAACTGCGTACAGGGTCGTTTGTTTCAGGCTGTATACGCTGTTTCTGTGGATCTGTCGCAAGGTGTCGAAGCTATAAATGCCGCTGTGGCGCAGGTAAGTCTAGTAATGATGTGTGAGATGGTGATCACGGCTGCAATCTGTACTATCACGTCCGCACTCTCACCTCCACACTGTCACCTCCACACTACCACGTCCACACTGTCACCTCCACCCAATCACGTGCACTCTTATGGTCTGGCGGCTGGGAGCGTGCAGAATGCTGCAGATGACAGTTGGCAGTGTAGCAGGTCAGTCTGGGACTTTTTTCTGTCTCATTAGACGATTGATATGTCTGACTATGTATGGTCGAATGGGTGTAGGTCTTGTGCATTTGCCTCGCCTGCATGAGTGGTTCCACATTCCTTGGCGTGTCCTGGCTGATCGTATCGTAGAGGCATTCTTCTGTAAATTGCACTGTTGCACATGGGCATTATGCTTGTGGGTGTTTTGTGAGGAATTGAATTTGGGAATGCACAAGGAAGTTTCAGGTATATCCAAAAACACTCGATCAGTATCATGCTCCATACTGTAAAATTCATTATGATGCAGTTATGAGAGAGTAGGTACGATCCACTGACCTTCCAGTTCGTCTCTGTGAGCTGAGCAGTTTGTTAGTACCACCTGCCATACACAATACTTGTAGCACCGGGATATACATCTACTTCTAAGTAGTCCTACACATATCGTATATCCATACCGATTTCTTGTAATGAGATGTGGTATAACTCAGGAGTTGCGACCGACTCGGCCATTTGATAATAATTTGAAACTCTCCACCTCTCCACACTGCGCTCTTGGGGCCCACATTCACCCCACCACAGCGAGGAAGTTCGTTCTTGGGTAGATGTTCCATATCCTCCAGGCAGCTGTTTCGCTCATTGAGAGCTCCTCAGTGGAGGTAGATGTGGTATGTTGTACTTTTGTTTCTTTGCTTGTAGCCAATTTCTGAAATTGGTCAAGTCGATGTGTTGATCAACAATGCCGGGACTGCCAGCTGTGGGCGCTTCTTGGATGTGGACGAGAAGGACTTCTTGGTAAGTTCTATTACTGTGCAGCAATGCAGGGTATGTGTAACCACGAAGCATTGCCGTTGACTTGCGAAAGTGCTCAACCCATGAAGAGGAGCCTGCGACATAAGTTCACAATCAGGAAATTTTGTTTTGTTGTTGCTCTGAGTTTCATGGCATATCATCAGACAACACGTACACTTGTAACCATGTGCATATAGCCGAATTGTGTCATTACATTGATATTTACATGCAGCGTCAAATGGAGATCAACTACTTGAGCAGTGTGTACACAACGCGTTCTATATTGCCATCGATGATGCAGAGACGGCAGGGACAGGTTGCATTCGTGTCTTCCATGGCTGGCCAGGTACTGTGCTGTGTAGAGTGCTGTGATGTGCTGTACTTTGCTGTGTAGAGTGCTGTGATGTGCTGTACTTTGCTGTGTAGAGTGCTGTGATGTGCTGTACTTTGCTGTGTAGAGTGCTGTGATGTGCTGTACTTTGCTGTGTAGAGTGCTGTTGCTGGCTTAGCAGATACCCACAGAGTAGTAGCCATTACTTTTGCCCGATTGACCTACAACCTGGTGTGGCACGCTGTGCTCTACCTAGGCATGTACACAAGTATATTATAGGCTCCTAAACCAACCAATAACAGTCGGTTGGGCCAGTGATGGCTACGTCCTAAACCAGTGTGATTCCAGTTGCGGCAGCAGAGCTGGAGTTTCTCATCTATTGCATCTCCGTTCTTTCTAGCCGTGCATGATTAATACGGTGTACTAGTACTTTCTATTCTAGGTATCCCCTGTATATAGTGTTCAGTGTTTTTGGCTGCTGCGTGTCAGAGCACACTGCGTGCGTGGTGCATACCTGGTGTGCGACTATGACTGTGTACTTCATGAGGTTTTACAAAGCAGGTGATGTGCCTGCACAATCTTGAGAGACCTACCATCAAAGCTACAACATGTGGTGATTTCCTTCAGGTCTCTGTTTGGCATGCAAGGCATGAATATATATGGGCACTTGTGAAAAGACTGTAGTAGAATAAATGTGGTGTGCAGTACATGTTATATTCATGCCATGCACGTCTGCTTTTTGTAATGGAGAGTTGTCTACATTCACTGTTATGTCATTTGTGTGTTTTGTGTGCTGTGTCCTGTCTATTTACCACAGTAGTGTTAGTGCCAAGCATTTCGTTTGTTCATGTGTGTTCTTGCTGTGCTCCTGTCCTGGTCTGCTGCTGCTGCTGTTGTTGCAGGTCGGTCTGTACGGTTACAGTGCATACACGCCGTCCAAGTATGCCTTGCGTGGCTTGGCTGAATGCGTGCAAATGGAGGTACGCATGCCGATCTATTTCTGCCGCATGGTTGACTGGCATTGCAAAGGATGTGTCTGTATTGAAGTCTTTCTTGGCTGATATCGAAAGTCACGTTCAATATTGATTTATGCAAGACATGGCAGCCAGGAACAGCGGAAGTGATATACCCTGCTCGAGTTATTTGAAGTACTTATTTCAGAATTGTAAACAGTGTATCGTGCCACTGGCACTGTGCATGTGCGTGTGGTAGTAATACGGTGTACACTGTGATGCAGGTCACTGTCATCATGCTGTCACTTTCAAGTTTCAACTGTTCTGTTTATGTGTTTATGTGGTGTGCAGGTCAAGCCCCGCAACATCAAAGTATCCGTTGTCTTTCCTCCTGACACTGATACGCCAGGCTTTGCCAATGAGAACATTGCTAAGGTACTGGCTGCTGCTGTGTGTGCATGTTGATATGCTTTTGAAAAGAAACACATGCAGGGTCAGCATGCAGGCTGCGGTCATATGTGCATGCAATTTCTGTGTGGGGCAGTATGTTTTCTCATAAGTTCAATGCACTTGCAATTAGTATCACTTGTCCGGACATGTTTGGCTAACCTGCAACTCATTGAATGTGTAACAGTTGCACTGATGTATATTACAGGGTTCAGTTCAGTGAAATCTTCCCATGTGTTTTGATTTCTGTGCAAGTATCACTTGTTCACTTGTTTTGAGCATTGTTGGTGTTACTCTTCTCTTCTTTTTCTGTCTGCTCGTGTAGCCTGAAGCAACAAAGCGCTTGTCTGGTTCAGCTGGATTGTTTACGTCAGAGCAGGTTGCTGAGAATATCTTCACCGGTTTGGAGGTGAGTTGGCTCTGCTGTTATGGTTGTGTTGCTGCTGTTGTCATTCTAGTAGAATTGCATGCTTACTGTTTTTTCTCTCATGGCCTATCTTTTCAAGAAAGGGTACTACCGTAGCTGTTAGGAATCGTATGTTGGGTGGATGTGTGTGCACTGCACTTGCATGCAAGTACATGTACAAAGCCTAGGGACCTATCGTCTGAGGATGTGTGCGTGTGCTCTGTGCGTCTACAGCGCAATCGCTATAACATCTGGGTTGGACTGGACGGATTTTTCCTGAGCACGTTGACATGTGGCATGGGCCCATCCAAGTCATTCTTTGAGAGCTTCCCTCAGGTAAGAGCTAGTGTTTACGATTACAATGCACCCAAACACTGTAACTCCTTTAGGGCCTGGTCAGACTGCGGCAAAATCGAAATAATCCTAGGATTATAATCCGAATCTCCATAGTAACTTGCCGCCAGAGCGGCAAAAGCGAGAGTTGACGCTCCAAAAAAAAGCAAGAACGGACCACGCTTTTCCGCTCCAAACAGGATTTGACGCTGATACGCCATTGACGCTAATAATCACTGATTTTTTCATCTCGATATCGAGGAGCTAATTGGCCACGGACAACAACAAAACTCATAAGGATGGTTGCAAGGATTGCACTGAAGGTGTTGGCGATCCCCAAGGTGAAGGAATTTGACGTCGTTCTTGGAGATTACCACTTGACGCTCGAAATGAAGTTTGAATTTTCACTCTCCCCACATGTGTAGTGTGATCGCGATTCAAATTCTGGACGCTGTTCTGTTTTCGTCAGGCAACCAAGATTTGCCGCAGTCTGACCAGGCCCTAAGCACAGACTTGCTATGTCTGGAAAGTTTCCGCACCCACAGCAGAAATATTCCAATGTCATAATGGTGTATAAGTTATATGCAGTCCAGTTAGTCCACCTTTGACGCCGGGCTGCGTATGATGGGTGTCCAACTGTGTGTGTGTGCGTGCGTGCATGTGTGCGTGCGTGCATGTGTGCGTGCGTGTGCATGTGTGTGTATATTTGTGCTCTTGCTCAACTCAGGTCATGTTGGGTGGATTCCTTCGGTTCGTTGCGCTGTGCTACGTGTCGATGTTCAACAGCACTGTCTATCAGTGTGAACGTGAAGAAAACCGACTGTAATACTTGTCTGGACTGGCCCATTGATCTGCTGCTCACTTGGCAGGACAACTAATTTCAATGATGGCCTCATGTTGCTCGTTACTCCTCAGTCCGATATCTTCTGCAAGTGAACTACATGTACTCAAGATCTGAAATTCTATCTATTTGTTTTTCATGTGAAATTGTGAACAGTAGGTAAACTTTTGAATTCTGTCATTCTCTCTTTCGCCGCTTTTTTATCATCCTTTTTCACGAAAGAAAAAATAATGTTATTTTGCTATGACCAGCTAGGTATCTTCTTATTGTTTGCAGTGCCCAGAGTGCCTCTCAAGGCTGCTCTTATTATATTATTGTAGTCGTTGCTTGACCAAAATCTAGTGCACGGCGGAGTTTACTTCCACACATGCACTGCTAATGGTGGCCTTATCTGTAGCATATGTTTTAATATTTGCTGGCCCGGTTTCCACAATCTTGCAAAATAGGATTCTTTTCCCAGCGAAAGGTAACTAGCTGATGGTCCTTTCTATAGCATATTTCTATTTGCAGACACAGTGTTCACCATCTTAGGACTTGATCGCTCGGATGGACATGAATGGATCTTCCCGGGTTACTTGTTGCTCTGTACATAACTTTCTGTACTTACCCATTATAAGATAATGGTGTAGGCGCTGTTTTCTTCTTAGGAATGCTAGTAACATGTGCATGCAGCTTGGCTGTTTGGCATGTTTCTGAACGCACCCACAACTTTAAATTTCATACACAACTCAGAAGAGACTATTATTTTGTCATTGTGAATGTTTCCAGCCTTTTTTAAGTTGTGGAAGTCTGCATTTGGTGTGTGTGTGGTGGGGGGTCATGAGTAAACTGCATGTAGCATTAGAGATGCAATGATCATTTCTTGAACCTCCTTCCATTCAGGTTTTTATCTTGCATGGTTTATCAGAGGTGATAAAGTAATCCATTGCATGCCTCTGGGAGCTGGGACTAACAGTTGATTTCTAGGACTGGACATGCGCAACGAACATGGCAGACAGACTACATGCATGCTAGTACCAAGAGGACATAACCAGTGGTTATGTATTCTTGCTAGTAATTAGTATCAAGCGTGGATACCCCATGTACTCTTGCTAGTATATCCTACTACTTCTGAAGTACATTACTCATTAGATTGTATTCTCACACTGTGGCTTGAGTGCCTATGCAGCATTCAGGTGGCAATACAAACGTAAAAGCTGTGTTACTCTACCCCTGACAGAAGCAAGCTCACGTGATCAGTGGACAAGCTAGAGGGTCAAGACGAACACGCCTCTACGACACGATAACTCAGTGATCAAGTTCAACAGTAACAAAGCCAGTATTACGCCGAACAGCGGTCAGAATGAGCAGCAGAACGAAATGCAATGTGTCTGAGTTGACAGTTTATTGGGCATAAGACATTGACGGCTTAATTTAGTTGGGGAGTAAAGTGTAAAATATAGGCTGAACAGTCAACTGCATGTACTGGCATGTCACACAAGAGAAGATGGTGACTGAGGATCGCTTTCCGTGAAATTCCAGAGTTGAAACCCAGAACTCGGTTCCGCCTTCGCTTGTGTGACAAAACTCTGCTCGCCGGGTATCGAGCACTCTGTGAGTTGTGGAAGACCTCTAGTACGTACCGGTATCTCTATGAGACCAGAGTGTATCGAACTACCTTTGGGTTGAATAAAAACAAAATAATACTTCGAAGTAGACGAATATGTTGTTCTAATCTAAAACATATGAGTGAATAAAAACTTGTGCCTCACGAAGCCCCACTGTTTTCCATGGCTAACGGAATAAAAACCTCGCCAAATAAAACTTTCAAATAAAGGCACCAGATAAAAGGCGCTCATTTGCAAAGGTGCACACAGAGTATGAACAGAGCCAGGCTACCACTACGCTACCTATTCATATTGTGTGAAGAGCATGGAGATACGCGTTTCGTGCTATAATAATTATACGAGAGGCATGCAAGAAATATGAGAGGGGAGCCAACGGTGCAACATACTATGTACACCGGCTGTGGAACGGAGTTTACCTGATGTATCATGGGTCATGGCAAGGAAACTCAAGAGCTGAGCATGACTATGGTAGTACATTGTCCATTAGTGTTGATAACTTGACGCAGTGCACCAGTAGTTCCAAGAGTACATACTCTTATGACTGTCATATACCTGTTTGTCTGTAGTACGCTGTTTGAATTGCCGGAGCACGGGCACAGCATAATGAGTGTATGCGACCAGCACGACTGTTAGACTATGACACACCTGTGATAGTACCAGTTATTATCAATCGAGTGGCCAGTGAAAATCACGATCACCATCAATCCAGTGGCCGAGGCATGTCACATAGTTCGCAAGTTGCCATAGCATTGTGATTGGAGACGGTGCAGTACTTGCACACCCAACCCTGCTCATCCTGCTCGCCTTTCAGCGCTGCCAAACCACCCAGCACACAAACACATAAATCCCAAAGAGACATCATCACATCAAAACCAACATGTTGCATGCATGCACGCAAGCACCCACATCCTGCGCAGGGTTTGCAAGAATTAGGAAAGGCGCAGGAAATAATATGGAATTACAGCTTGTGATCAGACACATCTGTCCAGTACAGGGAGCCAGAGTTTATATGCAGCAGTGTCTGCTCCAGAGCCGGGTGAGCCGGGTAATCGACATGGTTGGGCGGCGCTTGGACCCGGTTGAAAATATAGTACCGGGTCACCTGTGACCCGGTTGGTACTTTACTTTGAAAGGACTGACTACATGGCTTGTATGTGTGACAGATCATGCAGAGGCGCGCGTCGAATACATGTGTACCCGGCTCCGACCCGGTTGAAATGGTTGCGCCAGGTACACGTGTACCCGGCTGTCCTACCATCCTAGAGCAGACACTGATGCAGGACTGTAGGTTAACAACTGGAACAAGCACAACATAACACAACACAACACAAGAGTGTTCACTCACCCGAGGATTGATACGACGCCAGTCGGGTTTTTGCTTCCGCTATGTCCGACCGCAATGCAGACGTCTCAGCCTCGAGTTGTAAGACATGCTCTTCCTACAGACACATACCAATACAAGGTACACAGCACAAAGCAAGCAATTTCATATTCTAACCCTATCCAATCCTTCCAAGGGACTGAATAGCAACTACATGTATTCCAAAACAGTGGTTAGCTTTCTCGGCGTTCCGGGACTGGCACGTGTGGCGGCAGCTCCTGTTATCACCCTATACATAAACTATATACATGTACCAGCATCCCATGGCAACTTGTTCATTCCAACAAAAGTTAGAAACAGCGGTTAGAAGATCTATGGATCTTATAGGTTGTGACGTTCCTCTCGAACTGATGAGCACTTCAGTTTAGTTGGAAGGGAATCCATTACGCTCGTTGTCAGTACATGTAACTTATCAAATACAGGTATACATACACACAATACACATTACACACCACCATACACACAAACACACACACACACACGCTCGCACACGCGCACATGGACATGAGTGCCATACCGAAGGGTAGCTAGTGTTCTCCTCAACAAACACCGAGTGAGACTGCTTCTTGGCTTGAATTTCCTGGTGAAGGCGCATGAGTTGGTTTCTCGCGGATTCAAGTTCCTGCACAGAGCACAAAACACACACACACACACACACACACACACACACACCACACACACACACCACACACACACCACACACACGCACACGCACACACACACAAACATACTTGTTCACATACACACACGCACGCACGCACACACACACACACATCACAACTGTGGAGGTTCTCACTAGTTTACTGCTTTCCTATACCACATGATAGACACTGCTTGCTTCCAAACAAGACATCAGACAACTAACATTATTCAAGCTGGATCCGTTTGAGCAGAGGAAAGTAGGCTCCTATAACTTGTAGTAGTAAACTCCCTACATGATTATAGAGTACAGTGGCCACTCAGAAACGGTACGGTTGAGTCTTCTTTGCTCTTACTCAAAGTGTAAACACACTCATCAGATGCTCTAAGTGCCTTCTGTATTGCTCACTCTGTCCACTGGATATTGAGCACTCTATGCTGTCTGAGGATGCATGATTGTACAGCATATGCACTGCAGTCTGTAGCTATACCAGCACACTAAATGGACCGATTGCCATTTGTACAGATCCACGAAATCCCGTAGAATCCCGCAGACCCGGTAGGGTGTTCATTGTGTGCTATGCATGCGCATTTGACCTTTTTAGCGTCATTGAATGGATGCAATCGCTTTTCCAGCTTCTTCACTTTGGTTAGAACTAATGACTAGCTAGATCTTTGTCAGAAAAAAAGGTTTTCGCATGAAATGCCTTCAGGCCCCATTTCTTAGTGGAAATAGCAGAAAACACAATAGGGTCCTGCACATTCAAAACCCTACCGGGTCTACGGGATTCTACGGGATTTCGTGGATCTGTACAAATGGCAATCGGTCTATTCTGACATCTGATAGGCAATAGCATTGGACACGAAGGGCAGTTTCACAAGTATGCCACATTCTCTCTACTTGCAGTCAAGGAATAAGATACACACGCATGAACACTTGGTACCTTTTTCATGCGATCTTTCCGTGCTAGCTGGTGAGATTCAAGAACTGTGAAAGCAAAGGGAAAATAGACAAATACTATGGTTTCTGAGGTACGCGAAGCAACAAGCATCCCAAGAGCTCAGGATCTGGGTACCAGTCTCAAAAGCTGAGGAAGTAGAGGTGAACACCACCTTCAGGCACTAAATCAAACACCAGATCTCTATTGCATCCTGCCACAAGAGTCTAAATCAACCACAGTTACCTTTATCCTATGGTGACTTCATGTTTCCAGCTGAGAAGCAAGCAGAGATGGATCAACAGATACTAGCAGATCAACAGGGGTCTTACCAGACGAGTACGCAGCATCAACAGAGCCGGCTGCTGGCTCAGCGCCGGTGCGTACGTGTTGCAGCTGCTGTTGCTGGAGGTTGCGCCATGGGTCGGCTGTCTCAGGATTAGCGGCAGCCATGGCTTGCACCGCACTATCACCGAGTCTCTACTGCCCAGTCACGCTACAGGGATGCTGATTGCACTCAGCTGACGAGGCTGACAACCTAGCCTGACTGTTATCAGCTACACACCAACTGTGAGTAACAGACCCACTGTGCATAGGTGTGTGAAGAAATGAACAGAAGACAAAATAACATCATGTGCAGTTCCACAAGAGTAACGATCAGAAAAAATCTGCCTCATTGGCAAAGTGCCATTGTGTAATAAAGAACACAGCCGCATAGTGGAGTTAGGTGTACATTCCGGGGTTTCCCGACTGACTTTCACTGCTGACCGTGGTTCTTAAAAAAAATCTTGTCCGGGTATGGCCCTGGTGCATGTACAATGTACATAAATTAATTAATAATACTGCACCGTACTAAAACAGCACACGGCCGATAATTAAAGGGGAAGTTAAGCCTAAAATCAAATTTTCACCAGTTGTAGTCTTCGGGGTCCTGAGTCGAATGGTCTTGGTCCGAGGAAGCTGAATGCTCCCTTCCTCCTTTATTCCCAATCGAACTCGCGCACTTCCACCGAAACTGGGTGATTGCGCCCTACTAGATGGGGATTTGTATGCAAAATGTCACTAAAAGCACCATTTCGTTCTTATAAAAGCACGGATGACCGCGATTGGCCCATATGTTGTAGTCTTTTGGACGCTGAGTCGACTGGATTTGGTCCGAAAAGGCTGCGATTCAGCGTTTGGCCCTTTTTCCCAATCGAACATGGTTGAACAAGCGGCCACGTGCTCCTGCGTACACCAGTCACCTGGTCACCACGCCAGCAAATATACGCCCGGTTTTTGACGCTCTGCAAAGTATACGCCCGGGGCTTATTAACGGAATTTTACGGTATTTCAAAAGAATTCGACCCACAAATGTATGGTCTGACGGTCAAAGGGTTAAAGCGAAACAAATGCCCACCGCACCAGAATTCGAACCTGGAAGTTGGCTTTGGCAGTTTGCATTAGATTTGAAGTCCTCCCAATCATTTACAACAAAATATACAACTGTGGTATTTCCCAGGGCTATGCATGTATTACAAGTACAATCTGCGTATCGACGTTTTTAAATTGTTTTCATGTGCTTGATTATTGTCATGTACCTCTTCAGATACGCCTTTGCCTCGAAAATTGAAATATCAAGTACAGCAGGGTACGTACAAAGCTCTTTTCTCTTCCCATCCACCGCGATCATAGGCCCAGACCAGATTGCCGAGAATACGTTGGGCGTCCACTCAGCTCCCAGGGGGTAATGCCTCCAATTATTATTTTTATTGATGAAGTATTACATTGCACAGGGTACCGGTACGGTGTGCTTACTGTGCTACTATTACACAGTATTAGAATAGCAAGAGTTCATAACCCCCGGGGGGTTATGTACTCTTGCTAGTGCAGCCTGCACGTACCTTGTAGACGAGCTCGAGACTCGAGAGGCACGCGTGCACGGGGCGTCATCATGATCATGTCACTCGACTACATGCGCATGAACAATCAGTCCGAAAATAATTTTTTTGAATTTTCGAATCTCGTTGTTTGGCCAAGGCTAGGCTACGGATGTAGTCGATTCCCGGATCGATCCCGGCCTTGCCTTTGTCTACTCAGTATTTTGTTACTTCGCACAGTACTTACTTTGTAGTTTTTACTCTCTGGATTTGTGATGTTTCCCTTAGATTTCTCCGCTGTGGGGCAAGTTTCGTTGACGCAAGATACCTTCCAACACCTGGGTGGTCACTTGAGAAGTTCTGAGAGGACTATTACCTAGAGTCCATCACCCGTTTATGGACTCTTGCTATTACATGTAGGAACTATTACTTGCTGGAGAGTGGAGTACGAGTCTTTGTTGAAGTCCAAAAGCACAGCATGGCAGAGTCTAGTGATGTTCTCCTAAGTCAAGGTTTCTTCAGTGGGAAGCACGACCATATTCATTTGGAGTTGAGAAGATCTGGCTTACATCTGCGAAAGGAAGGGAAGAAAGGCGTGGAAGTTCGCCTGACCTATTCATTTGAAGATATCATTGGAGCATCGGTGGTTAATGATGATGGACTTGATATCTGGGTATGCCCATTTGTCAATAAGGGTGTAGTGCGAAAGGCTGGGAGGCGTCTGGAAATCGTGAAGCTCAAAATGGATGGATCGACTTCACCTGAATTCAGGGCGAAGACGCTCAATGCTTTCCGATTAGCGCTGGTACGTGGTGCACGCCATCTTGACATCGGTGTTAATGAGGAACCATCAGTAAGAAGATTCATGGTCTACATCAACCCATACAGTGGTACAAAGCAAGCAGAGAAGATCATGAGAACGCAAGTTCAGCCCATGCTCCAAGCTGCCGGTGTCCAGATGGAAGTTGTCCTCTCAGCGCATCGAGGCTTTGTCCAGGAACACGCGAAATCAGCAGATTTTAGTGGCATAGATTCTATTCTTATCGTGTCAGGTGATGGCTTAGTGACTGAGGCATTAAATGGGATCATGTCAAGAACTGACTTTGCATCCGTCTTACAGATTCCGTTTGCCGTCATACCGGCAGGCTCAGGCAATGCCCTTGCAGCCAGCGTGCTTCATGCGTCTAAGGAGACGTATGGAATAGTGGAGGCCGTGTATGTTGCACTAAAAGGCTCGCCAGTACCGCTGGACATCATGAGCGTGACCAGTGCCAAGCGCCGTATCTACTCCATCCTGTCTGTGACCTGGGGGCTGCTAGCCGACGTTGATATAGGATCGGATAAGTTCCGGAAGCTGGGCAACGCTCGCTTCACTCTTGCATTTATGCAGACTCTCGCCTCACTGAAGAAGTACCCGGCAAAGCTGTCATTCTTGCCAGCAGAAGCTGTTGGAGACGTTGCTACTGATGGCGCGAACACGGAGACTGAATCTGTGGAGGGTATCGCTCTGGGACTTGCTGCCGTTCCTAAGATTCCGTCGTCATCATCATCAAGACGTTCACTACGGCGGAGAGCAACAGCTAGTAATCACTCAGTTGAATCGCCATCAGGTGGCACTGCTTCTAACGGCGCCAGTAATTTGCAGTCATATTCACTGCCGAAAACTGTCCATCTGCCGGCATTCTCTGATGGTCCTCCAGATCCATGGGTAGTAGAGGATGGCCAGTTCATATCTGTGTGTGCTGTGATGCCCAGTCACCTAGCATGGGATACACACTTGCAGAATCATGCCAGCCTGGCTGATGGTCTCATTCACTTGACCTTTATTGGCAGGAATGCGTCACGTTCCTCTCTTCTTACCGTCTTCACGGAACTAGGTGCCGGTGCTGGTGAGATTGCAACTTTAGCAACACACCAAGCCCATGACTTGCAACACCGGCCTGTGAAAGCTTTTCGTTTGGAGATGGACCCAGCACTCAGCTACTTGGCTGTTGATGGAGAGCACGTGGAGGGTGGTAGCATTCAGTGTGAAGTAATGCCACAGTTTGTTCAAATCATGGCTCGTCTACCTGCTGAGACTCCAGGTTCTGGTTCGAGTACTTCAGCTTCGAATGAAGCGCTGGCCAGTGATTCTGCAGCAAATGCGGCAGTAGCTGAAGATTCTGTAGTTGGCGCAACAGCATCCAATGATGCTCCGGCTACTACCACTCATTGTGCATCAGATGATGGGGCGGGTGATGATTTTCCTTCTACTGTTGAAGAAGACAGCACTGCGGATAACAAGGCTGAGCATAAGGCACACGGCAATGTGTCCAGTCAGGTAGACCTCTAGTGTTCAGAGATTGCTCCGCTCCGGCAGCACAGCTGTGCATATTCCTGTCTTCAGACTAGGAACAGAGATTGCTCCGCTCCGGCAGCACAGCTGTGCATATTCCTGTCTTCAGACTAGGAACGCTCATCGTCATGTAAATCGACAGAACCGATCACACGCACTTGGTCCTGAACTCGATTGTGTGTGTGCATGCACTCGCGTGCACACACACACACACACACACACACACACACACACACACACACACACACACACACATACACACACAAATACACTTAGTTGCCAGTATGGTCCTTGCTGGCAAATGCTACTATAACTTAGTCTATTAGTGAATCTGTTATTGTCTATATTAGAGAATTTTTCTTGTCATGTTGACATCTTAGCTATTTTCAGTTTGAGCTATATTATAGCCTATATTTAGTTTCAATGCACTTGCTGATTTTTACAATGGAGTAGTGCATGGCTGGCTCATATAATATTGCTACTTCGTATTCTGCAACTTAGGTTGGCCCGGAAATACCCAGCCTGGAAAACTACTGTCACTACTGACTTAGTCAGAGCATCTATAAACCATAACTTCTACAGTCACTGGAGTGTGTGTGTGTGAGTGCATGTGCGTGTAAAAGAGTGTGTTAGCGTTCCGCCGGAGCTGCAGTATCTCAAGCCACATCCTGAAGCCCGCACTCCCTTCAAGTTTGAGGACACATAGCCCATTGTGGCAGTGCGAAGGAAGGAGGTGTGTGTGTTCGTGCACGCACGCCTGATTCTGCACTCAGCTGGACCCGGCAGCAGAAGTATTATGTCACCAAGTACTGGTATAGCATTCACACTCAGTGACAGTCTTTGCCCTGTATGCTTGAGCAACCACTCATGCAATGTTTCCTCCATGCTGTAGCCAAGATTTAATACATGCCAGCGTAATATTCGAAATAATTTACCGGTACACAGTTTTACTCGTGTCCTTGAAATAATTGTCTACATCTTCGACATTCTGTTAGTATGTGAACAGACCTTCTGTTATTCTGTGAATGCTCCTGACTTGTCAACAACAAAAAAAACACACAGCACATGGTTGACTTCGTGTCTTGAACACAGGCATACAGCTGCTCAGTACATCATGAGAAAGGACGTACTAGTACTATACTAGTAAATTAGTAGTAATGGTGAAAACTACTCATGACGACTATACCCAAATGGCGGCCATCAGCAGTCGCACGCTCTGGGCAGTGTTATACATGCCTGTACTCTCTCTCTCTTCATCACACAATGCACCGAGAGTGAGGCGAGTCTTGTCGTCAGATGCTCCCTATCAGCTGGGTAACATTCTCGCCAGGCTATGCACAACACAACCAAACATTACTGTTGGTAGATGGAGTCATTATTATAGATAATACAAGATCAGAAACAAAAAGTCATCAGCTGGGAATCTTTGACATCAGTTTGCTAATATTCGCCAGCGCCAAGTATAAGCACAGCCTAGAATAGTATGTACAGCAAAATAAAAAAAGTGGACTGTGGTAGGATGGAAATGCCGCATGTGGCACACACCGTGTAACCATTTGCCATTATCTCTATTCAACATCTCAAGAAAAAAAACTACAAACTCAGACAAACACAAAAGGAAAATGACTGAAATACTAGCAGACTGTGCATGTGTGTGTATTGCATATGTACAGAGATAAAGGGGTATCAAGTCATATCAAATTGTCAACACAGTTTTCTGTGCATCTCCTGTGACGATAGGTAAGAGACTGGCCATACAGACACTGCTAGTATGCAAACCTGCACACATGCTATGATACAGCCGCTGAAGAGAACATGAACTGAACTTATACATCCTAGAGTTCACAGGGAAATTGGAGTTTGCCAGTACAGCTAACTGGTTACCGGTGGTCTGGTTTAGAAGAACTTCTTTTGTTTCTGACGAATTGCAACAGGAGCTCCACTGGCAGACTGAACTTGTTCACGTGTGGGCATGCAACCAGGGGGAGGTGGCTGGACAAGATAAGAGGTAAGAGAAGAAACAATCATGGCAACAGTCATAGAGAGTAGCAATACGAGTACAGTTGTGCTCGGTGAAGTCTGACCCAGAGTGCATGTTTGGCGCCCTCAACTTGCACGGCCCTTGACACCCTGGAAGTGGCAGCTGAACGTATACATGTACAAATACGATGATGTAATCGGAACGGCCCAGGGCACCAGCTTTGCACTTTGGGTCGCATTTCACCGAGCGCAACTGTATTTCTCAGTAGTCACACAGATACTGAGACCTATGGACAAACAGGCAGACAGGAAAACCAACATGTGCGCCCCATGCACACACCACCGTCTACAACATACCCCATCGCCCAGTGCCACTGGCACATTCTCTGGAGTGTCCACAGCCATGCCTTTGGTTTTGGCCATACTAATGTTCAGACCTCGGTTAGCAGCACATGACATGAAACTGGCCATGAATGACTCAAAGGCTGAGTGGTGGTAAAGGCAGCAGCATAGTCAGCAAAATTACTCAGTGACACAGGTTGAAAGCAGCCACGGCTTTGTAGTGCAATGAGCTTACGTCAAGGCTTGTGTTTAACGGTAACGCCAACATCCGGGCATTCCGAACGCCAATATGTAGCCACCGGACACACACACACACGTGCACACAACATTGAAAGATAAAGTCACAACATGGTCACATATCACTTACAGGAATAGTTGCAGAACCGCCGTTCCTGCCACCGAGCTTGGCGTTGGAATCAAATTCACTACATGCCAAGTTCTGGACATTTGTCTGAATTGTCACAGCGCCAGTAGCTGGTGCATAACTCATCTGCAACAGACAGTGATCAAACCCAATTATTACGGCATACCCGCACCTTTAAAGCAATGACGGTACGTGATGAGTGATAGTGAAGCCATGGCTTTATAAATGAGATGACATTTGAAATGTATTGTAAAATGAAGCAATATGTACTACGGTTTGGTTCTTACTTGATGGTTTCACGCGGTTGGCTTTGTGAATAAACCCGTTTTCAAAATACTATACTGACAAGCTTCCAGAGCAGCAGAAAGGGCAAAAAGCAGATTTTTAGATTGAAATGTTTGTGTGGAGTTTGACTTTCATGCCATTGTGTAGTAGGTGAGTCATTTTGCATCTAAAAATATTTATAGGCAAGCAGCGGTGTTTTGAATACTTCTTTTGAACTGTATAAGGACATTGATTTACAGGCGCAGGCACACGGTAGCGGTATGTAGACACACAGCCAGCAACTGTACTTTTCGCCCAAGTCTGCAGAAAATGCCCGTACAGACCGTACCGGCAGGCACGAAAGTGTGTGCCTCTGCGCCCATAAAGGGACATAATTGTGCACTTTGTGGTCCGGCGTACAAGTCATCCATACTATACCGTAGTTCCGCGCATATAAGCCCATGGGCTAATATACGAAATAATGCATTTTCAGGGGAAAAAAATCAGTAATAATGGTTCGTTTTTTAGCCCTGGGCCTATATTCGAATTTTGAAGGCAGATGGCACGCAAAAAAGTACAAGTCCGTGCGCGGTTGTCCGCCCACCGTATACTGCACTGCTGAAAATTCAGCACTTGTTTTGTCTTTTTCAATTTCCTTTCTTTTTTAACCCTCCACTTTCTTGTTTTCTGGCTCATCAACAAGAACAGCTCTGTACCGGTATTGTGAAAAATACACTTGACGAACGGGTCCGTAACGGTGTTTGGGTCTGTTTATTAGCCCATGGGCCTATAAACGGAGGTGGGCTTATATGCGCGGAACTACGGTACGCATGTCCATATACTGTAAATATACAAAATTTCCGCGCTGCAAAATTTCGGCACTTCACGATTTTTGACATTTCGGCGGCGATTTATTTTCGGCGTGGGGTAGAGGGCATGGCATAGTGCGACAGATGCTGTGAAAAATTTCATCGGCGTTTTAATTTAGGCGTTTTGGGTCGGTGCCGAATATAGCCGAAATTAAATAGCTGCCGAAAATTTGTATATTTACAGTACATGTACGCCAGGGAATCGTAAAATACGACTCCCTGATGTACGCGAGCAAAGTGACCTCTCGATCTGCCAAAAATAGCAATGTCGTTTTGTAGTTGCAACTCTTTTCTACATGTACATGCCCTGACTTACTCCTTGTGACGGATATTGCTGCATGCCAGGTTGGGCAGCATACGCTGCGTTGGGTTGACCAGGGTATTGCTGCATGCCAGGCTGGGCAGCATACGCTGTGTTAGGCTGGCCAGGGTATTGCTGCATGCCGGGCTGTGCACCATACTGTGCAGCAGCCATGGGTGCAGCAGCGGGATACGGTGATGCTGCCGCCGGATAGGCTTGTGCGCCAGGCTGGCCCGGGTAGGCTTGTGCAGCACCAGGCTGGCCCGGGTAGGCTTGTGCAGCACCAGGCTGGCCTGGGTAGGCTTGTGCGGCACCAGGCTGGCTGCCCGGGTACGCTGGATAGGCAGCCTGCTTAGCATGCTGTGCTGCTGGGGCAGTAGCACCAGCATGTGGAGGTACAGCACCGCCGGCAGGCCCACCCATGCTCTGATCATACGGTGGCGGGTGCTCGCCTGGGGCTGGTCCTGTTGGGTACGGCGCTGCCGAAGCACCTGGAGCACTGCTGGGCGGGTAGGGTGCAGCTCCAGGGCCAGCACCGGGATAGCCCATTTTGCTATCTGCTGCTTGCGGTGCGTATGGCATAGCTGCACCTTGCTGCTGTGGTGGGTATCCCGGGTATGCAGCCTGCTGTGCTGGCGGCTGCTGCTGCTGCCCGGGGTAAGCGTTGGCCATATACGGTGTTGCTGCCGGTGCACCCTGACCTGGGTAAGCCGCCTGTCCAGGGTAGGCACCAGGGGCAGCTGGCTGTCCAGGGTAGGCGCCAGGGGCAGCTTGAGGTTGATATCCGCCCTGCGGCATCATTCCAGCAACGGGGGCACCAGCTGGAGCAGCTACAGGAGCATTCACTGGTTGTGCAGCAGCACCTTGCCTCGGGTAGCTTGATGACTGAGTTGGATAGGCTGGTGCTCCACCTCCTATCCAGAGAATCCGTTCAGAAAAAGAGAGAAAAAAGAGGACAGGATAAAGGAGAGGTCTTCATAACGGCGCTTTGAAGAAAATGACTGTTCTGAAATTACAAGCTGAATGCCGTTCGGTATGTCAAGCAGACTGTGCAAACTCCTTTCTTATGGGCAGGCTGGACAGCGTGTTATTACATCATGCAGGCATGCGCCAGGATTTGAACCGGCGAGTCAAGCAAAATCTGGTGGGCTAATACGAGTTATCACTGATTTTGAGTGCATGAGTGGAGAGCCTGATGCAGACAAGTTCCATGATGAAGACGGTGCATTACGCACTGACCCACATTCAGAGTTGCATACTCTTGGTAATGGGCTCCTGATAATACTTTTTCTCACAAGACTGTTGAGTACAGTGCAAGCTACTCCTCAAGCTGACCTCATAGCTCTTCTTCTATACTTCATAAGCGATGTCAATCTCAATCTACCAGGTATCAGATATCCAGAACTGAATTCAGGGTGGTCTGATGGAAGCTAATACAGTGCTGCATATGAGAGTATAAGCAACTCATACTCTCCCAGCCCAGCCATTACTTTCATGTGTATGTTCGTTATGACAACATGTTGAAGTTCCATACCTTACAACCTGACTTGGATAACTAACCTCTTTGTGGTACAGTGGGTTTTGACAGATTAGGAATTTCTACATGGTTCAAAGTGCGCCCTACATGCGCCCTCAATAGCATACCCCTTATGTCTGATTTTCAACCTATCATCCCGCACTGGTCGTTTTCCCTCTGCATGGAAAACAGCTAATGTTATACCGATCTACAAGAAAGGGTCCCGCCACGAAGCATCGAACTACCGTCCGATATCTCTACTGTCCTGCGTTTCCAAACTCTGTGAGCGCGTTTTCTACGACCAATTGTACTGTCATGTCTCGTCACGTTTGAGTTCAGCTCAGTCCGGATTTCACAGAGGCGATTCTACCACCCTCCAGTTGATGCGCCTGGTGCAATTAGTGTGTCGACATCGGGATGCTGGAGATCTAGTCGGGATCTGTTTTTCGATCTTGCCAAGGCCTTCGATACCGTCTGGCACCGGGGGCTTTTGGCCAAGCTTCGTGGATCATTTACTGTAGACGGCAATCCCCTGCTATGGCTGACATCTTACCTAACTGGGCGAACGCAGTACGTCACGGTACATGGGACGTCCTTAGCCGACACAACAGTACTATCCGGAGTTCCCCAGGATTCCATCCTCGGCCCCCTTCTTTTATCTTATACGTCAATGATCTGCCCGCAGCTGCCCCGGGCACATCACTGTTCGCAGACGACACAACGCTCCTACGGGCATCTCCTAACATTACTGGCCTGATGAGTAACCTAGCTAACGGGATTCAAAGAGTAATTTCCTGGATGTCGTCTTGGCGGTTATCGCCCAATCTGTCTAAAACTAAAATCATGCTCTTTCCTTCTCAGCCCGATGTTCCGCCCCTCCTCCATCCCACTTTCCCCCAGCCTATAGACATAGTCTCCAGCCATAAGCATCTTGGCATTTTCATTGACTCTAATCTTTCATGGGAACCCCACATCGATTACATATGTAAACGATCAAGTTCATCTTTAGGAATCCTCTCTTCCCACTGTTACCATCTCCCAATCTCTTGTAAACTCCTCTTTTACTCAGCTTACCTACGCCCCATTTTTGATTACCGTATTTTACCGGTTGTAAGTCGACCCCGGTTATAAGTCGACCCCCCTATCTGAAGGTCTCAATTCTGCGTTTTAAGTTTTCACCCAAAGAAGCACTACTAACCACCTCCTGCTACTAACACATCAACAAATCATGTAAACATTCCTCATTGGAGGATATAACGTCCCAATCCTTGAAAAAGGCCAATAAACTGGCAAAAATGTGTAAACATGGTGCACTCGTGCATGCAGTGCAGGTCATTTTGTGTAAGATACTGATAGTTCCCGGTTATAAGTCGAATCCCGGTTGTAAGTCGACCCCCACCCTTTCTCCTTCTATTTTAAGTCGTAAAAGGTCGACTTACAACCGGAAAAATACGGTATGCAGATACTGCTTGGGCTGGAATTTCCACAACCCGTGCTGCCAAGCTCGAAATTCACCACAAAAAAAGTTCTCAAAATTCTCCTCCGAAAACCCCGCATGCTCCCATCTTCCACCCTTTATGCCCTTGCTGACACTACCCCTTTGTCTAAGAGACGTAATTCACATCTTGTCACCCTTATCCATTCTCTCAAACTCAATCTGTGTCCACCTCACCTCCACTGTTTCAACTGGTTCTCTTCCCGTAGCACGAGAAACTCCCTTTCCCTTCCGAAACCTAAGTCCTCCTTTCTACTTCACTCTCCCTTTTTCACTGCGTACTCTGCGTGGCTGGCACTTCCCCAAGAAGCTAAGGACCTTTCTTCCCTCCGCCTTTTTAAGAGCCTTGTCGCGCCTTGACTTTGATTTTGTGTTTCTCATTTTGTTGCAATCACTGCTTATCCATGCCGGTTCCTTTTTCTTCTCCTCCCCTTCTCCCTTCCTTGCCATGGTTGGCTAACACCCTCTCTCTTTGCATTGGCCGGTGTTCTCACTGTGCTATGAGATGCTGTAATAAATAAATAAAGTACTTCAGAAGTACAACTGACTTCTTGCTACAGGCAAGGGCTGTGTGTGGGTGGAGGATAAGAACACCATAACTACATGTATTCCAAGCATGAGGACACTACTGTACTAAAATAGTCTACATTGGAGTTTCAAAGTTCTTTCTGTAAAAGGAAGAAACATAAAATATGCTGCTACATTGGTGTGGGTCGGCCTCACCTTTCTGAGACTTCGAACCGAACCCCATCGTCACTGTACTAGCTGTACGGAGTCCACACGCAGGGCTAGCCTAGACAAGTTGGGGCTTGCAAAAATGTGATGTGGTAAACACAGCACAGTCTCAATCTCTCGATCAAATGTAGTTGACAACAAGATCACTTTGGCAATGCGATGTTGACGTGGATTGTTATGCTATAACACACAGCTAATAAATAACTGACTCGTGATGAAACGACAATCTACTCAGAATGATAAATGCCCAACAAAAGCTAATCTTTGACTGAAGAAGTGAAGGAAGCTACAAAGAAGATTCAACCACAAAGTCCCGAGCTACATGTATCTTTGCTGATCTGTGTAGCTAGCCTGGCCAGGCGCAGGTTCACGCGTGAACATGAAGTGTGCAGACGCGGTACGGTACGGTGTATTATGACGTCATTCCGCATTATAGAGCTGGCCGGCGCGGGGCCCGGCCGGGGGCCAGGGCTAGGGGCCGGGTGCTTATTTTTTAATGTTGGCAGACTTGCTGATCTTATCAAGAGGAAATACTCTAAAGATGGTATCACAGGCGCCGGCAGCTCGGGTGTTGTACTCTATCATCAAGCTTACAATCTACATGTACCTATGCACTCTTGTCTCTTGCTCTTATCTGTGTGTCCCAAGAGTCCACAAACACGCATGATTGATGGACTCTTGTGTGTCTCTTGACTCTTGTAGATCTGGACTAGAAACTTGGCATGTTATGCAACACCCTGATTTGCCATGGACCTGAAAATGGTATACCGTATCACCAGTACTAAATGAACACGACTCCAATACGTACTAAATCTACAATATCATCGCGCCGAGTGTTTATCAAAGATATAATCATCATAAAAGTGATTTACCTCTTGCATTACAGACATTTATTGCCATAATACATTGTACTCAGATGGTGAGCCAAGGAAAATATTAAATTGAAACAAGGAAGACGGTGGGACACAAGTTCTGCGTTTAACAATTGTAGTTGGTTAAGTTTAGTTGGTGGACTCTAACGCATAACTAGTTACTTGTGCCCCATGTTTTCCTTGTTTCAATTCATATACATTGTCAAAAAAAAAATTTTGCATGACAGCCATGCATGGCAGGCAGTCAATCTTGCCGGGATCAATTACCGCATATGTCTTGAATACAATTCAGTCCCCTTGGTCTCCAGTGGCAGTAGTTTTGACTCCCTCCGAAAAAATAATAATGATACATTTATTCACTGGTTTGAGGGAAAGACGCAAACGGGAAAAGTCTGAAGAAAAAATTGACTGCCCCACCAGGACTCGAATGATAGGTACATGTATGCAGCACAATCACTATACTGTTGGAATGCAGGTGCTACGAGAGTGGGTGCCAACTCGGTGGTATTATCCTGTTTCATGTGTGGGCTAAGTAGTCACGGTAGTTGAGGCAACCGCCACAAACTCCACTACTTACACAGTGCTCAATACAACCCACACTCAGAGCTTCCGAAGACATGTACAGAAGTCAAGATGGATATTTTATTTGCATTTGTTGGGTTTGTGGGTTATCCATATCCGAATTACAATAATTTTTTAACCTAACATGTATTCATGAGATGGGATTTCACTCTGCACAGCGCTACATTCCCTTGACCACTGGTTCTGGCCATTGGTCACGGCGGCAACCAATCCTGCTGAAGCAGTCGCATGTTTCAAGCTACATCAAGTCAGTGTAATGGGAGCTCTGCCACAGCAGGCTGCTGCATATTCCTGTCGTAACAAACGCCAGTATAATCAGGCGACCATGACAATCATGATGCACAAGCCACAGAGTGCAGATCATACTCATAGCTGGAATTGATGACAGCGTGCCAGATGATCTCTATATCTGATTGATGAACAAGGGATAGACCGCATTCGGACAACGCTCCATTGGGTTAGGTAGCCTAAAATATCGTAGATATCGAGACAGACTCCTGAGCAAAATTTGAAACACTGCTCCATCGTTTGATTGAAATCCAATAATAATGCTGCATGAGAACTGTCCATGGAAATCTACGAAGGCGATGTCCAGGTGAAACTAGAAGCTCAAATTATGACAAGGGCACTACTTCGCAAGAGCAATCAGACCCCCGTACTTCTATTATCCTGGAAAGGATGTTCAATTAGCTGCGGCTTCATTCGCCTGTTGAAGTTTCCGATACTTGCACTGTATCCAGACACGGTACATGGTGAGTTGTCGGCCTCGATTGACTTGGAGGCGGCGATCAACAGCATTCTGAACTCGCTCCAGACCAGCGCTGACGAATAAGTCATGGAGCTCCTCTATGAAAGCATAGTAAACACGCACATACAAAACAAAGCTCAGCCTAAACTACACTTTTTCCTTCTCTGAAAATAATCGATAAAGCCGGATGGCCCCAAGTGTTGTCCAACTCTGAAGAATTCGTCCGGTCAAACACATCCTCCGGAAACAAAGTTCGTGACTTTGAGTTTGATCAACCTGCCAGTTCTAATGAATTGAGTTCTGAAGAATAGCGATGGTGACTCCAAGTGAGACTCGAACTGTACCAATTTCCTTTGTATACTAACAGTGTGCATACTTCAAAGATGTAAAGTTTGTAAACCCACTCATTGTCTTGAATTTTTTGTCCACTGAAACAAAGTTCTTTAAAAGCACAGTAACTCCTGAGGACATGTCAAAGTTTTTGTTTCTGGAGGAAGTAATTTCACCTATGAATGATGAAACCTATTGAAAGGCCTGGTAAATTGTCGTCGGACTCGAGATTAATTTAGTCCAAAAGTACCAAAACTCTTTGGACGGAAAGGATGAAATATTAATTTCCTGGCGAATTCTTTTGCTTGTGTGTCTACAAGTAAATACAATTGTATAGTTGGAGGCGGGAGTGCAAGCTTTACTTCACTTACTGACAGAAATGAACAGCAAAACACATACCTTGCTTGAAGAAGTAGCACCGAGTGCCATCTCCACGTACATAGAAGTTCTCGCCCAGACAATGCCCTGAGAGAAACAGATGAAGCACCGTCACACGGTTGCACCACACCTCCCTTGATTCAAGCAATGACACTAGCCATACATGCATGTCTACTACTAGTATCAGAAAGAAGATTAAAAACACACAGCAAGAAAACCAAGAAGCAAAAAGAAAGATGGAGAGCGGAATAGGGAGCAACTGCGAACGTGGCATACCTGGCTTAAAGCGTAGCTGGGCCAGATCATAATGGCCATAGTCCCTGAACAGGAGGAGTCCACCGGGTTTCAGCAACTACAGTCATGTAGCACAGAATACAAAACAGAAAGCAAGATCAGCAAGACTAGCCCTGCAAAACAAATCAGTTAGGGCCTGATCAGGCTGCGGCAAAACGACTCCAAATATCCACAGTAACTCAATGCCAGAGCAGCGAAATTGAGGTTTGACGCTGCTAGAGAAAAAAGCAAGAATGGACTACGATTTTTCGCTCCAAACAGGAGCTTGAAGCTGGTACGCCATTGACACTTAAAGGGGAAGTCCGGTGAAAAATTTAAATTTCACAGTCCGTAGAGTTCGGGTTGCTGAGTCGAATGGTCTTTGTCCGAGGAGGCTGCGGCTTATGGTTCGTCAGATACGCCCAATCGAACATGTGCGAATTTGAGCGCGCATCACCCAGATCCAGGTGATGACGTCACAGCGTGCAGCCAGGTAGCCACACCATCTAGTTGTGTACAAAAATGGCCATATTCGGAGCGCGTTCGATTGGGGAACCGTTTGTCGCAGCTTCTTCGGACCAAGACCATTCGATTCAGTGTTACAAACACTACGTACCCTGTGATAAGCTCGGTAAACTTGGAGGTTATACCGTATTTTAGCCGTTTCCGAGTTGGACTTTTCCGTCAGCCTGTCTACATGGTCTACGCGCTCTGCGCTGCGTGCATGCAGTGCGTGCAGTGTGTTATCTAGCTGTAGTGCAGTCAACAAACTCATGTCACAACTGACACAAGACTCAGAAAACTAGTCAACACACGGACTTGTCATGTACTACCGGTAGTACTACACTCGTATCAGTCGTACAGTGACTCATGTAGTCAGAGAACGTGCGTTTCTCCTTGCCGGTGCTGGCCGGTGGTTGTGCTTTGAGAAAGAAAATTTTAGTTTTCCGCACCCGCCTCATTATTTTATGCTACAGCGATGAGTGCACAACCGTGACAAGTGACAAAACAGCGAACAGCTCCCGGACTTAGAACTTTCAGATTCCATAGCGTTGCGAGCGAAGAGTCGTGCCCGTGGTTCAAAGAGCCTGCACTGTTCTCCAATTGAGTAGTCCGAAATATTCCAAGTTCGCACCAAAACATCACCATGTGGCAGGCTACTGGAGTCTAAGCGAATCTAATCGGTATGGAACAACATTAATTAGAGCACTCGCATCACTCTTCTCCATTTTGGCGACCCTGCTCTCCAGCGATCTGATAATTACATCAGCCTCGTCTGCAATAGCTGCTGCTTCTTCATCAGTCGGAAACTCAGTAGCGCTCACTCTTGACCGGCCCGCGCGGCCATTTCTTCAGCTGAATACCGAGGTTCTCAGCCCCAGACCGAACTCATGAAGGTCAGCCATGGCTGCATCCTCACTCTCACAAAGAGTTATAGGTCTTCGGGGTCGCTTGCACCACCTAATAATAATATCAGTCGCCAAATCATTTGAAATAGCTCTGACACTATTGCTTTCACGCACTCCTTTTGACCTAGCTGCACGCTATGACGTTGCAGAGGGTGTGGCGCGGCCGCATGACGTCATGGCGCAGCCCCCGAAACTCAGTTTTTCAAACGGAAATATCTCGAGAACGCTTTGTCGGAGACACGTGGGACCAACACTATTCGACTCAGCGCCCGAAACTCTACCGACCCTGAAATTTAAATTTTTCACCGGACTTCCCCTTTAAAAGGCCGATTAACAATACAACTTTTTACGATGCGACATGCGACTTGCAACACCAACGACAAGCTGCGACCACAACACACGATTCACAATTTTCACGTTTTTGCGACATCCCTATCTCTGCATGTACTATGCACGTGCATGTGCATCCAGAGTAGAAACTGTACTCCATTTGTGTAGGACGCGCGCCGCACGTTGCAAAAGTTGAGCTTTCTTCAAGTTCTGCGACAGGTACCTTGCGACTGTACGCGACAGGCATTTTCTTGTCGCAACTGTTGCAAATGGCGTCGCAAAAAGTCGTACTTTGAATCGGCCTTTATACTCCATGGTTTTTCATCTCAATATCGAAGTGATAAGTGGCCACGGACAACAACAAATCTCAAAAGAATGATTGCAAGGACTGCACTGAAAGTGTTGGTGATGCTGAGGTGAAGGAGTTTGAAGGAACCCGTGGTTGGAATACCACTTTTAAAACGGTTGATGCTCGATAATCCTGAACGATTTTCTGGCAGTCTGACCAGGCCCTTTAATACACAGCCCAAGGTGAAAAATAGAAGTAGAGTACAGATGTATTGCAGGCAACCCTGCCCATGCAGAGGTGCTACTTTCTATAGGACTTGAAAAATGCTATGTAACAGCAGGCTGGAGACCCAAAAAATAAAGATGCGCAAATTGAACTACATGAGCACGCTGGAATGTCACTGCAAGTGTTGGCAGGAATCATGACGCCACACTTCAGCGGTCAAAGCAGGATTCGTATTGGAGTCTGAATATTACCTTTGAAAGTCGTTTTATAGCACCTGACATTCTGCAATTTGAGCACACAACAAAACAGCACACCATCTCTAACTATAAACCATTGCATGGACACATGTACATACAGAAGTAGAGTGCCACCGGGTTCGGTTTTATTCTTTGTGCGCACTGGTGAGTCCACGAAGGATGAAACCATACAACATGTATCCGCAGAGGAGTTTTCGTTGATAGCTGACGTCTTAACTCTTAAGCATAGCATATGCAGAGTCCCCCACTCAAGGAAGAGTGCTCAGCACCATGAGGTGGAGCCTGTACGCCCGTACACACAGCGGACGGGGGATGTATAGTTATAACATTTATAGTTAAAATTCTGAGCTACCTGAAGATCGTTGAGCGCGTGTAACTCAGAGTTGTAACTATAAAATTTCCTCTCTCCCTTCTGTGTAATAGTTTTTGGAATTAAACATTTTCCTACCTACCTTGTATACATGACGTACTGGTAAAGCACTCTTGCGTGGGTATTTCGTGCTGTTGAGTGCAAAAAAGGAAAACTATTGTCCTGTACGTAGGATAAGATTGCACTTTGTGTACTGCAAGCAGCCAAGAAAGCAGTTCAGGCGTCATCTCGCAACGCTCTTCACATCCACGCTGCAACTGTATGCTCTTGACTGAGTGCAGATCAGCAGTGCACGTGCAGCTAAGAAGGGCGCCTCAGGATGGTTGACCTGCTGACCCCTGAAACGCCATGGCTTTGCTCCGGCGAAGGCGGAGTTTCGGGATGGTTTGCATCTCCGTTACAACTGGAGATTACCGCACATGCCGTCTACCTGCTCTTGTGGGAGCCAGTTCACCATCGCCCATGCCTTGCGCTGCCCGACGGGTGGGTACCCCAGTATTCGCCACACCGAAATTCGATATGTGACAGCTGGTTTCCTGAAGAGAGTGGTTAACAATGTCTTTGTTGAGCCGCACCTTGAGCCCCTGTCGGGTGAGCAGCTCTCTCATCGCACTGCCATTCGCGCTGATGCCGCCAGGTTGGACGTGGCCGTTAACGGGATATGGGGAGGACGATTCGAACGGACGTATAATATTATTGATGTAAGGGTTTTCAACCCATTTGCACTCTTAAATCGCTCCTCCTCCGCCTCCGCAGCCTACACCCGTGACGAGAAAGCCAAGAAGTGGACGCATGAACAGCGCTTGTGTGGAGCGCGCCTCGTTTGTCCCGGCAGTATTCTCTACAACCGGTGGTATTATTATTATTATTATTATTATTATTATTAAGTAGTGGTAGCGACTTCGGCGATGATTTGTAAGAATGGTTTGCTCCCCACACCGGAGCTCGCGCTATTCCGCCGACTTTACTTGACACTTGACTGACTCACGACTGCCATCCAGAGCACACGAGAAGTCCATCGAACCTTCGACTCGGCAAACCTGCAAGAAAGTACCACTCCCTGCTCAATACACAGTGTTTCGGGGAATTCACCCCTCATCAGTTGAGCTTGAGTAGGCTGAGGAAGATTGTGCCTGAAGAGCACCACTTATATAGTGCTCTCCAGGCACAAACATCACCAGGGATACAAACTTACAGAGACGCTCCGCTTCCAGCGCGACAAACACCTCGTGAACACCAGATAGCAGCGTGAGTCAGTGTCGCTCCTGGACGGTGAGACAGACGTCGAGGACCCTCGGTCATTCGCAACGCTGTCACCTCCAAACCAACTAGTCGCAAGCCCGCGCTGGGCACAACAGTACGAAGTAGTGGTAGCGACTTCGGCGATGATTTGTAAGAATGGTTTGCTCCCCACACCGGAGCTCGCGCTATTCCGCCGACTTTACTTGACACTTGACTGACTCACGACTGCCATCCAGAGCACACGAGAAGTCCATCGAACCTTCGACTCGGCAAACCTGCAAGAAAGTACCACTCCCTGCTCAATACACAGTGTTTCGGGGAATTCACCCCTCATCAGTTGAGCTTGAGTAGGCTGAGGAAGATTGTGCCTGAAGAGCACCACTTATATAGTGCTCTCCAGGCACAAACATCACCAGGGATACAAACTTACAGAGACGCTCCGCTTCCAGCGCGACAAACACCTCGTGAACACCAGATAGCAGCGTGAGTCAGTGTCGCTCCTGGACGGTGAGACAGACGTCGAGGACCCTCGGTCATTCGCAACGCTGTCACCTCCAAACCAACTAGTCGCAAGCCCGCGCTGGGCACAACAGTACGAAGTAGTGGTAGCGACTTCGGCGATGATTTGTAAGAATGGTTTGCTCCCCACACCGGAGCTCGCGCTATTCCGCCGACTTTACTTGACACTTGACTGACTCACGACTGCCATCCAGAGCACACGAGAAGTCCATCGAACCTTCGACTCGGCAAACCTGCAAGAAAGTACCACTCCCTGCTCAATACACAGTGTTTCGGGGAATTCACCCCTCATCAGTTGAGCTTGAGTAGGCTGAGGAAGATTGTGCCTGAAGAGCACCACTTATATAGTGCTCTCCAGGCACAAACATCACCAGGGATACAAACTTACAGAGACGCTCCGCTTCCAGCGCGACAAACACCTCGTGAACACCAGATAGCAGCGTGAGTCAGTGTCGCTCCTGGACGGTGAGACAGACGTCGAGGACCCTCGGTCATTCGCAACGCTGTCACCTCCAAACCAACTAGTCGCAAGCCCGCGCTGGGCACAACAGTACGAAGTAGTGGTAGCGACTTCGGCGATGATTTGTAAGAATGGTTTGCTCCCCACACCGGAGCTCGCGCTATTCCGCCGACTTTACTTGACACTTGACTGACTCACGACTGCCATCCAGAGCACACGAGAAGTCCATCGAACCTTCGACTCGGCAAACCTGCAAGAAAGTACCACTCCCTGCTCAATACACAGTGTTTCGGGGAATTCACCCCTCATCAGTTGAGCTTGAGTAGGCTGAGGAAGATTGTGCCTGAAGAGCACCACTTATATAGTGCTCTCCAGGCACAAACATCACCAGGGATACAAACTTACAGAGACGCTCCGCTTCCAGCGCCACTACTTCGTACTGTTGTGCCCAGCGCGGGCTTGCGACTAGTTGGTTTGGAGGTGACAGCGTTGCGAATGACCGAGGGTCCTCGACGTCTGTCTCACCGTCCAGGAGCGACACTGACTCACGCTGCTATCTGGTGTTCACGAGGTGTTTGTCGCGCTGGAAGCGGAGCGTCTCTGTAAGTTTGTATCCCTGGTGATGTTTGTGCCTGGAGAGCACTATATAAGTGGTGCTCTTCAGGCACAATCTTCCTCAGCCTACTCAAGCTCAACTGATGAGGGGTGAATTCCCCGAAACACTGTGTATTGAGCAGGGAGTGGTACTTTCTTGCAGGTTTGCCGAGTCGAAGGTTCGATGGACTTCTCGTGTGCTCTGGATGGCAGTCGTGAGTCAGTCAAGTGTCAAGTAAAGTCGGCGGAATAGCGCGAGCTCCGGTGTGGGGAGCAAACCATTCTTACAAATCATCGCCGAAGTCGCTACCACTACTTCGTACTGTTGTGCCCAGCGCGGGCTTGCGACTAGTTGGTTTGGAGGTGACAGCGTTGCGAATGACCGAGGGTCCTCGACGTCTGTCTCACCGTCCAGGAGCGACACTGACTCACGCTGCTATCTGGTGTTCACGAGGTGTTTGTCGCGCTGGAAGCGGAGCGTCTCTGTAAGTTTGTATCCCTGGTGATGTTTGTGCCTGGAGAGCACTATATAAGTGGTGCTCTTCAGGCACAATCTTCCTCAGCCTACTCAAGCTCAACTGATGAGGGGTGAATTCCCCGAAACACTGTGTATTGAGCAGGGAGTGGTACTTTCTTGCAGGTTTGCCGAGTCGAAGGTTCGATGGACTTCTCGTGTGCTCTGGATGGCAGTCGTGAGTCAGTCAAGTGTCAAGTAAAGTCGGCGGAATAGCGCGAGCTCCGGTGTGGGGAGCAAACCATTCTTACAAATCATCGCCGAAGTCGCTACCACTACTTCGTACTGTTGTGCCCAGCGCGGGCTTGCGACTAGTTGGTTTGGAGGTGACAGCGTTGCGAATGACCGAGGGTCCTCGACGTCTGTCTCACCGTCCAGGAGCGACACTGACTCACGCTGCTATCTGGTGTTCACGAGGTGTTTGTCGCGCTGGAAGCGGAGCGTCTCTGTAAGTTTGTATCCCTGGTGATGTTTGTGCCTGGAGAGCACTATATAAGTGGTGCTCTTCAGGCACAATCTTCCTCAGCCTACTCAAGCTCAACTGATGAGGGGTGAATTCCCCGAAACACTGTGTATTGAGCAGGGAGTGGTACTTTCTTGCAGGTTTGCCGAGTCGAAGGTTCGATGGACTTCTCGTGTGCTCTGGATGGCAGTCGTGAGTCAGTCAAGTGTCAAGTAAAGTCGGCGGAATAGCGCGAGCTCCGGTGTGGGGAGCAAACCATTCTTACAAATCATCGCCGAAGTCGCTACCACTACTTCGTACTGTTGTGCCCAGCGCGGGCTTGCGACTAGTTGGTTTGGAGGTGACAGCGTTGCGAATGACCGAGGGTCCTCGACGTCTGTCTCACCGTCCAGGAGCGACACTGACTCACGCTGCTATCTGGTGTTCACGAGGTGTTTGTCGCGCTGGAAGCGGAGCGTCTCTGTAAGTTTGTATCCCTGGTGATGTTTGTGCCTGGAGAGCACTATATAAGTGGTGCTCTTCAGGCACAATCTTCCTCAGCCTACTCAAGCTCAACTGATGAGGGGTGAATTCCCCGAAACACTGTGTATTGAGCAGGGAGTGGTACTTTCTTGCAGGTTTGCCGAGTCGAAGGTTCGATGGACTTCTCGTGTGCTCTGGATGGCAGTCGTGAGTCAGTCAAGTGTCAAGTAAAGTCGGCGGAATAGCGCGAGCTCCGGTGTGGGGAGCAAACCATTCTTATTATTATTATTATTATTATTATTATTATTATTATGACGGATAACCCAAAGGCAATGGTATGAGCAAGTGTGCATCAGCTCTATACAAGAGAATTGCTGCGTTGCTAGCAGAGAAGACCAGTGAGCCCTACTCCCTCACCATGACAGTCATCCGGTGTCATCTCAGCGTAGCGCTACTACGCGCAAGCGTAACGTGCGTGCGTCGTAGCCGATCCATGTTTTCTGCCCATGCCCCTGTCGTGTCCTCTACCGCCGTAGTCGCCACGGAGGCATCCATTGCGGCTGACTGAATAATGTACGTGCAATAGAATGTTGTTGATTGTTCAATGTCCCGGTTTTTCTTTTGTTTCCCTGGGCCTTTTTGAAGTTTTTCAACCCTGACAAGACCATGACATTGTACAATGCATTGAGCATGAATTGAGCATGCATTGAGCATGCATTGAGGGTCTCCTCATAACTTAACTACCCACTTAACTAGAGGTATTTCTAAATTTCTTGGAATGTATAATTATTAACCAGAAACAAAATTGCTATGATTGCTGCAGCAATGGCAGCAGCAGTAGATACACATAGTTACACAAAGTCAAAGGGTACTGTAGTATAGATTCTTACTTGCAAGGCTGTAGAGCGGAGAGTACAAATATGACAGTGATGACATCCAGTGTGCCATCGTCCATTGGGTAATGAGCATCCTCATCACTGATATCACACACAAACGCATGGCAGCGTGCAGTGTCATACTCTGACTGAGCCTACAAGTAGAGACAGAGAAATAATCACGCCCAATGGGACTGCTTAGAACATACAATATAACTACACTGTATGTAGACACCGTCATGTCATGTACATGTACAGGGGATGCTCAACTAGATTTATTGGGCACCTTGTAGCCATGCATTTCTGTAGTATAGTTGCGGCTAAAAATCTCATCTCAGTACCTGAGCCAATTTCTGTACTCAGGTCTTCTTGTTCCACTATTGAGGCCAACGTCACCAGAAATAAACATCAAATGCGTAACATGGTGGTGCGTGCAGCAATTTGATGTGGCTGCCCCCCCCCCCCCCCCCCCCCAAATCAACATCAAATAAGCCTGTATGATTAGCGTCTTGCACAGGTACAAGGGTACAAATTCACGGCGTACTTCGAATACTAGTACTAGCAGCAGCCGTTTCGCCTGGATACATTTCAGTGTCAGGCCCATTGTGGCTAAGGACCAGCATAGCTGCAGCAGATTGCACTCGTTCTTACCTTGACTATGTCAATGGCCGTTGATGAGAAGTCACAGCAGTAGACAAATAGATTAGGATCGCTGGAAAACAGGACAGCAAAAAAAAAAAAAAAGGAAAAAGGAAAACAAGATTAGCCATGATTTCTGACTCCAGAAATTACAACACTTTATGATAGGTGACACAGAAGCAATACAAATCAATGGCACCACCACAATAGACTATGCGGATGAAATTTCATTCCAATATGCAATGTACAACCAGATGTATCTCATTATATGCCATAACATAAGTGCTGCATACAATATACACACGAAATGCATCCGTACACAATGTACTTGGTATTGCTACGCATATATTCGGCAACAGAAAACAGAGAAAATGAAAAAGCACTCAACATCATAAGTACCTATTTACAAATACTATACATAAAGGCGTAGTTGTGACTGCTTACTTATTGCTGCGCAGCAGAGGGAAGACTGTGTTGCCAACTCCACAACCGACCTGTTCCAAGTTCAGTGCATGCATGGTCGCAAATGCAAACACACCACACAAATGCAAACCCACCACACAAATGCAAACCCACCACACAAATGCAGGCAGTATAGCAGCAGAGCTAGTATTACATGTAAGAAGAAACAGCAACAAACCCACCGACTCTGCAAGGCAGTTTAAAATAATCTGTGCACCTGGACAACAACGATGAACACAGCACTACAAATGTACAGAAGCGAGTGCCCCACAATCAACACCCCCGACAAGCACAAACCTCAAGAACTCTATGTTGTCTTGCACCTGGCGCTACTTCTTGTCTTCTATCACCAGAAGCAGTAGCAGTAGATGTAGTACTAGCAGTAGTGGCAGTAGCATCATTAGCAGCAGCAGCAGCAGCAGCAGCATCATCGGCATCATTAGCAGTAGCAGTGCCGAGAGAGGCCGGGGAGTCCAACGTACTGGCATCACAGGAAGCCTCACCAACAGTACAGGTAGCAGCCTGTTCATTGCCATGCCTGCTTTCCTGAGCAGGCACTACGGGCATATCGCCACCAATCAGCTCAGGGAACTCCTTGAACAGCCACTGGCGATCCTTGAAGAATCTACACAAGCAAAATTAATATTCCAGCAAACAACTCAGAGAAGATTTCATCTCCATCTTATTCATCTCTAGTCATGAACATGTATGATGACCATCCTTGAATACGAGAATGGTGAACATAATTGTAGTTCTAGCCTAGTGATCTAGGTGGCTCCATTCCTTTTCTTACTTTTCAAGGCTGAAAACACTCAATTCCACTTTGCATCTCTCAGTTTCCTGAAATTTCATACGATCTGGATTGTAGAAAATAGCCTGGCATTATCCTAGTCAGCCCTCCTTTCAGGAAAACCAAACTGCTCCGCTGAAAGTCCTGCGGTAAATTCCCTTATCTTGTGAGCTAGCACGAACACGTCGGTGCTTTGACAAGAATTCCGTCAGTGCAGCTATGGACACTATGCTGTTGTCGAGCCATCACGTGTCTGTGTGAACTCGCTTGTAGTTATTAATGCTAGTGTAGTTCCACCGGTTAGGCTTTCTATTCTCTTTTCCATCGTCAAATACAGTACCCCCATTGCAGAGAATAACTTCACCTTGAAAAATTCAAGTTTGAGGCATGGTGCTCTTGTTCGTGCTATGTCTCAGCGTTTGTATTCTCACAAAACACATCTACAGCTGCCCATACAGGTAACCATTGCGTCTCAACAAATGCGACCAATGCAAAACAAATTAAATTTTTTTAGGGCGTCTGGGAAATGGACGTCTGTCCAAAATTGGGGCACACCGCTCTCCTGCAAAATCCGTACACACGGACAGATTCTGTGAGCACCCAAGAGCACATGAAGAGCTGAGATGCAAACCCCGCCAGATTTTGTAATGGTTCTAGTCAGATTTTGGATTAGAAATTTTTCCTGCTGGTGCCCCTAGACCTTTTGATTTAATACACTGAGCTGAAAATCTGATTTTCTCAAATTTGGCGCTCAGAGGGTTTTGCATCTCAGCTCTTCACATGTACATGACTGTTTTCACAATGGTGACATAATCGCATTTCCTAGCCTAGAAGCGTGACCAACACGATAGCCGATTGGTTTGTAGGTTTGCCTGCGAATCGTGAGGTTCCGAGTTCAAACATGCGCTGCTAACAGGGAGTGTGCGTAGTGCTCTCTCAATCGCGGTGATGCGAGCGAGTACCACTTTACATGCAATGAGCTGTGCCGACACCCACGGTGAACTGGGTACTCACTTGCTCGGCGTGAGGGTAACAAGGATGTGGTCTATCAATGACCTTATGGGGTTATAGGGCCTTTACACGCCCGCTTGTTGAGAGACTTACCCCCTCTCCCCTGACTCACTTGTGAGGTCTGCATTCAACACTGAGGATATATGGGTGAAGTGGTGGCCCGCCGATGCGAATGTATTTGCTTGATGTGTTCCTAAACAAGTCAGGTGATGCGGCCGCGAATCCGGCTAACTTTACTTTAATGAGAGGAAAGGACCAATGGCCAAAGCAAGAAGAAAGCAAATATTGTACCTGTTTTGGTGGATGCCGTAAAACTTGTCCCACATTTTATCAGCATCTTCTTCATACTCACCTGGCAATCAGAAACAAGACACATATGCACACACGAAAGCAATAGCACTTCTTGACGCAATGCAGCATAACCTATATTCTTGAGAATTCACTCCGCTCTCGTAATGGGAGAACACTCTCATGCGAGGCAGCGAGAAATTCTACTTCTCATTGCTACCAGGCTCGGCTGCCTTTCTCCGTGCTGTGCCGGAGTCCGCAAAGGACAAAGGAGTACACGTCAAGTAGCACCGTTTTGTATGCATGGTGATGGCAGACGTGTCATCCACATACATTTCGAAGGCAAAGCAAATATTAATATCGCAGGCTCCTTGGAGCAAAAGGAATGCGACTTTTCCTTTGCCACAGCACAATGTAGCACAAAAGTGCTGCACAATACATAATGTGCAATGTAATGAGGGCTTGAGAAAGAAGACTCTAAATTACTTTGAAGTACACACGTGACGACACAACTACTGCCATTGAATAATCATTACGTTTTTTGTCGTCATCCAGCGGGGCTTGCGAGTTCTTGGCCACTTTAGCTGCTGCTTCGCGCTGCAAGTCCTCTGACCATTCCACATCGTCCCTACAGGCAGCAGATTGATTGGTCAAACATTAGTGTGAGAAATCGTATACAGTAGATACTGCATACAGTAGTACTAGATACTGAACACGTCAATTATGTTCTTCAATGGTACTTTAGCTACTTAATACATATGGTACTTAGGTTGTGATTGCAGATATGCTATCTACAGTCTAAGCGCTTATGACAAATTGGATTACAGACTTGCGTGCTAATCATGAGGTCCCGAGTTCAAGACCGGCGCTGGTAGCAGGGGGGGGGGGTGTTTAGCGCTCTCTCAATCGTGGTGATGCGGGCGAGTACCACTTTACATGCAATGAACTGTGCCGACACACACGCTGAACGGCACTCATGTGCTCGGAGTAGGGTAAACAAGGATGTGGTCTGTGTGGTTACTGTGAGGTCTCAATCGACACTAGGATGTGTGGGCGTACAGTACTGTCGGGCGCCGAAGAACAAACAGGCTAGAATTTCACTAAGCACAGCACACCAATGCTTTTGAAAAAGGCATACACGGTGACTCAACTGTGCATAGACTGTAGTACATGAAAATAAGAACGGTCTAAGCTACGAGGCCGACGGTACTGTAGTGGTGGCCCGCCGATGCGAACGTGTTTTCTTGATGGGTTCTTCAACACGTGCGGTGATGCGGACACTAACCCCACCTTACTTTCATGAGGCTATGTGGTCTTATGACATCACTCAAGTCGCCAGTACCGGAAGAAGGGATCTAGTGTACATGATGGAGCTACCGGTATAGTAATGCGCGTTGCTTGCAGTTGGAGCCAACCAGTTAGAACAGTGGCACAATTCTCTCAAACTGATTGAACAATGTACTGTACCACCAATGACAATGTTCATTTAAACACTTCAAATGGTTAGTTTGCACGCCACGAAGCACTTACCATGCATTATGCTCGAAGACGTCTGAGGGATTCTCAAGATACCTAGATCCGTACATTTTGTCTTGTTGGCTCATTTTAGTAGCTGGAGGATGTCCCTGATCAGCAGCAATATACAGTACTGTACTAATAAATAATTTTCACAAGATGGGTACAATTATTTTTTACTGTTTCAATAGTGAGAAGACTCGACCCAAGCCACAATATTATTGTCTTCCCAAAAAAGGGGACGGCAAAAGGCAGTGAAAGACAATATTGGACATAGACAGTGTACATGTAATAGCTTTTGCAAAACGTACCAGTAGTCACTGGTAGTAGGCAGTAGATCTGGTAGATGTCACAGTATCAAAATGTAATTCGACCACACACAAAATTATCGTCCCAATCTCGATCTCCCCGCCGCCCGAAAATTGAGGGACTTCCCCTTGCAAATTCGCAAAAATTAATGATTGTTGCTATAGAGATTATGATATTATGAGGCTTCACACCAGGGATCCCGGGAGTCGTAAAATACCGGTATTTTTTTCTGAGCTCACCGGTATTTTTACGACTCCCTGCTTCAAAGAATCAAACCGCTTGCAACCGCTTGCTAAGTTGCTAGTCGACCGCGCGCCGCGCCCGGTAGCGCGCGACCGCATGCATCCAGCATTTTTTGGCGAATTGTTTTTTTCCGAAGTGTTTTTTTGCTGCTCTTCCTCGCATCTCTTTTTCTTCTTTCGATTTCTGCAATTCTTTGGAAGTTAGCTCTACTTCAGTGGAAGATTAGAAGAAGCGAGCGTGATTCCTCGCCTGCACAATGAGTGCAGGAGGGTATTATTATGGACAGCAGCAGCAGCAAAATCGGCCTGGTGGGGTGATGCAGCAGAGCTCAGGTGGTGGAGCTGGCTATGCGGCTCCTGGCTCAGGTATGTCAACCTCCTATCCTCAACCCCAGCCACAGCAACCTCAGCCGCAGCAACAACAACAACAGCAGCAGTACAATGCGTATGACAGTTCTTACGGCAGAGGAGCACAGCAACCCCCACAACAACAGCAGCAGCAGCCTCAGCAATACCAACAGCAAGCCTCTGGCCAGGCTAGTGGCTATTCTCAAGGTTATAGCCAGCAGCAAGCACAGCAGCGTGCACCTCCACCACCACCACAGCAGCCTTATGTTGGCTCTTCTGGTCAGAGTTACTACGGCAGGCAAGGGGGAAACGAGGCAGCGTATGACACTTCGGGCCAGCAGAAAGCCCAGCAGTCCCAGCAGACCCAGCAAGGGGGCCAGAGCTATTATGCTGGTAAAAACCATGGTGGTGAGTATGGAAGTCCCTCGACCTCCCACCCTAGTTATGGTGGTGGTGGTGGTGGTGGTGGTGGTGGTGGTGGTGGCGGTGGTGGTGGTGGTGGAAATGCATCGCATGGTGCCGGTACGTATGGTCATCATTATTCCTCTGCCAACAATAATTATGGTCCTAATAGTACGGCTTATCCAGCAAGTGGTGCAATTACGTCTTCTACGTACTCAGCATCCTCATCACAAGCCAGTTACCGACGAGAAACTGATTACCAGGCTTCTCAGCAAACACAGCAACAGCAACCGCAGCAGCAGCAGCAGCAACAACAACAACAACAACAACAACCACAGCAACAACAACAGCAGTCAGCTCAAGCTCCGACTGCCGCATCAGCTCAAGCATCCACTGCAGCTAGCGCCGCTGCTGCCGCTGTTGTGGCAGCAGCTGCAGCTGCTGCTGCCGCCAGTCAATCTGGCTCTTTCCAAGCTTATGATTCAAGCAAGTACATTGGATTCGATTCGAATGCATACATGTCACAGAATCCCGACTACTACAAGGGCCCAGGTACTCAGCCACATGCAAGATCATCTTGGAAAAGCCGCAGTAGTCGTGGCGGTGGTGGTCGTGGAGGTGGGTTTGCTGGAGGTCGTCATGAGGCAGACTATGGAGATGCAGCTGGACCTTATGGTGGTGGTGGTGGTGGCGGTGGCCATGGTGGGTACGGTGGACATGGTAGCCATAGTGGCCATGGTGCTGGTGCATCTGGCCGTGGAGCTGGTGGATATGGTAGCAGACCGTATCCTCCAAAGAAACCACCAGGACCACCAACTCCTCAGATCTACTGTGAGATCTGCAAGATCAGTTGTGTTGGACAACAGGTAAGCAATGTACCATCACTATGTATCTGTGTACAAATGTGTGTGTTCAATAGTGTGCGACATGATCCATTGACTTACAACAGCAGACCTCGATGCCCTGAACAATGCTCGCATGTAGGCAATGGGTAGTGTCACAGAAATCACAATATTTTTTTATCAGGGATATGATCGTGGGGGGGCCTCCATGAGCACTGTGGGGTGCTTTACCGGGACATCGGGTGTATCTGCACTATAGTGACATGACATTGCGATATTTGTGGTATGTGCCTAGTATGATGGAGTCTTTTGCAGAAAGTAATGTGGCACTATAAATTATGCTGGTATCAATGGCGGTAGTTGTTGCCAGTGCTGCTACAGGTGTGGGGTTGGGCTCTTGATGAAGCACGTCTAATTGACATGACTCATTGTCTGCACTGAGTAGCATTGTAGCTAGGTCACTGGCACAATGGACACTATTCGTGTACATAACTTGTGTTATGGAGTGTGCTGTTTCCTAGCCGTCACTGGATAATACACCATGGCCAGCCATGGAGTCGTGTAAGACTCGTCTTTTGCACAGTAAAACGGTGAAGCAATGGTTACTGGGCATGGTGTTGCTACTCCGAGTTGTTTCATGCACATTGTGCAGTCATCAGGCGACATGAATGTCCACTGTTTTGTGGTGCACTGCACTCCACCCCCTTTGCATTCGAGCACTTTGAGCACTGTCACAGAGCGCTATTTTCTTCTCACCATATTTTGGATTTTCACCTGCCTCTGGTGTTCTTGCAGGCCTATCAGAACCATCTTGATGGCACTAAGCACAAGAAACGTGTTCTGGCACAGTCGGAAGAGAAGGAGGGTAGTGGTGATCGTGTTGTTGGAAAGGGCTGCTACCTTTGCCAACTGTGTGATATAGTCTGTACAGGAGAGCAGGCTTTTAGTGCCCATATTCGAGGTGCTAAGCATTTGAAGGTGATTTTCTATCATTTATCGCATGCAGCATCATTTTTCTCGTGTATTTAGTGCTTTCTTGTAGATTAATGGAGTTGTTGTGGTGAATGCTGCATACCAACAGTAGTAGAAGTTACAGCATGATTTTCAACTTCAACAAGTCATCACTGCTGGCTGCCTCCTTTCACTTGATTTCCAACTGTATGTCTCCTCTGTGATGATGGAGGGGCGCATCCAAGATGTCTTGACTGGGTGCTTTCAACATGCTCTGGAGTCGCATATGTACTTCTGTGCTTAGCTCAACCAGTTGTTGGGGTTGGCGTTTAATATTCCTGCTGCTGCTACATGCTTTGCTTCTGGCGTGTGTTCTCTAACAGACGCTGAAGCTTCATCAGTCTCTGGGGAAAGAAATTCCCAAGATTGAAATGCCACGTTCAGCTACGAAGGAGGACAAGATTTTGGCCGAGAAAAATGTCTCGCTGCCGAAGGTGAACTTTGTTTCAGGTGCTAAAACAAACCTGAGCATAGCTGAAGAGGATGGCAACAACAACAACAACAATAGTGAAGCAGGAAGCAGCTCATCACCTGCAGCTGCAGCTTCCGTCTCATCAGGAGAAGGTACCAGCGGTAAGTTCTTGTGGGCTTTCCTGTAACTGTAGAGGAAGTACTTTTGGCCATAAATACAGATTGATGTGGCCCTTGGAATTACGTTACGCTGGAGTTTCACTGAACTAGACTACGCTAGAATATCTCACTAGCTGATGGTACCTGTATTATGGAGTGTCCTTGCTTCAGAAAAGGTGAAATAACCCTTGTAGGTCAAGTTACGACATAGCAAGACCCTTTGTCAGCATGACTGTCAAGCGGATGGTCTGCATAGGGGCTAGTAGTTCTGCTGTACAGCCTTCCACACTACCAGTGCATGTTGTAGTGCAGGACATGAACATACTAGTGGTTGATCGCCAGAAGACCCTTCTGCAAATTAAAAAATATATACTCAGAAACCAATGTTACATTCAGTTTGTTATAGGGATTAAGTCCCTATGCTTTTTTTCATATTGAAGTATGCACGTGTTCTTGAAATAGTTTTTTAAGTACTTCGCAGTTCTTGTGTCCATCGTGTTGAACCGCACTTACAGCACACGGTGTTGTATTGATTAACCCTTTAACCGTCAGACCATACATTTGTGGGTCGAATTCGACCCATCATTTGAAATACTCGCACTGGAATGATTTTTTACCCACGACAGAAAATTTACTATCGATTCGGTTGCGAATTTTCCAGGCTTTCTGTTGCAGAAATCCGCATTGAGCTACGATGTAGTCGAGCAGAGTTATCAAGCGCTGAGTACTGCACGCTTGTCACTTCCGCTGCGCTGGGCGCGCGGCTGACGTCGTCACGGGATTTCCCCGTTTCTTCACGCGCTCTGTGACTGTTGCTCGCGACCAACGTATTCCTCACGAAATGCTCGATCTCTCAAATAAAATTTGAACACTCTACGATGAAGGAGACGGCCATGGCGGAGTTTTGAAGTTGTCATTTGCATGCCTGGCGTTGAGACGATGTCGCTGCGTTCCAGCGCTGGTTGTGTGACTGCTGAGGCAAAGAATGTGGTATCATCGTGCTGGTCTCGTCCAGAGCTTTCCAACGAGCCCAAGATTATAAAAATCGAGTGAGTACAACTAAAGTTATGACCTGGCAAAGTTGAAATTTCGTTCGGCGTTTCAATGGGTGAAATTTATATGACGGTTAAAGGGTTAAGCAGCTTCAGGGTCTGAACCGGCCACAGCATAATAAAAAGAGATAATTATTATCTCTTTTTTATTAGAACAAACGGCGAGGAGACAACAATAATTTGATAACCGCAATCAGTAATACAAGCTGGATCGACATTTGTGTACACTTTATTCATGTAATATGACACTACGGTAATGAAAACGTGCTTTCAGCGTTAGATTCAGAATATCTATTATAGTGAAGTTTAGTCCGTTCCAAGGTTAATCCCAGGGACTTCTTTCATGCTGACCAGACTTGTCGCTGGACTAGAAACTGAACGGATAAGGTCTGATGGCAATAAAGATGAAGCCAGCGTTCTATTTCGTCGTTTCTAGAAAGTCTGACAAACAGATGACAGTGTTGTGGCTGTTGCAGTTCAGGCACAAGAAAGGACACCATTGTCGTTGGTCGGATTTCACTGCTGAGCACAGTTACTAGTACTTCTGTAGTAGCAGACCGTTATGATGTGTTCCTGTACTTTTCTCTTCTTCTCTTTGGTGTGTATGTGCTGGCCTGTTGTGGATGGAGACTGGATGTGTTTGTATTTGTAACCAATAATATTATCATAGTTCGTAGCTTTCTCTGGAGATTCACCCCTGAAACCCCGCATGTGCTGCAGCTGCTGCATACTCATGCTGTTGAGAGAACCCTATACGGAGTCTTGACTGGCGAAGGATCGAGGAATATTCTCATTGAGTCATACTGATTGTCCATGAAATAATAATTATGTGAATGATTCACCCAATAAACAATGACACTTGACGTCATGACAGCAGTTGTCGAAATATTGCACATCGGGAAGTTTTAGTGGGTGACGTCATTACCAGGCTTTCTTTTCGTGAAAAAATTGTCTCCGATTTTTTTATCGATGTCGGTATCGCGATACTCAGTAATTTCTCCAGACAGTTTTTGTCTTTGATTCCGACAGCTCAATAATATTTCTTATTTCTTAGAAGAAGACGACTATTTATTGTTTACTTGCAGCTTCTGACACTCGTCCGCAAGCGAAGGAACCCGCAGAGGAAGTGGAGCCCGTCGGTAAGTAGCGTCATTTGCTTCTTGAGAAGACCTGAAAATATGTCCTTCGATTATCATTTTATTGAAAGTGTGTTTCTCTATTTCGTACTATCGTTTTAGTTGTGTTTCTATTTATTTTCTAATTGATATAGGTGAAGAGCTTATCGAAGTTATCCCGCCAGGTGCCAAGCATCCACGCGGAGGATTTTACTGCAACCTGTGCAAATGTCCGTTCACGGATAGCACTGCGAGAGACCTTCACCTCCGTGGGCGTCGTCATCGTCTCAATTACAAGGTAAACTTGTGTAACTCGCCTTTGTTACTTCTGTAAACATGTCGCCTTGTTTTCCAGGCGTTGGTTACTAGCTGTTACTGCGTACATGTTCGTAACAGTTCTTTGGGATTGTATAGTACTTGTCGTGTTTTTTTATAGTGTGCTCTTTCAATTGATTTGATGCAGTTTTTTTAAAAACTCAAATTCAAATACGTTGTGAACTTGCAGAGACAGTGACGGGACTGTGAGTGTGTTGTTGTCGCTGGTACTTTTGTAACTGTTGCTGTGCTTATTACTCTAATTTCAGAAATTTTCGGTGCTCAATATTTTCGGTATGAGGGCAACAGGCCAGGTTAGGTGAACAGAAATTTTCGGTACAGAGAATCAGTTCCCTATTGGATTATGTGTATTAGGGTTTGTTCGGTGTATTGAAATTTTAGGTATGAAACAGACGCACCGAAAGTACCGAACATAAAAGTACACCGAAAATTTGTGAAATTACAGTATTCGTTACCTTGGTTGTTACCAGATGCACACACATGAGATAGTATGCTTGTTAGTTGTGCCTTAGAGTTTCACGCACGAAGAGCGATTGTCAGCTAGCGTTGACAGTTGACACCCTTATTCCTGACGTTGCCTTTCGTTGTACTGTTATGTTGTTATAACTTGAACTAATTTGCAGAAAGAGCACGATCCAAGTCTCAAAGTTGCACCACAACCTTCTCGTGCTAAGCAGCTAAAGAAGAAGCACAACCAAGAAGAAGCCAATCGCCTCCGTCAAGAGGACCAGCAACGTCGAAGGAAAGAAGAAGAGGCGCAGCAGTATCGTAGTAACGAGTTCTACATGGACCGGTATGCATTTTTCTATCGCTGGTGCTGTTTTGTTGGTCTGAAGTTTAACCGTTTGTATTCACCTTGCTGCCAACTTATTTGTGTCCCTTGAGCTTTTTATGTTACGTATGGAATATCATCTTTGTGTCTGTGGACGTGCTCATTTCAGTTACGACGACAGTCGTGAGTGGCGTGGACGGCCCGATACTTACTTTGACCATGGAGAACACCAAGCTCACTTTGATCGTGGCCCATTCCAGGTACATGTTATTTTCATCATAGAAATATCAATGGCTGCAGTGAGGCCTCGTACAAATACTCGGATAGCTGAAAGGAGTTAGCCTCCCACACACATGCACGTTTGCTGTGCATTTGCTCCTACCTATTGTACACCGATTGGTGATGGACTGAATAAGCAAGGTCTGATTGTACTATTATCGCATCGTCAACATTGTGCTTGTACAGTACTCGTAGTCAATGGCTGTGCTTTGATGTTGTGAGGTGCAGAGATATCAGCACTTGAAGTCACTATGACAACTACACCATACCTCAATAGTTAGAGCATTGCTGCCTTGAGCAAAGGTCCCTGGTTCAAGCCCTGATGGCGCCAGTCTATTGTTTCTTCCGATTTTTCCCTTTTCAACTCACTCAACTACGGAATATTCTAAAAGGGTTATGTATTCATCTTCTTGTTACAGCACAGTCACGGTCTTGTTGTTGACTCTGCACTAAGAGATACTGTATGAATCATGCTTCTGTTAACCTCGTTTGGTTGTCAATGCTTGTGTTTGGTTCATGTTCACATGCCCACAGCAAGCAGCTCCACGAATTCCTCCAAGTTACAATGACAAGCTAGCAATCAGCAAGCATCAATCCATCTATCCTCAGGATACTGAGGTAAGTCGGTGATGGCACTGTGGAACGGCTTCATCAGAATGTGTGTCTGATGGCTGTCTTGAATGACTGTGGTATAGCTGTGCTGGTACTGTAAATGCACGACTTGATGCAAGTCGTTCCACTGGTATGATGGCTATTCCAAACCTATCTGGGCTTGCATTAAAAAAGACCATTGTGTCGGTGTCTGTGTGTTCAGTTGGGTGCTGTCCAAAGCAGTGTAAGCGACACTGAGGAAGGCTTGAAGGCCGTTGCTGAATCCTTCCCATCATCGACAACGTAAGTGGTTTGTACCAGCGCCACTATTTGCATACATGGATCACAAACGTTCCTGCCTTGGTCTGTGTGCGTGCTGCTGCTGCTGCTGCTAGATATTAGGCTGAGTTCGTTTTTAGCTACCTGGTAGAGTAGAGTCATTCTACCGATAGAGGTAGAAGGTAGAGGTAAGTGCACGAACGCTGTCCTACCGGATTTAGTAGTTGTTCACGATTTGTACCTGAAATGTTTCTTTTTCTGATTTTTTTTTTTTTTTTTAGTATTGGCATTCTATTTTCAAAAACTTTTGTTGTACCGCTCGTCCACTAGTATGAATGCATTATGCATGCCTTTGAGTCAGTATTTTATTTAGGGCTGAAACGATTATACCGAATACTCGATGATCGATCGATAATGAACAAAAGAACGATTAATCGTTTGGCAAACGATTACCGATTATTTTTTGCGCGTTCTCAACATTTTTCAAGATTTTGTTGTAAAAAATCAAGAAAATTGAAGGCACTTTTCGTGCATCCGATACTCGCGCGCGGAGCTCTTCGCGGGACCAGGGAGCACTGCATGTACATGTGTACGGTTGCCCTGCACTCGTCGTAGTCCTCAACGCGGTGCCAGGGAGCCCTGCACGTAGACCTATGTGCAGTAGGGTGGCCTTGTGCTGGCAGCAGCTCTACCCGGTAGATCTACCAGTGCTAGGGAGCCCTCGAGGGCCTCCGCGTTGTACCCGTACACTGCATGCATGCTTGCGACAAATTTTATCGAGTGCAGTGGTTTCGTAGTTTCATCTTGGAAAGACTTCGGAAAGACTTCGGAATGGCGTCCAGAACGAAGCGTTCTCCGATTTGGGAGTTCTTCAACGATCCAGTAGATAAAAAAGTTGAGTGTAAGCAATGCGAGAAGAAGCTTGTCTACACTGGTGGAACGACAGCCATGCGCGAGCATATGAAGCGCGCTCACCCGCTCCTTTTCGGTAGATGTGACGGTGAGAAGTCGTCGGCAAAGCAGTCATCGATGCTGCAGCACGTTGCTGTGAAGCCCGCGGCAAAGCAAATGTCTGCGTCGACTGCCAAAGAAATCACCGGCAGTCTGACTGACTGGCTTGTTCGTGATCTACGGCCGTTGTCGATCGTCGACGATGTCGGGTTCCGTGACCTGATGGGACGGGTATCGCCCGGTTACGTGATTCCGTCGAGGACTCACGTCTCCAAGCTGATCGGGCAGCGCCACACCACTGGTCTCTCTGCCCTTACGAGTCGATTGAAGTCCGTCTCTGGCTGCTGTCTAACGACGGACGCCTGGACATCGAAGGCTACGCAGTCGTACAACACTGTAACTGTGCACTTCGTGACCGAAACTTGGGAATTGGAGAGCGCTGTTGTCGAGACTGCTCTCTTTCCAGGCTCCCACACCGGCGTGAGGATCGCGGAAAAGGTATCGGATGCAACGAAGAGAGTGGGACTCAAGCCTGCTCAGGTAATTGCAGTGGTGCACGACGAAGCGAGAAATGCGGAGCTTGCTGGTCGACACCTACTCCAAGATCATGGCTGGGAGTCAGTGACCTGTTCTGCCCATCTCCTTCAAACGTGCGTGCGACATGTGCTTGAAGATTCAGCTCCTGCACAGAAATTGTTGAGTGCTGCCAGGAAGTTGGTTGGGCACTTTCGCCATAGCAGTCAAGCAACAGAGGCTTTGCTTGCAAAGCAGGTCCAGATGGGGAGCACATCACCTGTAAAACTGACCCAGGATGTGCCTACGCGTTGGAACTCTGCACATGACATGCTGAAACGTCTGGTTGAGCTACGACTGCCCGTCATGGCTGTACTGACTGCTCCAGGTAAGCAGCATTGTGTCATGGTATGATTTGTATGCCTAGTTGCTATACCTTTGCTATTACTGTGACGGGTTTGGTGGGATTGAGCTGTTGCATCGTGAGTCGTGACTTGTTCTTTGCGCTTGAAATAGAATTGTTTCGTTCTATCTGGTTTGCCAGGTTAAAGTCCTGTTTTTGTACTTTGTTGACTGTCACAGGCCAAAATCGGAACTTGCTCTTGAAGGATACCCAGTGGACACTAGCCGAGCAGCTGACAGCAGCCCTGGAACCACTGAAAGCAACTACAACAGTATTCGGCGGCCAGAAGTATGTCACCTCTTCTCTCGTGCTGCCTGTTGTGGCCAGTCTTATCGAGAGGTACTCTGAGCCTGTGGAGGACACCTGTGTTCGTGCTGTGGAGAACATTCGTGCTGCACTTGTGTCAGAGTTGCAGGTTAAATTCCGTCTGTCAGACGTGACATCGGCATCCCCCCTCGTGCTCGCTGCAGCTTTGGATCCCAGGTTCCGTGGCCTAAAGTTCACGTCCCATGTCCTGTGTGAGCCGGATGCTATCAAGGCTGCACTAGCTGAGGAGATGAAGAAGCACACCGCTCAACCACCTTCTGTTGTCGCGCAGGAACCGCAAGCCAAGCGCAAGCCCGAGGACACAGGCCTTCAAGCTCTGCTGCATGGAGCCGTGTACGATGCCACAGCTGTGGAGAATGAATCGCCTGCCCAGGAAGTAGCACGGTACTGCAGTGAGAGGATGGAGGGCATTGAGATCAAACCTCTGGATTGGTGGAAGTGCAATTCCACCAGGTTTCCTGGTCTTGCTGTCCTGGCTCAGAGGTATCTCTCTATCACAGCTACATCAGTACCGGCTGAGCGTGTGTTCTCTGCTTGTGGCGTTCTTGTCAACAAACTTCGCTCGTCCCTGGCACCATCATCCATTGACGCTATGATCTTCTTGGCGAAAAACCAAATCACAGTTGCACCAGAGCAAGCCGAGGAGGAGGAAATGCCAGCGCTGCCTAACCTGGCTGCCGTGGAGTGCCAGCTTGTTGTCAGTGGCTCAGATTCAGAGCTATCTGGGACCAGCACTGACTCTGATTCTGATGCCTCTGAGTGACACGTATAATTATGAACACTGAATAGTACACTATATGAGTATACTAGATTTGCTTGAAGTTGTAGTCACTTACCGCCAGTCTCTCAGAATTCTCTTTACGTCTTCCATTCGTCCCTTCGCCCCATTATACCGTCACAGCTGCTGCCTGCACCGCGCATTTCAAACTTGATCCTCTTGACATATAGCAGCCACCATATCCGGTCGTTTGAAAAAGTGCTTGAAAAATGTGAAAAATCGGCGTGTTGGATAATATTATATTGCAGCTCGTTAAAGGTTATAATCGTTAGATCGATCGTTAAGCAAACGAGTAATCGGTATGCAAAATTTTGCGATCGTTTCAGCCCTAATTTTATTACTTCGACCATGCGATCACCACGGCAAGTAACGTTAGTTAGCTATGCGATATGAAAGTACTGATGAAAATCATTAGTCTTCAACACTCTGTACAAGACGTTGGCGACTTTTGTTCTATGTTTACAGATAATTTCTTCCGAATTGGTCGAGAACTCACAAATCTGGCGCTTTTGAACATTGACGAAATACTCGAAATAATCGGATACTCGATCGAATATTGTGAATAAGTGATCGATTGGTCAAAATAGATACTCGTTTCACCCCTATTTGAATCTATTGTGTTGTCCATCTCTCCTTTTCATGGTGTGCAGACTCCGCTGCAATCCAATTGATTGGCCAAGCCAATCACCGATACTCCATTGAACTGGTCTCTGTACTGCATTCGAAATCAAAACAAAAAAGAAAATTCAACTAAAATATCGGCCCTGGCTCCAGGATGATTAGAAACTCTCTATGGTTACTGATCTTATGTCTGTGTGTTGTTTTGGCTGTGATCTTGCTTCCTTACAATGGTGTAGGGAGAGTAGCAGCTCGCCCACTGCTGATGATGCGTCAAAGACAGAGGAGCCTATGCAACAGGAACAACCCCAGCAGTCACAGCCAAGTGAGCATCCTGTGTGTGTGTGTGTGTGTGTGTGTGTGTGTGTGTGTGTGTGTGTGTGTGTGTGTGTGTGTGTGTGTGTGTGTGTGTGTGTGTGTGTGTGTGTGTGTGTGTGTGTGTGTGTGTGTGTGTGTGTGTGTGTGTGTGTGTGTGTGTGTGTGTGTGTGTGTGTGTGTGTGTGTGTGTGTGTGTGTGTGTGTGTGTGTGTGTGTGTGTGTGTGTGTGTGTGTGTGTGTGTGTGTGTGTGTGTGTGTGTGTGTGTGTGTGTGTGTGTGTGTGTGTGTGTGTGTGTGTGTGTGTGTGTGTGTGTGTGTGTGTGTGTGTGTGTGTGTGTGTGTGTGTGTGTGGTCAATTCATCAACCTTGCAAGCTGTTGAATGGTGTAATCCCAGCACAAGTTGCTATGTCTAACATAGCTGTTCGCTATCATCGCTTCTGCGATGGGCATGTCTGAGGTGTGTGTGTAAGTGTGTGTGTGTGTGTGTGTGTGTGTGTGTGTGTGTGTGTGTGTGTGTGTGTGTGTGTGTGTGACTGCTATGTGTGATATGATAGGTTGTCATGTGATGGATGTTCACTGTAGACAACTCTTTGGCAGTTTATGGTGAAGGAGTACCACTTTCCCGATCTTTACGGAGTTACACGCTCAGCGTCTCGGTGCTGCAGTATTACCGTGTTCACTGGCTTATGAGAACTTGTTTGCTGCACAATCACAATGTCCTGCACTTGGTGTGTTGAGCTCAGACCGTGTCTCCTTCTCTTCCTGTGTGTGCTTACAGAACTATTGTTTAGAGGAGTCATCCGTGTGGGCATACTTGCCAAAGGTCTTCTGCTGACCGGTAATAGGGACGTAGAACTTGTCATGCTGTGCAATGGTAAGTGGTCCAGAGGAGTTGTTTGTTTGTATGAGCATGCACCTATTTCCGTTTCTGTAAATCAACAAATATTTTGCACATGTTGATGAGTTCTAGGGTACACTCACCTGAGACGAGATACTGCTTATCGTTGGCAACTAGGAAACGGTTACTTTCTTTGCGTCATTTCATCGACCTCCATTGTAAACGTATGCTACTATTGCACTGTGCACAAAGTACGTTCTTGAATGATTGTTGATGTGTTGACTTGGTTATCGTTCGTTTCCCTTGCACTGTGTTCAGAAAAACCAACCGTCAGTTTGCTGGAACAAATTCACCAGAAGCTACCCGAGCAGCTAGCGGTGAGCGGTACTTTTGCCTTTTTGAGCAATCTGAGAACTCAATTATGTATCACACGCGCACGCACACACCTCACACACACACACTCACTCACTCACATCCGCTCTCTTCTTTCTTTGTGTGCCTGTCACATGAATGTAATGCGTGCACGTATCCACCGTTGCGATCCTATCCAATTAAGTTTTATGATGCCGGTATCTTGAGTAATCCTCTCTGTTGCTGCATGTTTAGCATCACTGTTGATGTGCCTGTGTTTGACCACGTTTTTTCCTCGTGTATTGTGTGTTATGTCTCTGTTGGCGTGGATGTAGAAAAGGAATTCTGAAGTGAAGTATGACGTTGGAATTTGTGTTGACAATGCTGTCATCACTGTACGCCGGCAAGAAGAGCCTTGTGTAAACGTGTCAATTCGCCTTACCTCACCAGAAATGCGCAGCATTTCAGATGATGAAGCAAAGGGTGAGTTGTGATTCATCGGTGGAGGGGCGTGCATTCTGCATTATAATTCAGGGACTCCATCACAGAATCAGCAAAATAATGTTTCTAAGAACTTACGCCCTTCAACACAGCAGTTTACACATAAGTCAGTCACAACACTCATCCTTCATTGTCTTTGCTGCGAAAAGCTGTTCTCCTTCACTAGATATTTTTGGGCACTCTGAATAATTGATTGTTCACTCTGAGGGTGGTTCATGCCCAAAATATAAGTTTTGTTGGAGGATGATAGAAAGTTTACCAGCAAAGAGACAACTGTGACATTCGTATGAGTGTTGAAACTGAGTAATGTGAAATTTAGTAGTCATATGGGATCAATTCATCTACAACTAAACTTACTTTATAGTCCGAGAGCATGAAACTTGAAGTAGCAGCAACCAAGCCTTGATTGTCCTTGTTGTTCTGTTCTGTAGTGTTTTGCACGTAAAGTGGTAGACATGGTGAAAACATCTGTACATCCTGCATTGTGTGACCCATGTAGTTCTTCTTTGCTACATCTGAGGTCGGAAATGTCATAAAATAGGGAGATGCAAATTCGGTAAGGTTTAACCGAATCAGGACAGGTATGCACCATGACAAAGTGCATGTTTTGGCACTATTTTTGATGAGTAGACTCTAGCTTATTAGCACAGTGGCTGTGCCTTCCATTTTCTCAGTGTGCCCAGTCGAAGGTCAGTCCACAACATCAATATCAATATTCCTGGCGGGCACTGTGAAAGTGTGTAGTTGGTGACATACACGTACGGTGGTAGCCAACTCTAGTTAGCGGCAGTTGGACAGTACAGAAAGTATGTCCATACGGGGAAGGGATTGTAGCGGTTATGACAAATGATGTTCTGCCTGTTGCTAGTGGCAGATGCAAAACTCTCTCTCTCGCTCTCTTTCTCTCTCTCTTTCTTTCTCTCTCTCTCTCTCTCTCTTTCTCTCCCTCTCTCTCTCAGTTGCATAATGCATTGGAGAATTACAGCACTGTATAACATGTCACTGATCGGATGTTACCAGTATGAATTCGCAGCATCCATTCATACACTGAACTTCATATGCCAGCACTGCACTCCGTCTGTATATATGTATCCTTGTCTCTCAGTAACACCTTGCATTCTTTTGTCTTTTGCTGTATGTGGTGTGTGCATGTGGTAATTGCGTACGCGCTGATGCGTGTTGCTGCACCAATATTGACTGGTACAGCGGACGCAGCAGCGGGTGTGCTCAACAGGGAGAAATGTGTTGAATCGCTGGCGGAGTTACGGCGAACTAAGTGGTTCCAGGTACACACGCACATACACTACGGACCACGCAGCCTGGTGTTTGCTCATTACTCTGTGTCCTGATTTGTCGTGCTACACACGTCAAGGCCACCCGACACCGTACAGTGTATTACTGTGTACACTTACACAGTTGGGTGCTGCCGTCGGTGGCGCTTGCTATACAGTCACTAAGCTGCATGTGTCGTGGTGCCAGGTTATGAAAGCCTTTGTTGGGTTGCATACTGCAGTATGGCAGTAGGTAGTTCTTTCATTAGGTTCTACTGCTGCTGCCTGTATGAAATTGAATAGCTCAGCAGCCAGAACAGTGTACACATTCTGTTCAGTGTTCTCGCTGGATAGGCGTGCTTATAAACAGACCTACAAGTTCTGTGTATGGGTGGGTGTGCACTGGGCTTGCCAACGTGTGCAGTGCATCCTTCCCGTCAATCAGACTTGGTGAAACTCTTGGCATGATTCTGTTGAGTTATGTTGGATTGTTGGGTTGTGTTCGGCTTGCGCTGCATTGCATAATAATTCGTATGTGATGCCTGTGTCGGAATTAAGGTTCACACCGTCCTGGCTAATTGTCCAGTTTTTGTTGTGCGGTCAATGTAGCCAACCTTTGCAGCCCTACTATGTGCCAATGTGTGTTCAGTGCACCATGTCACGGCTGTGGTGTGGTGCACATGCATGATTTTTTGCTACACATCACTTGCCATACGTTGCATTGCGCTGGGCCAGTCTGTTGGAATGCATGACTGCTTTGAACTAGCAGAGAGGCCTGCATATTTATATCCTCGTGTGCATGTGTGTGTGTGTGTGTGTGTGTGTGTGACACGTGGGGACAATGTGTTGCTATACAGTCACAAGCGCATCGGATGCCCTCTTGCACCGTAGCATTGCGCATCCTGCGTGATCTCTGCCAAAGACTCAGCCCGTGGGCCGCTCTGCCTGAATGGGTGAGTGACACATTTTTTTTGCATCTTTGTGTGTGTGTGTGTGCAGGAGCAGGACATGTGCTGCAATATTGGTGTAGTGATGAGTCTCTAAGCAGCGTCAGGACACCCTTTATCGAATAGCAAATTGATGATTCCCTCGCGTACTATTGTTGTGTTGCTTTCATGGAGTGCTGGTTTCTTGTTATTGATGTCACTGCAGGCTTTGGAACTTCTAGTACAGAAGAGTATCCTGACCCTTGATCCCAGCGAGAATAGTGCCGGCATGGCCGTTCAGCGAGTGCTGGAAATCCTCTCTGCTGGACTGCTCCTGCCAGGTATGGCAGCCAGGGCGCGCTTTTGTGTTCTGCTATGTGTGTGGGTGTTTGCTTGTCCTGGCTGTGTTCAAGTGTGTTGCTGCTCATTTGCCGTACCATGGAGCTACACGGTAGATTAAGTCCTCTCTGCGCACAAAGTGCTCAATGCCCGAAAGGGCAGAGCTTCCTTACAAGTAAGGTGGAACGGAAGTTTTATTGCAACTCGGAATTTCACGCTTGTCCAATCATCAGGCAATGGAGCTACCGATTCGGCCTACTATCATTAGCATGAAGCTAGATTGATACCGGTGCTTCGTTTTTGTGAACGTGTGGACGTGTTTGGTTATGATTGTTTCTGTGCAGGTGGACCGGGTCTAATGGACCCATGTGAGCGTGATGCTGCGGATGCCTGTTCATCGCTCACTGATCAGCAACGCGAAGACATCACTGCCAGTGCTCAGGTACTAAGCCACATGTAGTGTTTTGTTCTTGTGTTGCAGTTAGGGCTGAAAGGAATACTCGAATTATTCGAATATTCGAAATATGCAAGGCGGAAAAAGAATATTCTTCGTTAAAGTAGAATAGGAATATTTGTAAATGTACAGAAACTCGCCTTTTTGACATCGATCAAGCTTATTTGGTGCAAATTATAAGTAGGCTTGCCTCTTTCAATATGTTATAATCAGCAAAACAAATGATTTTTCAAATGTCTCTCTTGTAATTGGGGTGTATGCCAGTTAATGGTCTACTATGGTTACCATGGATAAAACTAGGCATCCATGGAAATTGTATGGTTTCGAATATTCGGAATATTCTTCGTTTCGCATGTTTTCGGAAAAAGAATATTTGTTCGCTTCATTGAGCATTCGTTTCAGCCCTAGTTGCAGTATGTGTAGTATGCCTCTTGCATAGTATTCCTACTCGTGATGAATTGTAGTCTGGGCATGTGAATTCACATTTTCTTGTATTGACTAGTATGAGTTGCGACACGGGTAGGTACGATGTATCAAGAACAGAAGAACGCAGCAACCGAAAACTTTCTATATTTACACCTGGTGTTTCTCAGAAACCCCTTATTTTAGTGACCTACACAAAACTCAGGGGCCCGGATCTGCACTGTTGATTACCTGTGTGTGTGTGTGTGTGTGTGTGTGTGTGTGTGTGTGTGTGTGCGCGCGCGCGCGCGCGCGTGCGTGTGTGTGTGTGCATGTGTGCGTGTGATAAGATACAGTTGAATACTGCTCGAACATTCTTGCCGTATTTCACTATAATGGTGTTCACCAAATCTGATGCATTTTAAGCATGCCCTCATGTTTGTTTCTGGTGTATGTGTGCAATCTGTTTCTGTGTTCTTCTACAGCATGCTTTGCGACTGGCAGTGTTCCGCCAGTTTTACCGAGTACTGGGTATGGATCCACCCGCGCCTCCAACACACGCCAAGAAAAGGCCTGCAGGGGAATCTGCCGATGCAGAGCCCGCCGAGTCGTCCGCATCACCAGCCGAACCCGAAGCGAAGAAAAGCAAAACTGAAGAAAGTAGGTACACGCGATTTGTTTGCTGCTTGGTATTTCACGCTGCCACTTTCAGGCAAGTGTCAAGTTCAGCAGGAAGTGTATGTGTTCCATGTACATAGAGTAACCAATTTCGTTTACTTTTCAGGAAGTTTGAAGAAGGGCTGAGGCTTCCTGCAGCTTCATCTGTGAAAAGAATTCGGGTGGACACACCCATTCCCATAGCGCTGCATATCACATCCGAACCAGTTCCGTTATTTTACAACGTTTCGGCACTTGGCCATCATCAGGTAATAACAATGAATACCGTGGAAGCCACACAAGAGCAGTATATACGCAGAGTGTAGCGCCAAAAAAGATGCGAATTATGTCACCTAGTATGACAGAGAGAGAGAAAAGGCGCAACTAGCACATCACGGAGGAGAAGCAGCAGAAGGTAGCGCGCATTGTGCTCTGTGAATGGCGTTGCGCAGAGTGTAGCGCCAAAAAATAAAATGATGCGAGTTATGTCACCTCTATACAGAGGGGGGGGGGGGGGGGGGAGAGAGAAGGTGCAACTGTGCACATCACGGAGAAGAAGAGCGCGCCGTTGTGCTCTACGAAGTGAGGGTACATGCCAAATAATTATGGTGTTAATTCTAGCACAGGATCTAGGAGGGGAGCACGGAGGCCCATGAGTCAATGCACTATGAGGTTAAAACTTCCATGCCAAACTGTTACCACCAGGGACGCGACGAGGCATCAGGAATAGAATGGTTTTGAGTGACCCGCCTCATATTATAATTATTCAGTGATATTGAAGTAGCAGCAGGGGAAGCTGAGAAAATTCACAACAAATCCCATCCGGTGCTTATGTTCACATGGGGCTTGGCATCACGAATCTCAATCGCCTCGCGCAGTTTGCGACGGGCTCGATCAGGCTCTCTTCCTATTACTTCAACTGCAGAGAATGCACTTTGCCCATAGTTAAGCTTACATCCAGGGTGAGTGGTGCGAAAATGTTGGCCCCATAGCTTGTCGAGTTCCTGGCGTCTTGCCTCACCATTATGTTCTTCCAGGCGAGTTTCCAGAAAGCGGCCAGTCTCACCAACATATTGTTCCGGACATTCTTTGCACTTCAGCTGATATACAACATTCTTCTGCATACATACATCCTGTCCCCCGGATATACACGAGATACATGGCCCCTTTGGGCGACCTCTCTTTTTCGGTTGTAGCGGATTTGCAGCCTTGACACATAGAGGAGGAACGAGGGCGGAGCGACACAATGTGCGCCTCAGGCTACCAGTGTGCTCATATACGACTCTAACCGGAATTTTATACTTTCTGATTGCTTTATTCACTGCTTGATGTACTTTATCTGACTTATATGGAAGCTTTAGAAATGCGCAGCATGGGTTGGCATGGCGACGACGCTTTGGCCTTATGGAGGCAATGCGTGCCTCTTCAATGATTTTCTCTGGGTAATTGTTCAATCTTAATTGCTCATGAACCATCTTTTCACAGATGAAGCTGCAGGAAGCCTCAGCCCTTCTTCAAACTTGGTTCTCCTCTTCCCGGAGCGAGGCAGCGTGGCGGTTTGTACAATGGTCTTGGAAGCTGCAGAGGAGCGAGTGTCAATTGTCTTTTCTTTTGCAGTGCCGGCGAGAGGGATTGATCCCCAGATTTATTTCGAATTGTGTGCGGAAGCCAGCATCAACGAGTCACAAGACCATCAGAGAACACAGGAGACATCAGTACTGCCGCCGTCTTCTCTGCGATGCCATCGAAGACAAATGCGCAGAGAAAGATTACCGCGGGAGGCGATACAAGCAGTCTAGAGAGCAACTGTGGACGTTTACACAGTCGGACTACCTATTGATCCGTTCTCTTCAACGTGCAGTGGTTACCGAAGAACGAATAAGTTCCAACGCCAGACTAAATCGGAAGATTTCTGGGCTTCGAGAGGCGGATCAACGTGTGGCGGGAACCAACAGCTCACCCCGCGGCCCAACTCCTGTTGCCGCCGTTGGTGTTGCGTCACCCGGTGGGCATACGACCAATGCTGAGCCAGTCAATGAGCGGGCGTTGGTGGTGGGCGACTGTGTGTCCGACCAGACAAGGCGTCTGCTGGAACATGGACCTAGCTTTGTCCCGTCGACGGGGAGGCTCACCAAGCAAGAACGAATAGATGTTGAGACATCGGTTGAGAGGATGGCATTCACCCTCCGGTGGCAACAGCCCCAGCCTCAGGGTGTGGACCTCAAAGAGGAGGACCCACCGCCAGAGATCAGACAGGACAAGAAATTGTGGAAGCTGATGAAGCGTGGCTTTAAGCAGCCCCCACAGATGGACGACAAAGACGAAAGGAACATGGCCAACTTCCGCGACGAGGTGTTACGAGCTTACGACAGACACACACCCTCTAAGCCCAATCTTACGCAGGAGGAGCGGGTGGAGCTGAAGCGACTTCGCACAGACCAAGAAACCATCATCAAACCATCGGATAAAAGTAAAAAAACTCGTTGCTATGAGACAGGAGCTGTATTTGCAGAAAGCAGAAGACATATTATCGAACATGACCATGTATGAGAAAGTAGATTTGACCATAGAGTCCTACGAGACCAAGACACGAGAAGTAATACTGTCAGAGTGCAAGAACGTGGATTCAAAACTCCTAAAGTCAATCCTACCAAGCAGTACGAAGTTCCCCGAGTGGTACGGTCTTCCAAAGGACCATAAGCAGAACTTACCATTGCGACCCGTGGTAGCAGCGTGCGACAGCCCAACGACTGGAGTATCTATTGTATTGGAGCGCATCCTACAGCAGCTCATTCAATTTGTCCCGGCCCACCTGGCTAACACGACGGAAGCAATAACCCACATCTGTGACGCATGTCCGGGATTGAACGCCCCCGATGGCACCATTGTTATGTCCATGGATGTAGTCGGGTTATATCCGAGCATACCTATTCGGGAGGGCGTTCAGGCAGTGGTGGATTTGCTGCAGCAGTATTCCCAGCGGATCGACATGTTTGGGCTGAGTGTGAGCGGGGTACGGAATCTGCTGCTGTTTGTTCTCAGCCACAACTATTTCAGATTCGGCCATCAGATCTATCACCAAGTGGACGGGGTTGCAATGGGTAACAATCTTGCACCCCCATTTGCGATTCTATTCATGCATACGGTTGAGGCCAGGCTTCTGCAGGATTCTCCGTTAGTACCGCTCCTCTACAAACGCTACATCGACGATATCCTGCTGCTATGGACCCACGGCAGAGAGAGCTTGATGCGGTTTGTGCAGCATTTCAACTCTGCACACCCAAGTATCAACTTCACATATGAGCTCAGCGAGGTGAGTGGCTCCATAAATTATATGGATATCACAATTATGATCCAGGAAGGCAAGCTGGCATACAAGCTGTACCAGAAGGCATGTGCTAGTGGTCTACTCATTGATTATACTTCGGCAGTTCCCCACCATATCAAATTGGCAGTTGCTTCGTCACAATTCCTAAGAGCTCAGAGGCTCTCATCGAATACCAGAATGCGTGCAGAAAGTGAAGCGATGGTTCATGAGCAATTAAGATTGAACAATTACCCAGAGAAAATCATTGAAGAGGCACGCATTGCCTCCATAAGGCCAAAGCGTCGTCGCCATGCCAACCCATGCTGCGCATTTCTAAAGCTTCCATATAAGTCAGATAAAGTACATCAAGCAGTGAATAAAGCAATCAGAAAGTATAAAATTCCGGTTAGAGTCGTATATGAGCACACTGGTAGCCTGAGGCGCACATTGTGTCGCTCCGCCCTCGTTCCTCCTCTATGTGTCAAGGCTGCAAATCCGCTACAACCGAAAAAGAGAGGTCGCCCAAAGGGGCCATGTATCTCGTGTATATCCGGGGGACAGGATGTATGTATGCAGAAGAATGTTGTATATCAGCTGAAGTGCAAAGAATGTCCGGAACAATATGTTGGTGAGACTGGCCGCTTTCTGGAAACTCGCCTGGAAGAACATAATGGTGAGGCAAGACGCCAGGAACTCGACAAGCCATGGGGCCAACATTTTCGCACCACTCACCCTGGATGTAAGCTTAACTATGGGCAAAGTGCATTCTCTGCAGTTGAAGTAATAGGAAGAGAGCCTGATCGAGCCCGTCGCAAACTGCGCGAGGCGATTGAGATTCGTGATGCCAAGCCCCATGTGAACATAAGCACCGGATGGGATTTGTTGTGAATTTTCTCAGCTTCCCCTGCTGCTACTTCAATATCACTGAATAATTATAATATGAGGCGGGTCACTCAAAACCATTCTATTCCTGATGCCTCGTCGCGTCCCTGGTGGTAACAGTTTGGCATGGAAGTTTTAACCTCATAGTGCATTGACTCATGGGCCTCCGTGCTCCCCTCCTAGATCCTGTGCTAGAATTAACACCATAATTATTTGGCATGTACCCTCACTTCGTAGAGCACAACGGCGCGCTCTTCTTCTCCGTGATGTGCACAGTTGCACCTTCTCTCTCCCCCCCCCCCCCCTCTGTATAGAGGTGACATAACTCGCATCATTTTATTTTTTGGCGCTACACTCTGCGCAACGCCATTCACAGAGCACAATGCGCGCTACCTTCTGCTGCTTCTCCTCCGTGATGTGCTAGTTGCGCCTTTTCTCTCTCTCTGTCATACTAGGTGACATAATTCGCATCTTTTTTGGCGCTACACTCTGCGTATATACTGCTCTTGTGTGGCTTCCACGGTATTCATTGTTATTACCTGATGATGGCCAAGTGCCGAAACGTTGTAAAATAACGGAACTGGTTCGGATGTGATAACGTTATGCAGCGCTATGGGAATGGGTGTGTCCACCCGAATTCTTTTCACATTTTCAGGAAGTGTTTTATAAAACTTTTATTAAATGAGTCCAATTGCCTGTGTCTTTTGTGTTCTGTAATTTCACAAATTTTCGGTGTACATTTTCGGTACTTTCGGTGCGTCCGTTTCATACCTAAAATTTCAATACACCGAACAAACACTAACACACATAATCCAATAGGGAACTGCTTCTCTGTATCGAAAATTTCTGTTCACCTAACCTAGCCTGTTGCCCTCATACCGAAAATTTCTGAAATTAGAGTATATTGGAATCTGCATGTGTGGATTTCTGCAACGTGCTTGTTGGTGTATTTATAATTAATATGCGAGGCTTTTCCTGCCCTATACCCGTAGAATTCCTTTGACAAGCCCGTGGTGATTAAAAAAACCCATTGGAAAGACTTATACGTGGGCATGGCTTTATAGTTTATACATGGACATGGCCTTGTGCTCCGATCGATGTACACTCAAATGTCTCTTATCCGGATGCCTCCGATACGGGCTTGTCTCTCTACCAGGCATCTTCAGCTTGAGTTCCTATGGCAAAAATGCTTCAAATTTGGGGGTTTGAACCTTTTTCCGAATGCGCAAGTGCTCATTTGTCACTGCCAACCTGTGTAATCCATGCATTTTATCCATGGATTATTTTTGGAACCTGACAATGTGCAATATGTGCCAAGTAAACTTCTTCAAAAATGATAATGATACATGGTAGATGAGTTATCCTGAGATACGGGCAGTGCCCGGCCCCAGGTGCCCGGATCAGCGACGCCCGAGTGTGGGTAAACAAACACACAGCATACTGCTGATACAGTTGGCCAACATTTAACTTTACACATGGATACCCGTATGCTCAGGCAGCGAAGAAGGAACATGTCAACAAACAAGAAGTCCTGCGCATTCAAGTAGACCCGTGGGCTTGTACGCCACCGCCTTGGTGTGCCTGCCCTTTTCCTGGCCTTATATGCGAGCAAAGCCTGTATGTGGGTAGATGCAGTGCTGCCAAATAATTTTTGCCCAAAATCGGACACCCTTCACCGCCACATGGTGCGAATTTTTCTCCTCGGCAAATTTTTTACAGAGAATTCAAAATATCGCCTAAAACACCATGAAAATTCGCTTCGTTGCCATGGTAACCCCAGAGTTGTCATGAATTTTGTAATGATGAGTGTGGTCGCACACTGACTCTGTACAGACTGTCAGTGTACATGCCATCCAGCCTGATCCAGGCATGTTACTTTGCACTTCCACAGCCAAGCGCTAGCCTTTTTAGAAGCAAATGTACAGTGATTTGTGCCTTCGTTGGGCTGAAAAGTGAAAGTACAGGACTTCTGCATAGGAAAGTAATGATCTCCGACATTTTGGCTGCTTTTCGGACGTTTCCCTTTTCGGACCGGTTTTCGGAAGAGCCTTCAAAAATCGGACACTGTCCGAAAAATCGGACGGTTTGGCAGCACTGTAGATGTATCCGCGGGATTCTACGGTAAATAGAGAGGTTTAGCATCACGAATTTCGCTTTCGAGTTCGCGAACATTTTTCGGTTCGCGAACGTTCGCATTTTTCGTTCGGAAAAGTAGTCGAAACACGAATCGCGGATTCGTCTCAGGGCAGTCATAACTTTACTTCGCTGTACTGTCTGTACACAATCATGTACGTGAACGACATGTCGACGTCCTGCATGTGCGAATTCTGTTTGCTAATCCTTTTCATAGCGCGAATCCGTCACTGAGTTCGACTTTCCTTGGAGTGCGAACAGGAACGCGAAAAAGTTCGTCTTGCTAAACCTCCGTAATAATCGACAAGGAGATAACAGTTTTAAAATAGCAATGAAAAGAACGAATGCCATGCATGCTTAATCATTGTTTAGTATGGATAACCCTCAGTCACGATAATTCAACTGATGATTGTGACATGAAAATCGATTTCGGAAACGCGACTTCTTTGTTGAACGGTGATGACTGCGGAATTTGTTCTTTTCATTGATTCTACGGTAGTGTGTTCTTATGCATCACTGGTATTTATTTTTATTTGTTTTTGTCCTTTCTGTGCTATTCTGCTTTGTGGTAGCTCCTGCAGTGTCTGTGCCTTCAGCATAGCTATAGTCGATCATCCTCGGCAACAACCAACATCTTAAAGAATCGGCCCGTTACTTTCATTTGCTTCTGGTGTTTGGCTCATCTTTGTTTTAGTCACATCTTTTCAAAATTCTTAGTACAGTGCAGTCTATGGCTAACTGGCTGTATATGGCTCAGCCAGCTCAATACTGTAGTGCTCGGCATGGTGTGTGCGTGTCTGTGTGTCCGTCTGTCTGTGTTCTGCATTGTACACCGTTTGAGCATTTGACTGTCCTTTCTTTGTCTCTTACGTTTCTTAGTTGGGTTGCAAGGTAGCCTGCTGCATACTGCATGTGTTTGTGGGTGTCTGTGTGTATGAGTAGTTTAGACACTACTTAGTATTTCATTGTTTACGACTGACTCATGTCCGCTGCAATTTTCAGATTTCAACAGGTCCAATTTATTACCTTTCTGAATTGAAGGTCTAACCGGCTTCCTTTCTCATCAGTGTGTGCATGTGTGTGTAGATAGTCCCTTCGCTATCATTGCCATTGGCAATGGACACGTTCAAGGTGTGTGCGTGTGTGTATGTATGTGTATGTGCGTGTGGCGGGGTTAATATTTGAATAATCACTCTTCCCTCCTCGGCTCTGGATGTTTTTCACTTGTGGTTGTGTCTTCATTGCTAGTACACGTCGTGAAGGTAATAATGGGGTACATCATCGTTGCGTATCTAGATGTGTGTTCCTTGAATCAACTCCCAATATTGAAAGTTTGTGAGCTTTAGGGTCCGCGTGTCCACCACTATAACTAGATAATCTGCAGTCATCTCGCAAAAGTAGCGAACATTATGTGGGCAGTTAAAGTGCCATTGGATTCTTGTCTCGAATACTTGGCCACGTAGTTGCAAACTCTGGTATATGTAAATGACTTTGTACAAGTTATCACACAGTACGGCAGTGCACCTGACTGCCATAATAATAATTGTGTTTGAACTTTGAAACCATAAAACAATGATTCTACTGAAAATGACAGGTCTTGGACTCACACACTTCTATCTTCTATCTACTGTCTTTTTTCAAAGCCTGCTCTCGCCAAGTTGCCAAAAGCGAGTCGATGCACCACTGGCTGACAATAATCCCCTGATTCTTGGTTAGCGAGGTGAAACGCTAACCTGTCAGTCAAAACCGGCAAATGACTGTACATGTACATACCATTTTGCACATCACGACTTCAAGGAACGATTTTTCCATTCGTTAACCACTGAGAACACTTTCACCACCAACTTGAACGCACCACGACTTATCAAGGAACAAACAGAGCACTCGAAACAAGAGCGCTCTGCGTTTGAGAGCGGTCATGCAGAATACAGAGTGGAGTGTAAGGAAATCCCTTTAGAGCAACACGAATGCAAGAAGCACCCAAAGTGCAGGACCTGCTAATTAAAATCATCAATCACGGTGTACAGTAGGTCACTCAAACATGCACATCTCGTGATAAGAAAACAGGCCAGTATTGGCAGTACAGTATCAATGTTTTTAAAAAGTGGTACAGGATGTCTTATCAGAACCCACACCAGCAAGATGTTTATTGGCACATGCAGCTCATTATTTAGCCCATGTAGCTCATTATTCTGTTCCAGTCGTTCAAACTGTAAACATGTCCGCACAAGATTGCCTGACGAGTCCAAGAGGGACAATACTCCAGTTGCAATCCAGGACATCGTTGCTGGGTGCCAGGTACGGACTGATGGTGATGGTGAGGGGAGGTGGATTTGCAAGATGTAACAGAACTGGTTGCAGCTAGATATAGTGACTAGTGTGTTAAGGTTGGCGTGCATTGACTGCCAGTTTACAAAAATATTAATTCGCTGATGAAAATTCCATCGTGAAGCTTCTGTTAAAAATAGACAAAATAATTAAATTGCTTTCGTTTCAGGATTTATTGACAGGCACTTTCATCAAAATTTAAAATGTTCCTGTGCAGACATGGCTCGGAATGCACATCTTCTGCTTGGGCAGATGATCAACTGCCTGCTGCAGCTAGCACAGTCATGCGTGCTACATGCAGCATCTTCCCAGTGAGCTCCTTCTTCGAATCAATGTTCTGCACAGCACATCCTCACGTTGACCACTCGAGAGCGAGCAATCCACCAACATCAAGGTATCATGGGCAGTCGGACCATGTAGTGATGCTGCTGCTGCTACTGTAGTGCAGGCAGTAACGCAGTAGGCTGCTCCGGCTAAGGGCATTGCACCACTCAGTACATGTAGCTGCATGTAGCTACACATTGCTTGCTAGTGGGCATGAGAACTACTAGCAAGGCCTGAAACAGATGCCAGCTAGCTGAAATGCCATTGCAAGTGAAACTCGTGAAGCTGGAAGATACTTTGAAGTATGAATTCTACCTTCAGGAGAAAAGTAACTCTCAGCAACCTGGTTGACCCCACTGGAGTAGAGCTTCATTGTATAAATACTGCTTTCAACAAACCGACGGCCGACTTAGGTATAGTGCAAGAGTGCTGCACATCGTTCATTCATCACCGAAATGCCCCCCACTGGAATTATGCATCCTTCACGCTTTGGCTACTTGTGGTGGGCTAAATACCCGGGAGAATGCGGAGGATACGAGTAAGCAACACTGGCAATCCTACCTCTATGCAGTACCAAGTGCTACCTGGACAGACCTAGCCGTAGCGGTAACCGTACAGTTTTCAGTACATGTCGTATTGTCAATGACAAGCGCGTGCTACGCTGCAAGACAATCGGGTCTTCTTGATTCCGTACACTGCTACTGCACATGTCCAAGTTACACACGGTCATGCCTTGCAAGTCATCCTGTGCCCGTTCGGCAATGCCGTGAAGATAGTCAGTGTAGAGATCAGCGGCCACAACTGACAGGCTGCAGGGCTCCAGCAGCAGTGAGAAATTGCCATCACCATCCACATGTTTCTGCATGAAGAAGAAAGTCAGCCAAAAAGGGAAGCGCAGAAGGAACACCAAGCTCATTAGCCCAGCGGCGGCCATCACTGCTAGTGCCGTTCTTGCTATGAACAGTCAACTATCCACTCTTCACACAATGTTCTGCCAGGTACGATGGACCCGGAGTGGCAAGGTGAATCCAAATGACACAAACCACCAACTTGGAGCCTGCTGGCAGTGTCAGGATCACAGCTATACACACAGAATACAGAGCACTGCAAAGTAGTTGAATGTACAGATCCAGCTCACCATACAACCTCCACAGCCCCCACCATTCTCTTCACTATCATCAGATGCCGAGCGTCGTGGCGTGAAGTCCAATAGTGTATGTGAGCCAAGGTTGACGGTGCAGACAACTGGATAGTACAGTGGTCCATCTGTGTGTGGCTGCACACAAACACACGGAGCAATTCCCAGGTTTCAAACATTCACAAAGCCTACAGTGATGGCTAATGTTCAGCAAATGCACAGGATTGGTTTCTTTAGTACGGTTGTCAGCACTGGAGGGCTAGGACAGACAGACAGACAGACAGACAGACAGAAAGATACACACACGTGCTATAGTTACTGTAGTGTCGCGTATAAAAGCATGACCTGTATAGAAGCATGACTCGAATAGAAGCCGAATTTTCGAAGTGCGCCGTGACACAGAAGCACGATTTGAATAGAAGCCGCTCTCTGCAAAGTATATTGTGCAAGTACATGCATGGCAGTATGCACTGCACAGTGTAGACTGATGATGGTGACATAGAAGCATGTTTTGAATAGAAGCATAACTTGAATGGAAGCATGGTTTGAACTTTGAACCCCGGCTTATACGGCCGTAAGCACCTGCTTTTATACGCGACATTACGGTATGACATACAACACGAATAAGCCTACCATGATTCCTTGACCCGCTTCATACTCATTCACCAGCACATGATTCGGACGAACAGTCTCAAACAGGTCTATCGCTGAGAGCCGATCAGCAACTTGCTGCAGCCACTGAGCATATACATGTAAGCATACAAAGCACACGGGATCATGGTGCATAGCAAAGGGCTTATCTTCAGGCATATGGTGTGTTGCCTCTGGCACACAAGAGAACGCATGCAGAACTAGCGACACAGTTCAAGGGCATTGTACGAATGGGGAACAAATTGAAATAAGATGATGATCCAGGTCTGATGGGATGTGAGAATGCGGTGTGCTCTAAGCAACCCCCCCCCCCCCCCCCCTCTCTCTCCCCCTCCCTCCCAAGTACATACATAACATGACATTATATATTGTAGTGCTTTGCCATAACATAGATTATGGACGTGAGATTTTCTCCCAAAATGTCCGGCAAAGATTTCCTGATCATTGGGGAGTCTCTCGCTGCCGCTGGGCTAGTCTTCACTTCACAATTGTTCTGCCCATATACGTTTCATTCGCTGGAAACAAATTTTATATTTCAAGAAGGTTCGGGGACTCGAAAAAATTTCCGTGGTTTTCTACTGCTCAACCATGCATGGCATTTGGTGACTTTGCTCGCCTATTATACAGCATACATACGAAACACATGCGGCACTACGGGAATCTGGGCAAGTTTGTTTTTGGGGGGGGGGGGGAGGGGAGCTGGGTGTTCTAATCCCGATTTTGAGAGAACATCTTGTAATTTGTATGGTTGAAACCCATAGGAAACTCTCATGCGGGCTCACGTGTTCACGTTTTTCACAATGCACTAACTCATGACAGGACGCAATTACAAATGCTCACAACGTACACTGGGCAGCTTCTCCAACACCATACCCTGTGCAGAGACAGAACAAGTGGATCAAATGGCAGCAAACACACAGACCTGTCCAAAGTGAAAATTGACGAGTTCCAGAATGAAACACAGAATTAGTCAGCATTCAGTAGCTGTACATTATTATTCAGTGCGTGAAGCCCTGCCTGTACACCATAACTTGTGCATACTTTAGCAAGAATGATAGAGGCAAGATACCGTTGTGCAAAGCTACCCGCTTGCAAAGCTAAACTCAACAGCAACAATGACTAAACGATTTCATGCATGCTTGCTAACTGTTATGTGTCCAGCCAATGGGATGCTGCTATTGATGGTGTAGAGAATGGAGGCCTAGCCAATTGCACAAACACCATAACTGACCTTTTCCTGTGGGATGCCACCTGGAAAACGGCAATCAGCAGATAAAAAAAGGGCACACAGCATACATGCAGTTTAATAATACATGAAGACACCCAGTTTTGACAATTGTCAGCAAGGTCTTGCGCGCTTAGTTAGACATGCGACCCGTTCACCGCAATTTCGGGATGAACGCCGCTGGAACTACCATACCCTTGAACCTTCCAAGCTGGAAGGCTGTTGGTTTGCGCAATGGAGATGTGTTAGAGCTAGGTCTCAGGTCGTTGAACGTCTCAGTAGCCTGTCAGTTTTGTGCCCTGTTATCGCACGTTCTGACTGCTTCCTACTTATTATCTTGTTACAGTCGTGGATAGTTGCTTCATAGCTCGTTTCCATGTGATTTCTTCTATTTTAATTAGGGGTCAAAGGGGTGTTCCGGGTACCCGGGTACCGTTAGTAAAAGGGTATTCGTTTCGATTTCGTTGATCAAGTCAGTACGAAACAACACTGCTGGGATCGTGCATTCCAGGCGGGAGTGAATTATTTACAACTCCAAGCTGCATGCCTGCATTGTTGTTGCATTTTCGCACCTAGTAGATCTACCTCTGCAACTATCAGACTCAAATCAACTGGCGAATCACAATGTGATATCAAAATGCAACCTGAGAACAGATAAATTACTATCATGTTTTATACGAAAATTGCGCAAAAATTAAAACATGGCTGCTGAAGGGTGCCCGTTAACCCGCCCGAACAGTGTGAGTACAGTAACATTTTCTTTTTGTACGCATAGATCAGGATCGCGCAGGCGAATGTATGTGGCTTCTAACACTTGAAGCTGTCGAAAATTGTTTGTACATTGTACAACACTAAACCACGAGTCACTATACACTTTACGGCACTTCGGAGTGGATAGCAGATGTGTGTCACACTGTTCCAGTAAATTCACACTTGTTGCAATGTAAATAATCGACGCGGAGACAACAATTTATTAAAATAGCAATAAAGAGAACAAATTCTGCCGTCGTCGCCACACAAGAACGAAGAAAACGCTCATGACTTCGTTTTTGCGTGGTGATGACGGCAAAATTTGTTTTCTTTATTGCTGTTACAATGTGTTAGTGTTATTGTTCTCGCTTTTTCTGCAAGTCCATGTTTATGTCATGCTGTTGCACTGATATTGGCTACCTTTACGATAAACGTTGTCACCTCATGTTGTGGCCTCGTATACTCTTTCTTAAATTGCCTTTGTTTGAATCTCAGTTAGTGACGGTAATTTCCACTGATGATTGTCAAATAATAAAATAATAAGGGGCCGTCCGTAAATATTTTTTTCAGTCAAATATGTATATATTTTTTTCCAGTGTATAAAACAATTTTACAAATATCCACGCAAAACGAAAGCAGAACGGTAGCCAAAAATAATAATTTAGTGCGAAAATAAGAAAAATAAATAATAACACCCGAAAGCGCTAAATACAAAATCAAGAAAAAGGGAAATTATAAACCATGTAGCGCTAATGTGCACCAAATAATAAGTTAAATGATAATAAAGCCGAGTGAAAAACACAAGAAATCATAACAAAAGAAACAAACTAATAATACGAAAAAAGAGTAATAATACTAATGGGAGAACTCTCATAACATCGATAGCAGGAGTCTGTTCAAGGAGGATCATTCAGTTATCGGAGCCTAGCCTCGGCAACCACGAGATCTACCGAAGCAGCTGTGACGGAGGGAGTGAAGATCGGACGACGAGCTCCACGTAGGCAGGCAATGCAGGCACGAAGAAGCGCAAAGCTTACCCGGCAGCGGATCCATGCCATTACCCTGGAGTAGGGGTCCTGGCACTTTTCCGATAGCATGTCAGCAATGCGCTTGTATAGCGATGTCGCTGACTTCCCCATGCCTCCAGATGTGGAGAGAACGACGGGGCAGAAGGAGCCATGCTCGACTTGACAGACTCGCTCCTCATAGCAACGCCGTTTCTCTCGCTCGTGACGCTGGTAGCTGGAGGGGACTGAAGTGGTACCGTCCGTAAATATCGATGCTTTTTTCAAGACGATATTTGTTCATTTCTCCCCAGACCCCCTCCCTCCCCCCTCAAAACGAACATACACATGTTTATGCAAGGGATCGATATTTTTTAATGAAGTTCAATTTCCTCATGAAACGTGACCAGCTGCCATTCGAATTTCACCGTACACCTAGGTTTACGTTGCCACGGTCGCACAACCTTGCCATGGCTATGCTCACGAGGTTGACTTTCACTTTGTGTAGGTCATAAACTACATGTTCAAACAGCGCCCGTCCATAGATAGAGTTCGATATTTTTTTCTGCAAAGACGAGACGAACAGGGCCCAAACCCCCTTCCCCCCCCCCCCAAACGAACGAATATCTTCTCTAAAAAACATCGATATTTGTGGACGACCCCTAATAGTTACAGTTCGCATGTCACTCATGGAAGGATCCATGGGCTTAACGCATCTGTCAACGAAATCCAGGCAGAAGAGCCGACAAAAGGCATCTCATTATTGTTAGAACGAATCGCAGTAAGAACAACTACGCAAGCGCAGCACATTTTTCCACAAGCATCAGCCATTTTTTCTTGTCTAGAGCCAGTTCAAAACAGTCAGAAATATCAATATTGGCGTGCTTTAGATCATTTTTAATATTGTCAATCCATCTGAGACGGGGTCGGCCACGTGGGCGCTTGATGTCCCGGGAATTAATTGCCATCTCCAGTGCTTGGTAGGACGCTGAGTTACGTCCTTCGCGAACAACATGGCCCAGCCAGAGCAGCCGACGTCTGCGACAGGTAGTGCTTATCAAATGAAAACGTTTATTGTACCTACCTCTATGTTCCTTTGTGACTGTATTATACAACGTTTCCTAGTACTAATGCTGCGCATTTAGCAATATTTATCTCTATAAGTATAACAGGTGAAACCTGGCCGAAAATGTAACTTTGCCATAATTGCCAATAATAATTATTATTCCGCCTACCAAACTTAAAGAAGAGAAAACTTCAGATTTAGAATTGGAACAAACTAAAAATCAAAAAAGTACTGTAGGGACGTCGTGCCGCCAAAAGTGGTACAGTGGTCCCTCTATAATCCGGCACCATTTGTGCCACGAAAATCTGCTGGATTAGGGAGGGTGCTGGATTAACAAATCTGATTTACTGCTGCAATGTGCATGAAGAGGACATTTTGGCTACTGAAAATTGTGCTGGTTTATCGAGGGTGCTGGATTATAAAGTGCCGGATTAGAGAGGGACGACTGTACTGTGAATGGGCATTAAGACCAACGCAACAATAAGGTTGAGTACATCAAAGCCACATGAAACACTCTTATTAAACATCGTGCTCACCCCATTGCTGCAGGCGCCGAGCAGACAACTGGGTCCATTTCGGCTTGGGAGCTGCATACACCTGCAGTGAATACACCCATGCAGCACAGTCATCAGACTCTTGCAGTGCTGTAGCAGAGATTGCAATACTTCTCTCTTTTAAAGCTTATCGTAACCAGCACCTACTAATTGGCACTCTCCAATCACGATCTTTTCAATCGGTTTTCGTTTCAATGGCATACGCAAGGATGGGTATGAGAAGCATGCACACGTACAGCTATAAAGAAATCGTAAACACAAAACATACATTGTGGTCACTTCAACAAAATGTGCACAAATCCCAGTACACCTCCTAGCAATACAATGCACTTGACTAACCTGCTTCCACAACAAATTTGCCTCAGCTTCGGACAAGAAATTGGGAAAATACAGTGCAGTGCTTGGAGCCTGCAGCAGAGTAAACAAAATCACAAATCATGCAATTCTTTATTGATCGCATGTTCAAATTGAAGCGAACCAGAGGAACACACAGTTCACAACTTCGCGTGCGCCAACTGGTTGGGATGAGAGATAAGAAGAGGTTGGACAGGTTGGGTACATGCCGCTGCTGATTCTGCTGCTGCTGTTGTTGTTGTTGTTGTTGTTGTTGTAGCTGCTGCTGTTGTTGTTGTTGTTGTTGGCATCTATGTGGATGACACGAGTGGGCGGCAAGTGAGCTAAATCGAAAGATTTTACAGCTGTCCATAATTATTATGGACGACCCCTAAATAGGACAAACTGCGGGCTCATATGCCTGGTTCGCATTCGACGTAACGCTGACGGTACGGGACGTAAGCCTGGGGCGAGCTGTAAAATCTTGTACGACTCGAACGACACGGCATGCAGCAGTCTGTCCCCACGGGACAACGCGACTCCTAAAACACATTTCGTACCCATTAAAATTTCAGCCTGTACTGCTGCTGTCGGTACACACTGTCACACTGAACCTTGCAAAACAAAATTTCAGCCGCAACTAATTTTCGGCCAAAAATGCCCAGGCCAAAAATTGCCGAAAATAAATATGCGCCGAATATATGTTGACTCGCCGTACTGGCTTTCATCCGCGTTTTCAAGAGAAAGTTCACGTAAAACCCGCGTTATCCATGGAATGTGCAAGAAAATAGTACTCGTATCTATATTTCCTTTTCCTTTCTACATTTATTATTGGCTCAACATCCAAGTTTCACAATAGTACACAGCGATGAATACTATTAAATGCACTGTCATATCACAAACATTGCAACCAAAGTACAGTAAAACGTGTAACTAAAGACCACCGTGCACGCGTGACTAGCGACCAGCCTGGTACTAACGACCACTTCGCCAGGCACGGACGGTCTCACATTCCAAATGCACTGTGACTAGCGACTACCTGCTGAACGTGACCAGCGACCGCCTTTTCTTGTCCCAAAGACGATTTTCGACCCGTAACTAGCGACCGCGGTGCAGGAAATCAAACGTTGCTCGAAGCTCCTTCTTGAAAGTTTGCTGATTTTCCATGGTCCTGAAAGGACGCTTTCGATACTACAGCTGAACAAATGAACTCAGGTCATCTTGACTGTGGAGTCGGTGTGGACTGCACTACACCTGACAAAATTTCAAGCGCTGTCAAGAATAAACATGATAGGAAACGTCTTGGAGAGCCCATCAGAAGCGCTCTCTGATCGATGCTCAGTGACTTCTCGGAGGAGAAACGAAGACTGAGCGGCTCTGTCACCCCAGTCATGCAGACGAATCGACGACTGCATCAAGGAATCCAGAAAAAAAGCAGCACCGCAAGGTCCTGATGCTGAAGGTCGCGTTCAAGCAATCGAGAAGTTATAACAAGGACAGTCGGTACAATTGATCGCATGAACAAATTTGAAGCCCAGCGCAAAACGAAACTTCCACAAGGGAATGTTTGACTGCTGGCTTCAGAAGTAGCAGGTGAATTTGATGCCTGCAAAAAATTAAATTTCTCTCTCTCTTTCTCTCTCCCTCTCTCTCTCTCTCTCTCTCTCTCTCTCTCTCTCTCTCTCTCTCTCTCTCTCTCTCTCTCTCTCTCTCTCTCTCTCTCTCTCTCTCTCTCTCTCCGTCTTTCACTCCAAGTGTTGTTTGACCTGAAATAAGAATGGCATTGCGCAAGTCCTGGGGAATTGTATTAGCTGCATTTTGACATACATCTCATATAATGGGATCCATATATGGTCGCGGAGTGCAAACCTCTAACTAAAGACCACCTGCCACTAAAGACCGCTTTTGCTGGCACCAAGGGGTGGTCGGTAGTCACAGGTTTTACTGTAGTTATTTGTCTAGAACGTTTTCTTGTCACAATCATCGGTGGCAGTATCGTGAGTTATCATGGGTAGCGTAGTGTTCGTAATGCTAAACATATCCAAGTTGCAGTTGCACACATTGGGACGCCGTCTCCTGTCCACACTCGAAAAGCAGCCGTTTTGTACGCTTGCAGCCTGCAGACAATGATAAGTTGAACGGATTAAACTCTTCCATCGCTTTCCGATTCGTACAGTAGTACGCTTGCGTTCCCGCGCTCCTGGTGTTCACATTGGACGCCGTCAATCGGCCTCATGAGTGTCCCGTTGGTTCCCATTGTGCCCCGTCGAATGTGAACTACATGTACTTCAAGTAGGCTATAACGGTGACCATAGGCATAGGTGTAGTCTGTAGTTACACACATTTCTCTCATAATAACGCTTTAGGGGTACACCATCAGAAGGATACTATACTGGCCTGAAAAGGTTTGCAAGGAATTTGTGAAACCAAACCCATTGTCATATCATGAGCATGCAGAGCTACATAGAGTGCCCTATTTATTGCACTGATTTTCTTTTCCTCTCCATGTTTTCTATTGGATACATACTATTGGGTGGCTACAGTGGAGTCTTTGCATCTTGAGAAAGGCTTACTATTGAAACTCAAGAAAACTCAGAGAGTCAGCATATACTCAGTATTAATATGGTGTGGTGGATGATAGAAAACTCAGTATGCAATACAGTATTATTTACTTGGCCTACCTTTCTCACCACGTTATCACTGAATTTGTCTTCCAAAACTCGTGGGGAGCCTGAGGGGCCATGTACTGAAGAGCTACGTAGTGTGGCTTCTGCCATTTCTTACTCACATGAAGACTCTTTTACAACATCAACCTGATCACGTCTGAAAGTAAATTTGTTAGTTGGCTATCGTGACAAGTCAGTCTGTGTTCTTCGGTTGGGGTCATTCATTGAGCTGCCAATCGCATATCCAGATATCACTACGGTTTTTTCAACTTTTTGAAACCAGACATACATCATTACATGTATACAGTGTATTTTTTTACTACAAGTACACTCGTCACGTTTTTTTGTTTTTTTTTGGGGTAAACCGGCCTCTTGTACGTGTACGGCCAGAAGCAGGGAGTCGTAAAATGTATTTTACAAGACTCAAGAGTCCATATATCTCTACATGGATTATCAAAATGGGTGCCTTATTATTTTCTTTTTTTTCTTTTTTTCTGTTTATTCTTTTTACCAGGCGTGGGCCATCCCCTGGACTATCAAAATGGGTGCCTTATTATTTTTCTGAGTGCGAAAAAAAAAAATATATAACTTATAAGGCCAAACTAAAGAAGGTGTGTGGTTCGACTAACATGGACATTTTTTTTACGGGCGGGCGGGCGGATTTTTTTTTTTAATATATTTTTTAGTACATGTAAATACACTGTATACGCGTATCGAGTAGACTCTACTACCAGCACAAGGCAGCAGTCGTACCACTCACTGCACTGCACTGCAGTACAACTACAAGTCAAGTCCAATAGGAGCCGCCTGCGTCCGCAGACTCACGCCGCACAGCACGTAGACGTGGACGTGTTCAGTCCACGTAGACTACGTCAGTCACACGACAGCCCGCCGAAAAAAAGTTACGGTCGGGCTGAAATTGTACGGTCGGTCGGGTGAGTCGAACCACACACCTTCTTTAGTTTGGCCTAATATATATATATATATCTCTACATAGTCTTGATTTTACGACTCCCTGGGCAGAAGTAACCACGTGGTAACCTGGTAACACAATGATACAATAAAAACAACGACCATTACGAGATTGAAAGCAATGATGACGAGGCATAAACAAGTGCTGCGCTGCCGAGACAGCGAGTCGAGCGGATGACCATGATGACTCAGCCACCTCCGGGTGCGCGAATACAGTCGTGCACCACGCAGGCAAGCCACGCCGGCACGGAGAAGGGCAAAGCTGAACCTGCAGCGGATCCATGCCATCACTGCAGAGTATGGCTCACCAGATTTGTCGGAGACCATTGTAGCTATTCTCTTGAGGAGAGCGACAGCAGCTCGACCAGTACCACCAGTTGCTGCGAAAACCACAGGGATGAAGGTTCCGCGCTCGACCTCCTTGACGCGCCTCCGTTTTTCACGTTCATGACGCTGGTAGCAAGCGGTGATGGAAGAGGATCGATTTGAGGGAGCAAAGGGGTTGAAAACCCGAATATCGAGAAAGACTCTCTCAAACCGACCTCCCCAAACACCACTCGCCGCAACATCAAGTCGAGCCTGGTCTTCTGTGGAGGCAGTCTTGTAGCGGAGCTGCTCACCAGAGAGCGGTTGCAAGTGTGGCTCGATAGCGACACTATTGGCGACACGTTTCAATAGCGAGGCAGTGATGTCCCGCACCTCATTGTGTCGAAGTGACGGAAAACCTCCGGTGCTGCATGTCAGGGCATGGGCTACTGTGAAACTGGCTCCACAGACACAGGTTGACGGTAAGCGAGAAGGCCGCCAGCCATAGCGCAGTGCCAAACCATCGCGGAACTCGCTTTTGGATAGCACAAATCCATGACGGGATAGCGGACGACAAGTGAGCTAGCTGGAGGCGCCAGGCTCACTTGCCAACTGAATTGTGTGCTGCAAAGTGGGCGATGCGTCGGCAGCGAAGCCACGGATGTCGGTCTTCGCTTTCTGGCGGTGATCTGCAAGCTGTGACGCTTTGGCTGAGGCAACGCTGGCAAGAGCTTCCGTCACACTGAAGTCTTGGTCGAGGATGTTGGTGGTGAGCGCCGCTGTGATTGCGCGGGATGAGGCGTATTGGGTTGTCAGAGATGTTGGATTGACGATGCCCAGGCCACCATCCCGGCAAGGGAAGGCAAACAGCCGTCGCAGCTCCAGACTGACTTCTTCTCCAGTGAGGGCTGGCAGCAGCTTGGTAAAAATGGCGTGTTCCAACTGATCAAGACCACTGGACGCATCCGGCAGAACACGACACAAGAATGTCCAGCGGCATGAGAGAGCACGAACAAAAGTAGTGTACGCTGCCTGGGGCTGGGTACGAGCGAAGGATGAGAGTACTTTTTATTTTTAACAGAACATTACTATTGCAGTTTTTTTTTACAGAATGCACTTCCTACTGATAGACCATCAACAAAGAGAGGAGAAGAAGAAGACAAAAGAAAATAATGATCGAGACAACAAAGGAGAAAGACAGACAATGCACTAGTAGTAGGGGCTCTCAGGGAGCCTGTGCTGGTGAGGCGGGACTAGCAACGCCGACCTAGGGTCTCCGCGTTAGCGCTATCCAGCGCACCATGGACGGGATTACGAAACACATGTAAAATAATAGATAAGTGAGGGGGAGGGAGTTGATTGTGGATATATGGGGTGTTACAGCGAGTCTGTAGCCCAGCGGCTTTGTTGTAGGTGCTAATGCACCTTGCCCTTGAACGACTGGAGGGACGTCAGGCGTGGCGGAGACTGCAGCACAGTTGGGGGCAAGTTGTTCCACCCGTCAATGATGCTGTAGGGGAAGCAGCGTCGCACGTAATCGGGAATCCGGAGAGGAAGCCGGGAGGACGTTCTGTAGCAAGACTCGTGGCGCACCGAGTGGTCGGACCGAGTTCGAGGACATGTTCGTGGAGGAAGCTGTGGGGGGACCGGTCGACCAGCGACGTTAGTTGCGGTGGCCCTGCCAGACACATACATCAGTTTATACATATACATGTAGGTGAGGGCGGCGACCAATCTCCTTGCTGCCAAACTCTGGAGGAGGACATCAGGGCCAAGAATGTGGAGGGCGCGTCTCTGCACTCGATCGAGAAGGCGCAGATGGCCTGAACTTCAAGCCTGAAGCTGCTCCCATCCCATCCAAGACGAAAGTTTTCAGACTGTTGGGCGCCCCCCCCCCCCCCCCATGGCCCAGTCAAGCCCCAGAAAAAATCGTTCGACCCAATCGCTGATGAATCGTGGAAACTAGTGTCTAAAGAACCCCACCAAACAAGGAAGGCAGTCGTGTATGTGGAAATCTGAACGCTGATTGCACAGAGGAGCGAGTGACAGAGTTCACTCAGCAGCGATCTGTGGCCGTGGCCAAATCCGTCAAGGTCCATGAGTGCAGCATGCACACCACGGAAGACGGGAAAGTCTCCGCCCGATTGACGCTCGACGCCACTGGCTTAGAAACAGTCACTGCTGCGAACTTCTGGCCACGACCGCTTTACGCTCGAGCCTGGCGACACCGCAAACGGCCGCAGGATGACAGCTCATCTGGGGCATCTGGCGCCGGCAACGTGGCCAGCAGAGGCGATAGGGACAGTGAGGCAGAGGCTGCCTCAGCTGGAGCGATTCAGCCACGCAAACACCAATGAACAGCAGCTGCGCAAGGACATACCCAGTAATGAATCTCCTGCTGACAAATGCTTTTGGGCTGCTGTCAAAGTTTGGAGCCTTCCAGCATGCTTTTGCAGTGTTGCACGGAGCGGATCTGACATCGCCATCGTAACGGAGACTAAATTCACCCCGGAGAAAGCCTCACTATCTGACTCCTCCATGCCGGGCTTCCACCTACCCCTCCGACTTGACCGACCTGCTCAAGGCGGCGGAGTTGCAGTCTGGGTCCGGGACTCCCTCTCCTTTGACCACCTGAGTGACATCAACTGCCATGGCCATGAGGTCATCTGGCTTCGCCTGCACCTGGACAATGGCCAGAAAGTAGTTGTATGTGCCGTGTACCGACCCGGGTCGTGCCCTGGACAAGATGTCTCTCTGCTTGAGTATCTTGACTCAGTCATGGATCAAGCTCAATCCCTCGGGAACAGCGTTGTGATAGCTGGTGATTTTTATGTTCACAATGAAAGCTGGCTATGCAGCACAAAGACTACACCAGCTGGTGAATACATGGAAGAACTCTCTGCGTTCCACGGGCTCCACCAGCACGTTACTCAACCGACTCATACTCAGCGACTTCTCGGAGACCTCAGTGGTGGTAAATGTACTGGACCCCATTGGAGCATCAGACCATGCCACCGTTGTGGCCACTTTTGATGCCACCCCACTCCGCGAACCACCGACTAAACAGCGCGTTTGGAGGTATGCTCAGGCAGACTGGCCCCGCCTCTCTGCCTTCCTCCGGACTACTGACCGGGACACAACAATTGGCGACGACCCAAACATATCATGTGAGCTTCTGACCATGCGAATCACTGAGGGAATGCAGCGCTTTATACCATCCAAGGTCTTCAAGACCAGACCGCAGGACCCAATCTGGTGGACGCCAGAATGCTCTGCAGCAGTTGACAGAAAGCGCAATGCCTGGCGGAAATCCCGCGATGACCCCAGGAATGGAGCGCTCAAGTGTACATACAAGCTAGCATGCCTTGACTCAACAAGATGTCTAGCAAGAGCCAAAGCCAGACATCTCGACCATGTCAAGAAACGGCTCCGGACGGGCAGCCTGCAGGACAGAGAGTGGTGGAGCATGATTAAACGAGTTGGAGGGCATGGCTGGGACAGCTCCACCCCAGTCCTGGTTGACCCCGATGGCATGGAATGCACCAAAAGCCACGACAAGGCTAACGTCATCGGGAAGTACTTTGCCCAGAAGTGCAGCCTAGACGATGACTTTGCGGAACAGTCGGGGCCGTTCCCGCACGTCCGCCGGCGCACCGCAAATACGCTTGCAACAGTCCACTTCCGCCAAGCCACCGTACGCCGGACACTCCGAGCCCTGAATCCAAGTAAAGCCACAGGGCCTGATGCAGTACCCGCTAGAGTGCTGAGAAAATGTGCCGACTCTCTGGCCCCGCCCCTATCCAAGCTGTTTACCCTGTGCTTCTGCAGTGATTGATTGATTGATTGATTTTATTAAATTTTTACTTCGCAAGTTCAAACGGGTTCCTGGCCCAGTTATATAGTGGTCATCAACCTGCCATGTGGAAAGTTGCCAACGTCGTACCGGTACACAAGAAAGGCCCCAAGTCGAACCCCAGAAACTACCGACCGATATCACTACTGCTCATAATGTCT